ACGTATCAATTTTTGTGAGATGCGTATGAGCTTATTTTTCGAGCCCAGGCGAGCGTCGATGCCTTTTTACCTGGAAAGCTCTTTATGCAAAATGTCACATCTACTATCCTTCCTCTACCTTCACTGAAAATCTCAAGTCGATATCTTAAGTCGTTTAGGAGGAGATCTCAGGACAAGCCGACCCTCTAAAAATCAGAAAATCGTCCATATATCACGACCGGAAGTGACGACGTACTTATAAAAAATTTCCGACAAGGTTCAGATAAATATCTATCAGATCTGAAAGTTTAGTGAAAATCGGTCCAGCCGTTTCCGAGAAATCGCGTGCACAAAATCGGTAAGAAAAAAATAATGATAATAACTAGATACGATCTCGTTGCGAGCAACGAGTGGGTCTTCCGTCCAATTCTTGATAAGATGAGATAAGATTTTGATTGAGATTTTCATTCTAAAATAATGATTTTCCATAATCTGTAAAAAGACATTGAACATTAAAGACTTTTAAAAAATCAACTCTTGGCCCTTCACGCCCCCAAAGATTAGGGATCAGTCCTTTTTTCTTCATATCATCTGAAAGCTCTCAGGATTTTGATGACTTTTTGTTAAACAACTATTCAGAGATTTTTTTTCGTTTTTGAGTTATTCACATAAGAAATATTTAGGGTCCAGCCCTTCAACTCCTTAATTGGGACGTTTAGCGAAAAATAAAAGGTTGCATATTGTTCAGAACATGATTTTGAACATCTTTTGTTCAATATTACTTATCAATATATTTCTCATTTTCGAGATATAAAGCGTCAAATATTTAGCATTCTGGTCCCTTTTGGCTCCTAATCGTGTATTATACGACATTAAAATCATAATACATAGTTGTAAAATGTTGAGATAAACATTTTTGCTTCAGTAATGTATAACAAAATGTTGACTGTTAAGAGTTATCGAAAAAAGACTTTAAGCCCCTTTTGGCCCCTAATTTGAGTGCCCAGCCCCTTTTTCTTGATTTCATCTTGAAGCTCTTAGGTTTTTGAAGACTTTTTGTTCAATAAATATTCAGAGATTCTTTTTCGTTTTCGAGTTATTCGCAAAAGAAATATTTAGGGGCCAACCCTTCATCTCCCTAATGGGGACTTTTAGAAAAAAAATGAAAGGTTACATATTGTTTAGAACATGATTTTGAACATCTTTTGTTCAATATTACTTGTCAAAATATTTCTCACTTTTGAGATATAAAGCGTCAAAGATTTAGCATTCTGGCCCCTTTTGGCCCCTAATCATGTATTATACGACATTAAAATCATAATATATAGTTGTAAAATGTTGAGATAAACATTTTTGCTTCAGTAATGTATAACAAAATATTGACTGTTAAAGAGTTATCGAAAAAAGACTTTAAGCCCCTTTTGGCCCCTAATTTGAGTGCCCAGCCCCTTTTTTTTGATTTCATCTTGAAGCTCTTAGGATTTTGAAGACTTTTTGTTCAATAACTATTCAGAGATTCTTTTTCGTTTTCGAGTTATTCGCAAAAGAAATATTTAGGGGCCAACCCTTCAGCTCCCTAATGGGGACTTTTAGCAAAAAATAAAAGGTTACATATTGTTTAGAACATGATTTTGAACATCTTTTTTTCAATATTACTTGTCAAAATATTTCTCACTTTTGAGATATAAAGCGTCAAAGATTTAGCATTCTGGCCCCTTTTGGCCCCTAATCATGTATTATACGACATTAAAATCATAATATATAGTTGTAAAATGTTGAGATAAACATTTTTGCTTCAGTAATGTATAACAAAATATTGACTGTTAAAGAGTTATCGAAAAAAGACTTTAAGCCCCTTTTGGCCCCTAATTTGAGTGCCCAGCCCCTTTTTTTTGATTTCATCTTGAAGCTCTTAGGATTTTGAAGACTTTTTGTTCAATAACTATTCAGAGATTCTTTTTCGTTTTCGAGTTATTCGCAAAAGAAATATTTAGGGGCCAACCCTTCAGCTCCCTAATGGGGACTTTTAGCAAAAAATAAAAGGTTACATATTGTTTAGAACATGATTTTGAACATCTTTTGTTCAATATTACTTGTCAAAATATTTCTCACTTTCGAGATATAAAGCGTCAAAGATTTAGCATTCTGGCCCCTTTTGGCCCCTAATCATGTATTATACGACATTAAAATCATAATATAAAGTTGTAAAATGTTGAGATAAACATTTTTGCTTCAGTAATGTATAACAAAATATTGACTGTTAAAGAGTTATCGAAAAAAGACTTTAAGCCCCTTTTGGCCCCTAATTTGAGTGCCCAGCCCCTTTTTCTTGATTTCATCTTAAAGCTCTTAGGATTTTGAAGACTTTTTGTTCAATAACTATTAAGAGATTCTTTTTCGTTTTCGAGTTATTCGCAAAAGAAATATTTAGGGGCCAACCCTTCAGCTCCCTAATGGGGACTTTTAGCAAAAAATGAAAGGTTACATATTGTTTAGAACATGATTTTGAACATCTTTTGTTCAATATTACTTGTCAAAATATTTCTCACTTTCGAGATATAAAGCGTCAAAGATTTAGCATTCTGGCCCCTTTTGGCCCCTAATCATGTATTATACGACATTAAAATCATAATATATAGTTGTAAAATGTTGAGATAAACATTTTTGCTTCAGTAATGTATAACAAAATGTTGAATGTTAAAGAGTTATCGAAAATAAACTTTTGGCCCCTCTCGGCCCCTAATGTGATGAGTCAGCACTTTTTTCTTGATATCATATTAAAGATCTTGTCATTTTGCGCAAATATTGCTCAATATGTTTTAACAAAATAATTATATTATAAAAGATATGATGCAAAATGTCTCAAAAATTCAGTCATGATTCGTGTCCTAAATTTTGACCCCTACCGAGCTTCCATACTAGGCATTTCCGGAAAATTTGAGAACCATTGTGCATATTGGCAACATGTCCTTTATCTTTGGTAAAAATTTCAGTGTTCTAGCGTAAGCCGTTCTTGAGTTCTGGTGATGACAAGGAGGTCCTCTAAATTTCGATTAAAGGGCAATAACTTCCGACCGGAAGTGATTTTCGAAAAAATGAGAAAAACGGATCAGGTTTAGTTGACGACACACCTTTCCTGAAAATTTCAAGTTGATTGATCGAGCCATCTCCGAGAAATCTTCTGCACAAAAATTGTAAGAAGAAAAAGAATAATAATAATAATAATAAAAGTGAAAAAGAAACAATAGAATAATAGAAGGGTCTTCCGTTGGAGACGGAAGACCCTAATAAGAAACCGAGTAAAAACAATATGTTCCCAAACTCCGTTTGGGGAACATAATAAGGAGGGGGTATCAAACCATTTAATTACAATATTGTGTAAGATTATAAACTCAAGATGTGCTTATATTTTTAGTCCGGAAGTACTCTTTTTGCCTGAAATAAAATTAGTCATCCGAAAGTAAAACTATCGACCTACATGCGTCTGATTTTACACGTGAAGTATTTCGATTATAATTTTCGACTTTGACAACATCAGCTTTAAAATACCTAAAGTTACCGTGTTTAGTTTTAAGTTATTGCAATTAATTTAGGCAATGAAAACAAGACCACAAATTAATTTTGAAAATGACCACTGTGTATTATCTTTACATTTTATTGCGTCATGCAGTTTTAAAACCTCAGAGTGTTGACCAAAGGTGACGTGTTAAGGAGCAAATACGGAAGACCGTATGGCTTTCGCCCCTTCATCCTTTATGACATGGCTACAGACAAAGGTTCCTAGCTGCTGCGTTCATATTTATTATATCATATGCATTGAAATAAATGCTATTGAAACTAAGCTAGAATCAGTGGACTTGATTCTAATATTTAATATCTGATGACAAATTTTGGACACTGTGTCGCCAATTCTCGGGCCTCTCTGTCTAACGCCTTAAACTGAGAAACAATCTGGAATGTGACATGCCCCCCCCCCAAAAAAAAAAAAAAAGAAAAAAACAAGAAAAAAAAAAGAAATAAATGCAGGGACCACTTGCTTATCTGTAGAGTCTGAAGCTCAGCCGGAAAAGCCAAAGAAGCGATTGTTTTCAGGGCTTAAGGCAGACACGTACATTGATTTGTTGATGAAAATTTTTGACAGCTCACGAATAAAACCATTCATAAACAATCAAAAATTAAATTTGTTTATAGATTATTTTGGAAAAATTACCAGTAAATCTATAAATTGACGACATTGTTCATTTTTTTAAAAACAGTTTTAGGCGTGTATATTTTTTTTTAAAAATATGTATTACGCAACCATATTTTTGTTTTGCTTAATCGTATGATTTCTTTTATCGGCAAACGCACTGGCGAGACGTCACGTCTTTGAAGCGCTATTGTGACGTAATTACGTTTATGTCACGAAGGTCCCTTTTCGCTTGACGCAACTCATATGCATTTATTGATAAGTTAAACATTTTTCTGCATAGAGTGTTCTGTCCATAGCAAGGCATTATATTTTTCCTCATTAGATGTTAATACCTTCTAAGGCCAGACAGTTCGTTCCCCAGAAATCTGTTCTGTTTATGTTCATAATATATGAAAAATATTTAAAATTATAATTACCTTCTGATTTCTAAATTGGTTTCTAATTGTCTTTTAACAATTACAACAGTAAAATTTTTGATTTTGGCAATTTAAGTTTCTTTCCAAATGGATTAATATAGGCAACACTACCCTCTGGTATCTTGCACAACTGCCTGGTAAGGTACCTCAATTTTTGTGAGCTAACTTGTAAAAAAAGCTTTACTTTGGATAAAAATTATACATTATTTAGGAACGTATCGTCTGTCCTTAAATAGTACAATTCTCGGAATGGCAAAGAGTAAAAAAATGTGTTTGCCAAGTGTGCATGTATTGGAATGGCACAAAGTTAATGGTCACTTGTAACTAAATGCTTCATATTCTTTGTTATGTATGAATATCGGTATATGTCTTGTGAATAATTATTCAGATAAGTAATGTATGTCTTATTTCAGGTAAATGAGAAAATGGAGTCTTCGAGTGGAGGTAATAGCATACCTAAAATCATGGTGTTTCGGCCCACAATGGAGGAATTTAAAGACTTCACCAAGTACGTAGAGTACATGGAATCGTGTGGGGCTCATAAAGCCGGGGTCGCAAAGGTTTGTTTATTAACTAACATGGATTTTTAAAATTTAAAAAGTATAATAGAAGTCTCCACTTTTAAAAAAAATGACTAGATTATTCATTATACTCTATTGCATTTGTACATTTATATAGCAAACTTTGGTCGTAGATTTATATATATTTTTTGATATTAAGGTCATCCCTCCTCCTGAATGGTCACCGAGGAGAAATGGGTATGATGACATTGACATCACCATACCAGCTCCCATAAATCAGGTTGTTACTGGTTGTCAAGGTCTCTACCAACAGTTCAACGTACAAAAGAAGGCCATCCATTGCAAAGATTTTGAAAAGTTGGCGAATAGTGACAGGTGTGTTGTGAAATCCAGCTGGATAATTCACAAGTGTTTGTAGGTTTATCAATAGTAAACGATTATATTTATATTTTTATTTTTGTGTTGTTGTAGATATCGAACACCAAGACATTTTGATTATGAAGAACTAGAAAGGAAATACTGGAAGAATATCACCTTTGTGAATCCTATCTATGGAGCAGACATTTCTGGTTCTTTATATGACACAGATCAGGACTATTGGAATATCAACAAACTGGGTACAATACTTGATTATGTGAACGGTGATTATGGAATTAAGATTGAGGGTGTCAACACTGCCTATCTCTATTTTGGGATGTGGAAGACGACTTTTCCCTGGCATACAGAGGATATGGACCTGTACAGTATTAACTATGTTCACTTTGGAGCACCCAAATCCTGGTATGCCATCCCCCCAGAACATGGGAGAAGATTGGAAAGACTAGCTCAAGGTAGAAATGGACTGTTACTGTAATAAAAGCAATTCACTGCAGTACTATTATATAAATTAAGTGTATCTTTTAATTTTTCATTATTTTGATTTTTAACAATTTATTCCTTTGCTCTTCTGTTTATATTCAAAATGAAAACAATCCTTATGTGAAATTTTCTTTGTCTTTATTTTTTAGGATTCTTTCCAAGCAGTTTTCAGTCATGTCCTGCTTTTTTGAGGCACAAAATGACACTGATCTCACCAGCAATTTTAAAACAGTACTCTATTCCCTTTAACAAGGTATTTTAATAATTAATGATAATCATGGAATATGCATTGAAGTCTTAAAAGGACATATCATAGAACAGGATTTTGTTTGAAAATGGTTAAAGTTTCAGATTTAGTTATACAATAAAGTTTGTGGATGAGTGACTAAAGCTTTGGATCTGTTAATTTTTCTGCAGATTACACAGGAGGCTGGGGAGTTTATGATCACCTTCCCCTACGGCTACCATGCAGGCTACAATCATGGGTTTAACTGCGCCGAATCCACCAATTTTGCTACAAGGAGGTGGATTGAATATGGAAAGAGATGCTTACAAGTAATTTTTAATTGAATTCAAATGAGCATGATGATACTGTTTAAAGTACTATAGAAAAATAGTTCTGTAAGTCAAGACTTGATATTTTCCTTATTAAACCATAGCATTACAGGTGAAAGGTATATTTTAATGTATGCCTCTTTGTATAGTGTACTTGCCGTAAAGATGGTGTTAAGATCAGCATGGATTGCTTTGTGAAGAGGTTTCAGCCTGACAGATATGATCTTTGGAAGCTTGGTAAAGATGTAGCCCCTCATCCGGAGGATGACCAGTCTAAACTTTATAAACACAAGTAAGCTTCTCACTCAAAAGTTTCAATGAACATATGGGAAAATGACAATTATCTGATAAAGTCAGTTCCTTCTTTTCTGTGAAGTCGTTAGAAATAAAAGGTCCTTAAATTTTTTAAGTAAGATGTGATACAACCCTAATCACCCATTCATTTACCTTTTATATTAGGGACTCTGGTGGTGAAAAGGCCATTGAAGCAAATAACTCTGGAACCATACAGACAAAAAGGCATCCCATATCAAGAAAGGCTGAGCAATCACCCAGGAAAAGTAAAGGAAAGTCGAGCAAAACACCCAAAAAGAGTACAGAGAAGGAAGGAAACTCGGGTTCTGAGGAGTCAGCAGAGGAGTCGTGTGATGAGGACAAGTATGGAGGATCGACAGAGGAGGAGTGTTCAGAGGACACCGAGGACAAGAAGTCGACCGACGCTGACAGCAAGCAGAAAATCAACATGTACCTAAAGGACGTGTCCAAGAAAAAGGAAACCCCAAAAAAGAATGGACCGTCATCTTTTCAAGCTGCGTTTGAATCGTTAGTGGCGGCCCGTTCATCGGCATTAGCATTGCGTCCAGGAAGTGTAGTGGAAGAAATGCCACCTAAAAAATACAAACCTAAGAAAAGGAAAGCAGAAGTCAAACTAGAAAAAGGTCAAATCAAACAAGATGCTTCAGAGAGCATGAGTGACCCATCCCGTGATGCTAGCATGGACAGTATCTCTTCAGTGCCAGTGAAGAGTGAAAAAGGATTACCAAAAGCAGATGATGGCGTAAAACAAGTGATACCCAAAAAGAGATCCAGGAAAGAAAACCCTGGTCACCATTCCTATTCTTTCCTGCCCCTCACACAGACAAATATGACAGCCCAACAACAGAGTCAGTCGGACTTCAATCGCATCAACTTCCTCATGCCAACAATTAGGTGGATCGAACAACAACAAATGCTGCAAAGTAATACTAAGGGCAAACCTTATGCAGAGTCTCCATTTAATCAAAGTTCTGGTGTTTCATTTGGAGATTTATTGAGCTCAACAGCTAAACAACCTAGTAATGGCAGCAATAATGTTAAACAAGAGCACAGAGTGTCCTCTAGTTTATTTGGTGATATGCAAGTGCCTAAGACTTTGTCAGTAGCTTCCCCAACATCTTTGCATGGAACAGCTGAATACGTCAAAACTGTGAGAATGAAATCCACTGCTTCAGCGACCATAACAAGTGAACCAAAACAGGAAGGATCGCAGGCTCTAGATCTTTCATTTTCCTCAACAGCAAGCTCTGAGATGTCAAACAATGATAACAAGATGGGGGGATCAAACAGTGATAACAAGACTGGACATGGAGAAAATTCTGGTGCCTCAGGGACAAGTGACTTAAAGAATTTGGAACCAAAACCACCTGATATTATGAATGCACCACCTATGAAACTCACAGGATCACAGCAGAGTTTGTTTTCCAACATGTCTGAAGCATTTAAATTAGCCAACAGCATGCTAACACAAATACCGGAATCCACTTCTTCTTCGTCAGGATCAAAGTCTCCCCGCTCTCTACTTAGTCCAGGGAGACAGAGAGTTGGGGGAACCATGGGATTGGCAGAGGCAGTGTCACATGACCATGGTGGTCTGGGTTCTCCACCGTTACCAAGCAATGCTTGTGGTTCAACTACCTGCATAGGAACACCATCATCCCTTCTTTCTCATTCGTCTTCTCTACCTTCACATTCCAATCAAAGACCGCCCCAGGCTCATATGAATAGACCTTCTAATCCCAATCCTAGGCTACAACCATTAAATCCAGCTGTGCCGCCGACAGCCCAATCAAATCTTCTTCTACAGGCCCTGAGTGGTCAACCCAATCTACCCTCACAACAACAGCAGACTTTTTTAGTGAATATACCTGTGATGCATTCTGGTACTACTACTACTGGCAGCAGTACCTCCGCAACCCCTACTTCCGCCGTTACTAATGCATCACAGGTGAAACAAAAAATTCTTCTCTCAAATGGGGTTCTTCAAAATAATGAGAAAACTTCAGGATCTGGCACAGTTGTTACGGCACCACCCACTGTCAGCCAATTACTGAAGGCAACCAGAGGAATAACATACTCAGAATCAAAATCACAAACTTCAAAAACTGTTAATGTCAACAGCACTATGAAATATGTTCAGATGAAATCTCCTTCAGGAACTATAAGTTTAGTTCCAGTGGTTTCCCAATCGGGAGGAAATACAATCTTGCTACAGAATCAAGCTGCCACAAACATTTTACAAATATCATCCTCATCTATTGCAAATTCAGTGACAGGAAACATTATTGTGCAGCCTTCTGTGCAGAAAATTGGAAACCCACTTGTACAACAGACTGTGACAACTCCATTAAGGATAGCAGTATCACCACAAGTTGTACCAAACTCTACATTATGTATTGTTCCTCAATCCAAATCACTTAATGTGGGGGGTCAACAAAACATATTAGCCATGGCTGGAAAACCTCAAGCAACACTGGTGGCATCCACTCCAGTGCTAGGACAGAAAACAGCCACTGTCCCTCAGTTTGGTGGAAGACCACAGTTTTCAGGCACCACTCAGTTCCTGTTACAAGGTGTCACACAGATTCACCCCACCCCCACCGCCTTCCAGGTGGATCCTAAGACTCCACATTTCCAGGCTGTTGTGACCTCCAGTCAGGTGTCAGTTCCCCAGTCTACAGTGGTGGCATCAGTACAAACACAGCCTGTCACCAGTGTGGCACTTAAGCCTGCTCAGGCCTCGGATGCACTCAATCCTGGAACAACAACCAAATTCAATGGGGCACCTGCTAATGGTGGGTTAAACAGTGATGTGGATCAGACTTATGGTGCCATTGTGAGTCCAAACAAAGTACTTCAGTTAGTTCCCCAACCAATAGTGCCAATATCCCAGGTATCAGGAGTGACTGCAATGACTACCACCACGTCCACCACGGCGAAACACAAAGTGGCGGCTGACAGTGGGCAGGAGGAGGTCCCCACAAAGGTACCAAAGAAGGAGAGTGATAGTATTATGAATGACACTAGCCTGGAGCACAAAGTCAAAGCTGGACTTTTGTCCCCGAGTTCTAACCAGTCACTTTACCGAATGTCCAGCCCAGGGTCGGATGACAAAACGTTAGTTCAGGTGTCCAGCTACAGTGCTTTCTCAGGGAGTCCTACCAGTAAACGGTCACCAGACATCTCGGACGTTTCTGGGGGCAGTGGCCAACTGTCACCCACTAAGGCAAGTTTTGGGGGTGCATGTGAAATTGATCATGTTTTTACTCATTCTGATTCTGCAAGATAGGGAGTTTATTTATTGTATCAATATTTTACATTTCTGGTTATGCTGATAATGCATTAATAAATGTCATATTGCTTAAGTTGTATGTATTGATATTTTACATTTCTGTCATGCAGGCAGCTAAAAAGAAATCCAATGCAGCAACATCCCCACGATCTCACAGTGTGGATGGGAAAGGGGGGAAAAAAAAGCATCAGGATGAAAATAAAATTCCGAAATCCAAAGGTGATGCTAAAGATTCAGAGAAGAATAGGTCAAGGAATAGCAGTGGTGTCAAAGACGGTTCTAAAGACCAGAGTGGGCGCAAAAAGAAACGGAACAGTAGTGGACAAGATATCAAAAAAGGTTCAAACCTTAACATTGAATGATCCCAAATGACAAGCTGCTGATTTGGGTCATTTAGTTGGAGTAATATTTTTCCTTTTGTAAATTTCAGACAACTATGAAATTTCAGCTTTTCCTGAGAGAATTATGACAGATGAATGGACTAAGCCTGTGAGAAACTTATGGCAACATTTGTTGCTGGATTTTAATGCAGAACAAGACTTTAATGTAAAACTTAGCCAGAAATTGCCACATTGTTCCATTTGTGCATTATTTAAGCCATTACATGTAAGTAGGCAATGTCCCTTTATCTTCATTATACTGTAAATCATGTTTTATTCAGATGAGCTTTATTTTTGTGGTATTACGCAAGGCAGTGTGCTCGCAAAAATTTCATTCTCACATATATAAGTATTCCTTTATGCTATACAGATTAATATCCATAATTCTTGAAAATTTGGTGTCGCTAAAAAAGAGTAAATGACTGTCTCGCAAAAATTAAGTGATCTACAGTATATATCAGTACTTTCGTAAATAAAAAGTATCTTCCTCATTACAGTTGAAATATTTCCAATTTGAATGAAAGGAAAAAATATAAATTGAAAATAATTTTTACATTTTTGTAATAATTGGTGATTTCTAATTGTTAGTATACTACTATTTTGTTTTCCAAGAAGTTGCCATTTTATATTAAAGTATATTTGAAAGTATTATGTAAATAACCAATATGTAATAAGATATATACACTGTATATACTTGGGAAATATTTTCCCAATTTCATTACAATGCATTCCACAAAACATAAAGGAACCTTTTTGAGAGAATTATAATGAATGATTGACTTTTTCCAGATGTTACTGGACAAGCAAGAAGACAGCCACAGCCCTACAAAGGCTAAAAAGGGAAAGAAATCCATACCAGAGAAAACGCTGCCTATGATACCGGAGACCTGTTTTGCCTGTAGTGAAGATAACCCCACTCCAGCTAGAATTCAGGCACACCTGGACAAGGACGGGCTAAGTCAGCTGCTGGTGTGTCAGGACTGTAAAGTCTGTGTCCATGCTAGTAAGTACAGCTAAGAAAAGTCAGGATGAAGTTTGTTCATATTAAGTTTTCATTGTTGATGTGACACCTTCTGTATTGTGTATAGGTTGTTATGGTGTGCTGGATCTACCTCAAAACAAGAAGCTGTGGAGGTGCACTCGATGTGTCCGTCAGCAGATAGCAGCTGTAAGTTTGAAGCCACCATATTATTTACTTCTTATCTTGTAAAAAAAAAAAGTCTACTCATGTCTTCGATTTACATGTTATCAGAAGTGTTTGCCAGTATAGATTACAACAGAATTGATAATTTTGATTTTACAGGAGTGTTGCCTGTGTTGTATGAGGGGCGGGGCCCTGAAGCCCACCAGTAACGGGAAGTGGGCCCACATTGTGTGTGCTCTGACTATCACAGAGGTCAAGTTTGACAACATCCTCAAACGGGAACCAATCAACATCGATGGAATTCTCACCAACAGAGTTCGATTAGTATGTGTGAAAAGATAACGTAATATATTTGTCAAATGAGTTTTGAAAAAAAGTACTGTATAAGTGGAAATTTTAGCAATCATGAAATGTTGAATTTAGAAACTTACTTATTAAAAGCAATTATTGCTTAGCAGTATTCAATTCTGTCTATTTCATCACTCGCTAATAATGCCAAATTTAAAACCCTCAAAAATTCTGCTTATAAAATTCTTGTATGAAAATGAAATTTTTCAAAAGTAATTTGAAATTGACCGTTTTTTGAATTACTTGTAATAGTTATTCAATGAATTACACTTTAAAAAAACAATATCATTTTAATAATTTTCTATTATATTTGAATTTTTTTTTCATTAATTTCTTTTATTCAGCAGAACAAACTTTCCATCACCATCAATTTAACTTTCTTTTTAATCATTTTTAACACCTATTCTGATGATTTTCATGACTTTCTGTTTACATATTTATTAATTTGATACATGTGCATTGACTTGTTTATTATCATTACAGATTGAATAGATAAGTTTATTGATTACAGCGAGCTAATTCTGGGATTGTCTGTTTACAGAAATGTTATTACTGTCACCCCCTACACAACAGTGATAAGACTGTGGGAGTCAGTGTCCTCTGTTCCGTGGGGAAATGTTCCTCCTCCTTCCACGTGACCTGTGCCTACGCTGCTGGCGTCCTGTTCGAGACCAGTGATTGGCCGTTCCCTGTGTACACAACCTGTAACAAACATGGAGCCCACAGGGAAAAGGTAATACCCTTTATATTTATATTATTTATGATGCTAGAAAGGGAGGTTGACTTTAATTAACTGTATGTGACTTTAAAGTGACTCAGCATCAGATATGTGATAAAGATTGGGATGCACATGGACATTGGCCATGTCATGTAATCATTAATAGCAAATGTCAATTCTGATATCTTTACACCTCGATATCTTGATGTTTTCGGAGTCCTGCCAATTTCAAGATACCGAATTTTTCCTGTATCATTGTTCGTAGATTCATTCTTTGAAATATATGTTGATTATCAGCAGGTATATAAGTATGTTGAACCAGTATTATATACACACCTATAAAGGATATGTACAAGTAATGGAAGTGATCAATGATAGAATTAAGTATGCAGAACAGTGAACATGCTTTAGGGTCATATTTTGACTTTGGACATCAGGATGAAGTGTATTAATAGTTACCTTTTCACATTTCAGGCCTTTGCTAAGGAGAGAGAGACGACTAATCTAAAAGTGGGTGATAAAGTGTATGCCAGACATAGAAACACTCGATATTATAAAGCCAGTGTTGTGAAAATTAAGAAACAGACATTCTGTTGTCTGGATTTTGATGATGGCTCCTTCAGTGACGACACTTTTCCTGAGGATATTGTAGTAAGTATGCATAGAATTTTATTAAGAAATAAGGTATCATTTTTAAACATCTATCGGGATATAAATACGGGTCGGTCACGAGATTAAATTCCATAAAGCCCGAAGGGCTTTATTATGAATTTAATCTCGTACTTTAAAGTGACCCGTATTTATAGCCCGATAGATGTTTTAAAATGATACCTTATTACTTATATTTACATTTGTGACTAATTCATACTTTATATTTGCATAATTGTGACTTTTAACGTGTGAAATGCATTATTTTTCAAACCCAACGGCATGTATGTAATTCAATGAACGCGTGTCGACCCTTTATGACGTCACTGAGAAATTACGTCAAACGATTATCCAAACGCACATCTATGACCTCTTGACCCCATACCTGTATTTATACAGTTATAGATACGCATTCCTTTCAGTAGTGTTATATAAAGGAAAACATTTGCAAATGTAAATATTTCATGATAAACTAATGTACGAAATATTATAGACTAGTATCAATATGTATATTAATTACTACGTAATTTTAGATACAGGTGCATGTAAATGCTTCCAGTAACTGTGTGAGAAGAAAAAACAAAATTATTTTATACGTATATACAGTAAGAAGTGTAAAAATAATGCATTTGACGTTAGTGGATTGTTTGATTTGTAGGGATACTCTCCATCTCACCTTCCAGTAGTGGGAGCTCCTGTCCAAGTCAAATGGACTGATGGGGAACTATACGGAGCCACTTACAAAGGCACCAACGTCGTGGTCATGTATTATGTAAGTCTGAGCATCAGGGAAATAATTCCATTATGTGCATATATCTTGGAAATATCAATTTAAGTAAACAATGTATAACTCGGCATGCATTGCCTTGCTGAATCAATATTTACCTGTACTTAATTATGAAAGAAAAGGTCATTGATTCCTAACATTGATAATACAGATACAGTTTGAAGATGGAGTGGAAAGGGACTTCAAAAGGCATGAGCTTTGGACGTTAGACGAAGAGCTCCCAAAACATGTCAGATCCCGACTGGTAAGTAGAAAAGATAGGAAAATTATCGCAGGATTGGAGGAATATTTTAGGCTCTAAATAAATATTGTTACCACTGCCATTCAGTAAGCATTAAATTCTTCTGATGTTCTAGTTTCAGAATGTGTACTGCATATTATTTTATTTTACTTTTTTACCTTTTATCTATAGTCCGAAGCCACAGAAAGGAAATACAATCTGCTTTACGATGATGAAATCAAAGCAGAAGTTGGTGATCACCACACAAGGAATAAACCCAAAGTCTCATACTCCAAACTCAATGGCTAAAGCAACCAAGGGCTGCTGGCATATCTGTGATTTTGTGTATAGGACGTTGAACTCTTTATGTATTGTATAGGGCACTTACAGAGCGTCAGAGACAATGAATTTTACTTCAGTGTCAATCTCCTGCATATTGTTAAAAAATTACTGATTTATAAAATCAGTTTCATAAATTGCTTTTAGATAAGTATTATTAATGAAATTGAGAAGGATACATGTATTTTTGGGGTTGATATGATATTTGAATGCATTGTGCATTTTTTTCTGTTTTGTGTAACCTCTTTCCACTTTAAGACTATAAATCCTGATTTTTGGAACCCAACAAAATACTTAAAACTTGAAATGTTCACTGAAAATAAAAGTGTGGCCCTGACAGTGATCTCTATATGCTGTACATAATAAAAGAGAAAAAGTAGGCAGCATTTATTTATTAATGTTAAATAAGGTATTTATTGTACTTTTATATGTTGTTTTGACTTTTACTTGTGTAGTGTATCCTTTATCATGCACTCTTCTTTAATGATTTTTGTGTATATTCTTCACGTGAGTTGTATGGAATCAGACTTATAGAAGAAAATTGTACACTCACAGGATTTTACATGCAAAATTATGCGCTGTAATTTTTACTGAATAAATCTGCATTATTGATTGAGGAAAGTTTCTGGATTTTATCTTTTTTCTTAGTAATTGTAAAATGTAGCTGCCTTGAATATTTATGTTTCATCAAGATTTCCATTTTATTTTGTACTGGTTGAAGTGAAAAACTTGTGTGTAAAACTTTGATCTCTCAGTCTTTGCCACCCTGGACTAAAAGAGAATACACTGGTTTAATTCTTGAAAAGAAAAGGATAAAATTCATGTGTATTGGACTGTACAAAACTTGGATCCCCTACTGGACTTGGAGTCAGTGACCCAAACTGAGCCTTGTGTTGCTGTGAACACTTGAATCTACACAATATGTGGATAATCTTTTCCTATTACCTCTTGCACTTCATGACTAGGATCATTTAATGGCTTTGTTCATATTTAATAAATGTGCCCATGATGCTTCTAAACTTTCTTGATTCTTAGCCTGTGACAAAATACGTGTGCCATTGAAGACACAATTTTTCACATAAACTATGTGTACATACTGATTTTCCCAATTTTTTTCTGGGCATAAGATGTTCACAAGAGGTAATGCATCAAAACAGCTGAACTTCCAAGGGGAGATGATTAAGAAAAGGCAAAAATTCAAGTAAAGTGGTAATAGAAAAAAAATTCAAGAACTACTGGACAAGAAAAGTGGTATCTTCCTAGGGTAGTGAAGAATTTAAATAGTTCAAATCATGTCCCCTGATGAGTAGAGTTGGTTTTACAATAGGGAAACAAAGTTAAATATTGAAAGTGACCCAAACCTACAACCCCAAGATTTACCATGTAAATCGACTCTACGGAGTTAGACTGAGCTATTGATGAACCACATCTCGTGACAGTTTGAGCATGTCCTCACTACATACTGTATGCAGGGTTATTTTTGCCCTTAAACACTTGCTGACAATTTTGCTCAGTTTTAAATCTGCCCATTCACAGTTCAGTTCAAGAAATTATACAGTGTTCTTTGATTTTGCCCTGTTTAAATCGACTCTACGAAGTTAGACTGAGCTATTGATGAACCACATCTCGTGACAGTTTGAGCATGTCCTCACTACATACTGTATGCAGGGTTATTTTTGCCCTTAAACACTTGCTGACAATTTTGCTCAGTTTTAAATCTGCCCATTCACAGTTCAGTTTAAGAAATTATACAGTGTTCTTCGATTTTGCCCTGTTTAAAATTCGCCCAAAGGGCGAATGGGGTGAAAATAACATTCTCTATCTTGAGATTTCCTACCTTTATGAAATGTCTTACATGAGGTTGTATAAAACAACACTCACAGTCTATCTACTGAGCTAAAGGGCCTTGTTAGTGCTGATAGATGTAAAGAAATTTCTGTTTGCCTTATCTTGCAACCTATCGGGACTAGTTTTATCACACTTTGTTAATTACGAAATAAAGTATCATTTTTAGAGTTTCACTGAGGTATGACATGAAGTCAGTCACGCGATCATATTCTATAACGCCCTGTGGGTGCTATAGTAGGTTTGATCACATAAGGGTGTTATAGAATTTGATCACGTGACCGACTTCATGTCATACCCAGTGAAACTCTAAAAATGATCGTTTATTTCTTATATTTATATTTGACATTTTTAGTCTTGTTAGAAAGAAATATAGGCATTATTTAGACTCTCTTTGGAAATGCAACATAACGTATCGACGACGTAATGTGATGTCACAATTGGAACTTTGTAAATGGGTCGTGCAGTTTGCTTTTGCCTTTTCATACTCAAGAAAGTCTGATCATGTGACCAACTGCATGTCATTGGAAATTGAATTTCAATTTTATTAGCATTGTTATATAAGGAAAGACATCAGCAAATGTAAATATTTTGCTATGTCTTGCACTGCAGCTCGTAAACAATGACGCAAAAATGTAATTCCATGATTGCACACTAAAATTCTGTCTGCTTCATGTTTACGAATCCATTTTTTGCCTGGGTATTATCAAACTTTGTCAATTGTAAATTGAGCTTCTTTGAGAAAGAGGTGACCAAAAAATGTTATCTCTAGTTCTCATTACATTGTACTTGGTATCTACATCAAATTTATCCAATGCTTTTTTCTCACATTTAATGATAAAACACAAACAACAGATCATTTTTTTTTATAGTTTACTGTATTGACAGTATAAAATGCTGGGTACAATTATAAACCCTATGTACTGTTACATCTATAGCCAATTGACAGGATGTGACAGTAGTACAAAGTATACACAAATTAAGGCTGTACATGTAGATATACAGAACTTTGTATTCTTATCTCTTATACATGTACATATAATGACAATCAATAATTAAAAATGACCTTTTAGTACACCATTGTTTCTAAACGATGACAGCAAATGATTTACATATCACAGAAATGTTCTGAAGTGAATTCATTATTCCTTCGGACAAAATGTAATGATGGAATGAATATGAACTGATGCCAGGTTTGCTGATATGATGCACCCTGGTATCAGGATGACCTCCCCTGTTGGGTATCGAGGTGATATCCCCTGTTTACCAAAATATCAGGGTGATCTCCCCTTTTTGAAAAAAAAATGTAAAGATGATCTCCCCTTTGGGTATTAGTGTAACCCCCCATTTACCAGAATATTTACATGCTGGACCATTTAGATTATCTGTGTAAACAAGAAAGCTTGGGCTTGGACATTAAAGTCGGGGCTGTTCAGGGAAAGCATAGCACTATCACTGTTCATAAATTAATGATCATAAGCACACATATGTACAACAGCAGAGGCATTACATCACTGGTGAAAAATTAGGATCATAAATGCATCTCATTTTGCAAAACAACATTCAATTATATAAAAAAAAAGTATTGAAACAGATCCAACCAAACTGGCAGACAACTACAAAAATCTGGCATTAAAATGGTTATTAATTATTCAGTTATTAACCTTCAACACCCCATTATTAAACCTAGAGATTATTAACAGTTTCTTTTGGCTTTACATGTAGAGTTGAACATACAATGCTGTGTGAATCATAAAGCAAAATAAAAATCACTAATGAAAAGCTGTGAATTATCACTGTTGCTTCTACATAGCAAATACCTATATGTTACAGATCTTGACTAAAGTCTTCATGACAAAACTGACCACAAACACACACACTGGGTGAAAGATAAAACAAATGTCTTCTAGTTTTACATCTAAAATGTGCACCATTTGAAGAAAATCTAACAAAAGTCAACTTTGGAAAAAATTACATGAAATTTTGTAAATTATTTCTATGGATAAATAAAATTAGTCTGTTCTACGAACATAAGCATATTGCCGCAAGAAGTACACAGGTTACTTAGTAAAAAATTCAGAAATCCTTGGTTCTAGACCTTGAATAAATCAGATTGCTTCACATTCAGATAATTCAAAATATATACATTGGAAAATGGTTTGCATCAGAAACATGTAAAAGACACAGCTGCTGAAATATACAGAAGCTGAGAGAAATAGATTTGAATCATTGTTATGAGCACTTCAGGTTAAATGTACCTAAAAAGCATGGGCACTCATCATTCTCATACCATATAAAGCAGAAATTTTAACAAGGATTTGATTTTGGCAATTTTAGCAATGGTGTTGAGATCACTCAAATTAAATATCGCTAACAATTCATTCCTACATTTGAGTTTACTGTTATTATTCAAGACATCACAAAATCACTATTACATGTAAAAATTATTTCTCACTAAATTTAATACCGATTTTTAAGAACAATAGCGAAATATGCCTCTCACTAAAAATTCTACTTATACGGTAGATTTACAATACATGCACTGGGATTTACAGGTACAATAATATATTTTTCTGTAACAAGACTACACAAAATACTTGAAAAAAAGAATGTTGGTGCATTTTTGTTCCAAATTGTATGACACTGAAACCAAGAAAACTGATGAATCCATCTTCACAATCTTGTTCAATATGCTCAGAACACATAGAAGTGTAGGAATAATTTGTTAAGTAACAGTAACAGCATATGGATGATTCTTATGATGAAGACCATTAATATGATCTTTTTTTTCTTTTTACAGACAAGCATGCTCTCTATTCAGTCACAACATTTATGGCATACCTTCATATTGCACACAAAAATAAGTCTTTTTCCTTGGGAGTCTCTGTGATTTTAGAAAATTTTACCCAAATTCCTCATTAAACAGATAATCCATAGTAAGTAGAACAATAAATTTTCATTATTATATGCAGTGACTCTCTCCCTTCCCCCCCCCTAAATATAACAATTTATATATAAATAAAAAATAAAGCTTAAACAGAGAATGAAATCTTGTCATCTTGGGACACTTAACAGTAAGTAGGGGAAGCAGTGAAAGACGATTGATCACAGAGGAATCAGAAGAAACAGAAGCTGCTAATGGACTCCCTGATCAGGTTGTGCAGTGAGCAAACGATTACACAGGACCAGCTGCTCAAAGTCTGTGTGTTATACTCCTTCCTGGTCACCAGGAACGGACAGCTCAGTCAATGTCAAGGTCGATGGAATCTACAACCCAAACAAAATATCAGCATTTGTGTTCTGTCGTGTGAGAAAGGCAATATATACAGGTGTATTGTGGATCACCAGAACATTGTGTCATTTTTATTTATTCAGAGCCGTATGACATTGTTAATCATAAAGAACTCTTTAATATAAATATAATTCCTTTTACTGTAATATAATCAGTACCTTGTGAGGTGCTTGCTCTCTTCATGTACATCCATTTCTTTACTCTTAAATTCATTTAATTCTTTCCTAATAGCAGCCTGCAAAGCAAAGAAAACTCTTTTACAAGAGATATACACAGAAGTCAAAACATTGTATTAAATACTATATTTTTAAATCCAACCATCTTTTAGCAGTAGCCCCCCTCTCTTCCCTGCAACTTTATCTGTTGTTTGTAAGCTGTAACTACACTGACCTTATCTTTTGGTGTCTGAGTCCCCCCCCCCCCTCCCCTGTAATTGTAAGCTGTAACTACACTGACCTTATCTTTTGGTGTCCAAGTCCCCCTCCAAAGCATAACTGTAAGCTGTAACTACACTGACCTATATCTTTTGGTGTCATGCATCAGAAAAATCAATATCTTTCAAGTTGTAACTACACTGACCTTATCTTTTGGTGTCCGAGTCCCCCCTCCCCCTTAACTGTAAGCTGTAACTATACTGACCTTATCTTTTGGTGTCAGTCTGGTCCATGGTTTGTCTGCCCGTCTGTCATACTCATGGGCATCTGTCCATTCTACGTAATCATTGAATTTGATGATCTTTCTTTCCTTTAGTTCTTCTATACTGGGTCTAAAGCTTAGCTATAAGAAAGAAAAACATGCATTTAATTTATTACAAGATATCCTTATAAAGGGAAGGAATACAAATATACAGACTTATTTTTTAAGATTAATTCATCCCTGCTAGAACAATAGTTTACCTTCACCAGTCTTCTGAATTTCCTCAATTGTTTGTTCCAATTTTTTAATTTACTATTCCACACCACAATCACAAGAAAATAGAGTTGAAATAATGAAGAATTAAACACCAACATGATGAGAGAAATGTTTTAAATGTTATAGATCTTTGTATATACCAGGGTATATAAATACTGTCCCTACTAAAGACCTCTCACTTTTATCATTCCTTGCTAATCATAGGGTGTGTATGTTCTCAATAACCTTTAATTACCCTCCCTAACAAACAAGTTTAATTAAAGTTGCATGTACAGACATGACTGCTTTAGTACTATCAACATGTTAATTATATAATTAACACCTTACCTATCTATTGTTATATAATGTGTAGGATTGGCATATAAACTGTTCATTGATTCATCATCATGAATTACTATTGTAGAAATATGATGCATTCATCAGAGAGTTATTCACATTAATGTAATAAAAATATGATATACAACAGTTCTGTCAACAGGAGTATTAATCATTGGTGTATTCTAACATTTCCGATTTTTTATATTAATGATTCTTGGTACAAAATGTACATGCAATAATCAAACACTGCAATTACATAACATCCAGTCAATTGTGAACAAGACTTTAATCATAAAATTTTCATACATTTAAGAACATGTTTTAGGAAAAATGTTTGTCAGGCAACAAACTTTTTTTGATTCTTATTCAATGAAAATTTTGCCCATTGTCTATGTTATGTATAATAAGCATGTATTAATATCATCAGTTTATATTAAAGCTAGAATCCTCCACCCAAATAAACTTAAGATAGATTGAATTCATTAAAGGTCTCCTATACTAAACTGCATGAAATAAAGTCACATCTTCCAGATATTAAAGCATTTTTCTCCATTCATTCTTCATACAGAGTACAAAAATAATCAACATGTTTTTTGAATAAACAAACAAGGTGATTTAATTAATTAACCAATCTCCATAAATAGCTAGATCTCCCAGAGAGGGAAACAATTCATTAACACTGTGACAAACAATATGTGACAAACAATATGCAACAAACAATTACAGGAGAGTATAAACAAAATAGAAACACAAACACCTGCAGTTCTTCACACTCATAGTGTACCATCCTACTTATTACAGTAAAACTCATTTAGTATAAACACGGATATTGCAAAGTCACGGATATAGCAGTTATCTTGGATCCCCAGCTATATAAATTTAACAAATTCACTATACAGAAATAACAAATTATGGATATAGTGAAGTAATTTCATAGTCCCCATGACTTTGTTATAACCAAGTTTTACTGCAGTAGGAAGAGTATCATGTCAGATTGACAACTAAATCTAAGCCTTCCTCTACTGAGGCCCCTCTCGTCCAATATCACCAACATTTCAAATGAGTTTTATTTCCTTCCACATCAATATTAACAACTTAATATATGAAATATTTTTTCTCTGTCAGACTTAATGCTACCAACCTTTCGTATGAGGTATCTTTTCTTCTCTTCTTTATCTTTTTCAGCTTGGTCAATACTTTGGGCTGAAATTCAAAAATACCATTTACATCAACCATTTACTATACAATAACCATATACTATACATTGACCACTTACTATACATTTCCTACATTGTATTTACTATAAATTTACTAAAAATTAACCATTTAGGCCTATTAATATGGAAACAAAATGCCAGATTAAATGTGTAATATGAACTACTTAGAGAGACAGAGCCGTTATGGTAATTTAGGGAAGCTTACTGTGTAGAATATTCCTTTGTTCTAGTTCCTCCTGAGTGGGCCTTAAACTCAATCGTCTGAAAAATTAAAAAAAAACAAAAATTTATAACAATACATAAATAAGAAGTTAAAATAGTACACTGGTTAAATGTCTAATCAAGAAAAAAAAATCTTTGACAGAGGACTAAACACTTTGATAATTCCTGTAAATCACATTTTATTTGTGAGACCTTTATCATCTGAGAATTATGTCCGCTCAAAAAAATTGTGGTTTTAGTTTAAAGATTACTGTAGATCACTGTATTTTCGCAACACCTTATTTACACGAGATACATGTAACTATTTGGGATTTATTAGTGAGACAAATTGTTTGCAAGCTGTGGTTTCTGTTTATATAATCCGTTATAATATATATGTACTCAAGATTAACATTTTCATGACAGTCACTCACGTAATTATGCAAAAATAAGGTTCCCACGAATAAAAAGTTGTTAACAGTGTACAAAAGAATAATCAGAATTTGCGAATTTTTGTTTTGAATATGAATACTAAATAAATATCTCAAGAAAATGTTCACAAAATGTAGATATCTACAATCTAATGACTGTAAATGGACTAGTCTACTGTGAAATATTCCAGTCATGAGAACCAAGGCCCAATCTCTGTAGCTTAAAACGTGGTCTCGTATATTAGCCAGCAATACATCTTGTAACACATTCCTTTTTTTCTCAAAGTCATATTTCCTTTTTAAAATTTCGATGAAGAAAACGTGTGTTTGCTTGTTTTCCAGCACACCCACATGAGTATGAGTAACTGGAGGTTAATGTTCTGTACAGTATAAACCATATACATCGCCATCAACAGGTGACAATCAGTACCCACCTGATTAGCTTACTGCCGATGGCATTCCTGTCCTCAGTTTTCTGTAATATTGATTTTTCCTGAATGATATTTTTTTCCACCAGTTCCGTTCTTGTTGGTCTGTTGCTGAGGAACCGCGCCAAGCTATCCTGCCGTGCCACCTTGGCTGCCAGTGCCGCTAAAAATAAAAAGAATAAAGCAAATTTCATAAATTTAATTCATGTGCAACAAAGAAATCTTATATCCAGTTTAAAATTCTCCAAGTTAACATGACTTTCATTTGAGAGACCCATACATGTTCACCAAACTTGAGTGAACTCGACCTGACTATGATACCTATCAGTCTCATAGTAATCCCTTTGTCTGAAGACCGCGTCACGAAATAAATCTCAAGAAGAACCATTTCTTTGTTAAACGTTGGTACATTGATTAATAGTGGCATGAAACAGACGAGAATGGATCTTTATTCTGTATCAGCTAACCAATCAACATACAGAGAGAGCTAATCTTTATTTTGTACCAGCCAACCAATAAGATACAGAGAGAGATTCAAGTCTATTTATGGTAAAGAGAAAATGTTGCTATTCAAGGATCATGACATATTAAAAATAAGAATATATATAGGGTACCAAGAACGAAGAAAAATCAGACAAATAAAAAGAAATAGACTGCCTCTAACTTCACAGTTATCACAATGATGTACAAAACCACTTGTTACAAGTCAATCCTACCTTAAAGAGAACTGAAACAAATCATTTCAGTAGTTTAGGTTAATCTACTCTGATCAAAATTGGATTTTTTAAGTAAGAATTCAATGTCCAAAAGTTAATCTTTCTCAACAATGACATATATACATGTATATATATTATTTCTTTCTCCTAGCTTTCCTTGTGTGACTTTTAAACTTACAGTAAAATACATTGTTTATGATGCATATTTAACTTCACTGTAATCAAACTGATGAAGTTAATTGTAAGACTTATGTTATGCCCTGTTCATTCAGAGAGTTTAATTCGAACTAAACGTAAATTTACTGCGAATAAGCTTCGCTTAGCATTCACATGGACAAATTAATGCGAATTAGTTTACTGCGCATTAAATTACTTCACATTAGCTGCGTGTGAATGCTAAGCGAAGGTAATACGAATTAAATTCTGACCCATGGGTAATGGCAAAATTCAGTCAAATACCACTTGTCGGTGGTCAGCTTTAGGTACTTGTGCTATTTTTGCGTGAAAAACTAAGGAAATTTGTGTATGCAGACACTTTGCCATTACGTCAAATGGATCTGCTTCTGCATAAGGTGACGTGATTTGCAAATGACGTCATAATAGCCGGGCTGCAGAAGTATAATTTTAAATCACATTAGTTTACTTCGCATTAGCTGTCATGTGAACGCAATTTACTTTGCATTAGTTTGATTCGCATTAGTTTACTTCGCATTATTTTACTGCGAATTAAACTCTCCGTGTGAACAGGGCATTAGAATGAATCTTTAAGGTACAGCTTGGGCAAGAAGAGTTGCTACAAGAAATGCTTCTTGCTAAATAAGAGGAAAAAACATCAAAATCCTGTTGTGTGGACTTACAGACGGGTTCATCCTCCTCTTCATCCTCGTCGTCACGGTAACGGATCTCCTCGTCATCAGAAGAAGAATCGTCCGCAGGATTATAGTCGGACTTGTCCGTTTGACTGTTTGTGAAAGACGGTTTGGCCACGGCTGGGTCTGATTGGTTTTCTTTGTTTTCACTGGCCGTGAATTTTCTACAACAAAAATAACAAGTTAGATTCTGTATAAAAAATTAGTTTTGTTGCAAAACAAAACTTTACTTCCATAACTGATTGGAAGAATTGAAGTGCTTCTTCAAATAATAAATAGGAATACCCTGAAACTTTGTGATAATGCATAAGATTTGTATTTGTACTGACAAGGTGTCAGATGACTTCGACACCAACTTAGTACATTCGCACTTAATTTAAATCATTGGATAAATTGATGTATACCACCTTAAAGTTTTAGCTCATCTGAGTTACACATTGAGAAAATGGTTTACTGATCATTAAAAGTGATCAATGCGATTAGTATCCAGGCTTGCATTAAAGAGAAATTAATTCAACATTTACCTAAACATAAGAACTGTGCAACTGCCTGAATATTTTCTAAGTTGATTTTGTATTTTAAGACCTACAAATATAATACACTAACAAAAGGTTGCTGTTTTGAATCTTTTTTTCCCCTGATGTTGCTGAATATACCGGTACCTGATTCTAGTTATTTTCCTGGAAACTTAAATGTCAATAACATGACTTGTACTTTACATAACAAATCACATGACCTGTACTTTTCATAACAAATCACATGACCTGTACTTTTCATAACAAATCACATGACCTGTACTTTACATAACAAATCTAAATGAAACATCAAGAGACAGGCATTACTTCTTGTCCTATTTTATAAATGTCATTTGAGATCAGTTTGTTTTCGTGATGCTACTTGGCCATTCATTTCCTTACCAAGTACATGTACTAAAGGGTATTGAATTCTTTGACAAAGTCATTCAAAGGTCACTAATTCATATACTGAGAATTAAGCAGGAATTTGATACCTAGAATGCTGTACATTTCTCTTTTAGTTATGAAAAGTTACTTTCTAATGTTATGGAGAACTTTGTAATATTCACAATAAATCAAAGGATTTTGTGTGTAAAACTCAGTATCAAGGGAATGGACATTAATTTTGCATTTTGAACATATATGCACAATACTCTACTTCTGTGCTCAGTTTGACAAGACCCCCTCTGCTTTGCAGCAAACATAAAGGTATAACACGACAGACTTCCTAACAGGATCTACTAGATGTGTGTGTGTGGTGATCTATTGCTGTAACAGATAGCCCTATTTCTAACCCTTAGATGTGTGTGTGGAGAGCTCTGTCGCTGTAACTTACGAGAGTCCTCCGCGGAGTTTTGGCCGGGGTGCTGCTACAGGGGTGGCTTTGGGTGAGGACTTTGGTTCCGTGATGGGCACTACCTCTACAGGGGCTGGGGATTCTATGATATCTACATGTGAGAAATGAACGGACGAGGAATCAGTGACAGGGGGGGACTCTGCCTGTCCTGCCCCCTTTAATGCACTCTTTTTAGGAAGTTTAGAATTGTCCCAGTCAGATGCCGGAGCTATCTGGAATGTTCCAGTTGGATCACTGAATTCCACTGCTTCTTCACCCTTCTCCTCGGACTTCTCTGTAATTATACAGGATAACAATGTTACATCAATATATCATTATATATTACCATTATTCAAAACCTTATTTTTTCACTAAATGTAGATGCATGATTTCTATAAATGACTCAAAACATATTTTTAAGGACAGCATTTGCTAAAAATTGCACAACTGTGAAATCACTCACTTTTGTGGGGAAAAAATTTCATGGTTTGAGGGTGACAATTAGTGTATGTGGATTTGAAACCACAGTAGAAGAAATGTAGCACTTGATTACAATTTGTGGGTCTTTTTGTAACAAGGAAACAAAACTTTTAAGCTATTGATTTCACAGATTACCATATCTGCTTCACAGCTAGTGATTACCTTTCTGCTCTGGAGCAGGATGGGGAGGTGGATCCATAGATTTCTCTTCCTGTGTGGGTGGCAGTGACTCTGTGCTGGACACACCAGAATCAGGGGTGGTGGTGCCCTGTAGGTGTGGGAATACCATAGGTCTAACCTGAGCTGTGGTCAACACTGTGAACAAAAGGTACAACATATAATACAGCACCAAAATGGAGAAAATCTTTGGTACCACTATGATCACAATCACACACATATGAAGTTTGTGCAGTTTTTTAAAAAAAGGATGATATATTCATCCTTTACATTCCTTCTACACCTAGACTATATCCTTAGGTCTTAGAGGTTCTTATGATGTGACAGAGTTTGGGTGTAGGTTTTCATGCCCCCTTTAAAAAAACTATATTCTTAGTTTTGATAGTTCAGCTTGTGTGACATTACAGAACAGAATCTTGGTGTAGTCACATCACCCATTTAGCAGAACTCTTAGTATATTCTCAGATTTGAGACAGGTTTTTGATGTATATGATTAAATCCTTACTCCCATTTAGCAGAACTATATTTTTATTTAAACAGGCTTTTTTTTTTACCTGATAGAGTTTGGGTTCAGGTTCACACTCCCACAAGTAATCTAACCTTCTAGATTCTTGTAATATTGGAATATTAGGTAGCCATAACAATACCTCCTTGTTTTATAATTAAACCATGTAGACAGTGGGTTGTTTTTATTCAGAGAATGTCAAATCTTTAAACATAAAGATCACACTTAACACCCATTGGAATGTAGCAGTTGAGCTCTATGCAGTACTCTATAATATATGTTACTGTGTATTTGATACCTGGTGCAGTAGTGTTTGCTGAACAGGAAGTAATCTCTGCTTGGGTTGTTATGGTAACAGGTGTTGTTTCCACGGATACACTGTCTACAGTGGCAGTGCCATTACACTCGGAAGTTGACACATCTGAGGAAGTAACTTCTGTCACAGCTGAAAAGATAAAGGGTTATCTTCAGTCAAAAGCCAAGCATGTACATGAATAATGCATTTATGACATATTCTAGACAGCATAAACTTAACTCATCTGTATCTTTTGTGCAAACTGGTGGTTATACCTATATTGCCTATGATAATGGAGGATTGATATAAATATAAGCGACATTAGGGAGGCTAAGTTTCAGATCTTCACACTTACTGGACTGTTATGTTACAAATCCCCTATGTATATTCACCTGTTCATAAATAATCTTCACCATCAAAAAGTACCTTGTTTTGAGAATAATTTAGTTTGAGATGACAAGACAGAGTACAACATTTTTACTTTGATGAAGCAATAACAATCACATGCTGAGGTTTTATTTAATTATTTAGTTGCATCTCATAATATGATTGATCATCCTGACAACATTACTTTTTATTTTAATTAACTCACTTTTTTATGCAATGATACAGATTATGATTAATGTCAACTGTAAATGATGAGCCTATAATTTTAATAGTACATATTAATAGTAATCTTGAATGTTTTTTAGCAAACAAATATGAATTCCTATGCATGAAAATTCACAAGTCTTTAAGCATATACTTGAATATGAATTTCCTGCTAAATAAATTGAACTTTTACCTCCCATATTGCTAGTGTTAAAGTTCTCATCTATTTACCGCATGCTTAGTATAGTATGATTTTATACTTATGTCTTGTTAATTCTTAAACCTACTGCTTATGATGTGCTGATTTACTCAAGAAGAAATTGAATTTATCACAGATTTATTTGCAAATGGTACTAATAAAATGTACTCTGAGTTTTTTCCAGACAGCCCCTCTATGTTAGAGCAGTCTGCTTTGTTTATCAGCTGGTATTGAGGAGTCATTGGATTTAATGGTGGCTCAATATTTATAGAATATGAGGGTACCTTGCATCCACAATTTTACATCTTTAACAAAGTATCAACTGGGGTTTTAAGTGTACTTTTTTCCCTTGTATATACTAGGCGAATGCTCCAAACTATGCCCCCTTGAACCTGTAAAATTTTGGCGTTCCCATGAAAATTGGCCACAATGATTTTTAATGATATCACAGTAACTCATGAGAGCTCCTTATGAGAGATGTAAAGGAGTTGGTTGGTTTTTTCTTGAAGCTGTTATAGCCCTGACGTTATAAAGAGGAGTACATTATTAGTATTCCAAACCAACAAGCTCATAGTGGCCTACTAGTACATGTACATGTATTTACCTATAGATATATATACATGCTTTGAGTTAGGGACAATGTTCCCAATATTACAGGAGTTCAGAGCCCTGTTATCTGTCCTCATAAAACACAGATCTTTTGGTTATTAACTTTAACACTCTTCAACACTCTTTAAAATTTACCAATAACAAATAACATATTACTTTTCAAACACTTCATATACCTGAAGATGAAATAATGAATGATTTAAAGGTTATTTTTGGTGGGACTATTCAATATAATGTTTTTGCTATTAAAAAAGAAAATAGCCAAAAGTAAATGATATGATTTAACTAATTTTTCTGAATTTGAACTACATTATCTTGAACACTGATATCTTGAAAACAGTGATATGTTGAAGAGGTGTGGCAAAATGATATTTTATTTCTATATTTATATTTTCATTTTTTATTCCTGTGACAAGGAAAAATAGGCACTATTTAGACTTTGTTATGGAAATGCAACATAACGTATCTATGACATCATGTGATGTCACAATCTGAACTGTCCAAAGGGTTCGTGCAGTTTGCTTTCCATATGCAAGAAAACTGGATCATGTGACCAACTGCATGTCATAGAAAATTGAATTTCAATATATATGATATAATCAACCATTAGAAATGTAAATACAGGTAAATGATGTTAAATTAATTTTTTTAAGTTGATCAAACTACAACATTTTGAACACTGATATCTTGAACAACAGGGCTATGTTGAAGTGGTTTAGCAGTCCAGTGGACTTCTTCTATATAAACCTTTTTAATCACCTTGAGCTAATCCGGACGACTTTTCATGGGAACGGAATTTTTTGCAGTTAAATTTGTGATGTTTAACTGGTAATTATATGAAAATCACATATCAGGCAGAAATTATTCTTACTTAAATCATGAAATTAAAAAATAATTCTAAAATGAGTATATACTATTTAAACCTCAGAAAATATATCTAGGAAAGAGAATGACAGTGTGACAAGGTACATGTATTGGATGATTGACAGAAGTACACGAATCATATATCAATTTACCCTGCACTTTCTATCATAACTGAGCATTGCCCACAGTTAAGTATTCTTTATCAATCTGTAAAGCAGGATAAATTTTCAATATTCCCACATAATATGTACCATCAGTATAACAAATGCTTGATTAACAGAGGTTAAATCACAGAGAGCAGTTTCCATGCAACAACACTTGTACACATTTACACCACAGATCCTATCTCCATAATAATGCAGGAATCACATCAGCTAGGATAAATTCCATCTGCATTTATAAACCTGCACCTTTATCCAGACACAACACTTCAATCTACAGAAACGTTTCCTCCATTGCTGCCTTAGAGAGGAGATTAGGAGACTTACGAGGGCTGAAGGATTGTGGAGACTATCATTAGAATCACACTTCTGTTCCTGGCTCTATTGATCTGTACAGCCTCTCACAGACTGTACAGCCAGTCCCACTCCCTTATAATGATCTCACACCCTGATCACCCAGGGATTCTATAGATGATGAACGTAACTCACAAATATAAACATAATCCACATCAAATAGAGAATTAACTTAGGGTTCCTGATGCCCTGGGAGAGAGATGGCAAAGAGACAGAACACACCTAGTTGTGGGGCTGTCGCTGACACCAGGTATTCTGTCCTTACGTCACATGACTACTATACACAGCAGCCTAATTCAGTTCTAGCAGGGATTCTTTATGACACATTATTACTCTGCAGATTCCAATACATCTGCAGATAAATTACTCCTAGTGATGCAGCATTACAGTCATAACATTGTCTAGGTACACACATTGCAGCAGTTTATTCACACCTCCTAAGTCAGTACATAATATGTCGAGGGGAGAGACAATAGAAACAGAAACTGAAGATTGGGAGGAGCAAAGGTGGACCAAGAATACAGAAATTTAACCACCTCAAGGAAACAGAAAATTAGCAACCCTAAGGTATTTGACATATCTATAAGCAACTTATGAATTTAGTGCTGTTCCATTTTGTCAGATATGCATGTTATAACTTATAATTACATGAAAAGACCATAAGTCAAATGTAAATATAATTATCTATACAATCATATCAAAATGTGTAGGAATTATGCTTCAAGTTCTTATTTTAAAAATAATCTATGTCTAAAAACGTAAAAATTCTAAAAATAGACTAAAGCTAAAGAAAAAAAAAGAAGATAAACATGTATAGAATTGTTATATATATATTGATCAGAATTCTTGACCTGAGATAAATCACAGATTAATAAGTAAATAGCAACTGGGAGGGGCAGGGGGGGGGGGGCAATAAACCTCATGTTTTGAAATTGTAATGGGAACAAAAAAACAAATATAGAAATCTCCACTTCAATCAAAATTTCCAAGGTCAATCAATATTCATATCTCTGGCGGACTTGTCAAAGTTAACGTAAATCACAGTTTCGTCTAAAATGTTAATATGTATACTCGGTAGACCTCATTTTTACCCTACAAAATCTCATATTGACCTAGGAAAATATCTGATTCTTTCATACCACTGTAGTCATCCTAATTAAGGAATACATACCATATTGAATGTTATATTTTTATAACAATGTCTGACAGAATTGCTTCCAGCCAAACAGAATTTAGTCTGAATGGTGAAGTAAGAACTTGGTAAGATTTCCCAAATCTAGGTCTTTTTTCTGTAACTCATGTGAAATACTATTGGTCAATACCAATATGAGGTCATATTTAATGTGATAACAATTTTATTTCTTCGAATCTCTACACAAACGCATCTGTCAGAACACAAAATATATATCACTTCTTCTACTGGACAGTGTCTGACAGACAAAACCCTACAATCAAAATCAGGGACACATTGAGGGGTTGCAGAGAACATACACCCCCAAAACCTTCCAAATCTCAGCTACATACACCAGATGCAGATGTAAATGATTACAGTAAAACCCAGTTATAATGAACTCTATAAAGAAGTTAATTAACTTATCAAGAAATTAATGAAGGACAAATAACAGTCATGGTTTTGATGTTCTCAAAATTGATTTATGTTCCCAGTATCAACAAATATACAGAACAAACTTACATAACTATACAAATCCTGCTTTGATTTGTTTTAGACTTAGTACATCCAACAAGACATATATATTTTAAACTTAAAAAGGATCAAATAAAACTTAAGACAACAGGATGTTTCCACTATCATAACAGGTTATCCGGATCTAAAAAATGTATACTATGAGGATGTCTACAATACATGTACTAAGTATCAGTATACAACTACTAACAACATAAGGTACTATACATTTATAGCAGTCATAGTCAAGTATCTCCTTCAATTACAAAATCCTTCACATTTTTATCACATTTTTTAAAGGTTAAGTTATATGAAAAATCACAGTATAAAAAAAATATTCTTTATATGTATTAAATCTAATTTTATTTTTTCTAATAGTAGATAGAATTAACTGTGACTTCACAACTGTTAAAAAGACAACCATTAAAATGGGGCCAACCCTCAGCTGTTTCTGTGTGTTGATATTTATGTGTGTTTGATGTTTCTACCCTCTATATGTACTTTCATGCATTTACATTAAATGGGTTTCTACTTTCTGCCTTGAATTAGTTAAATTTGAATGGTATCTGATCTGTGTCGTGATATAGTTAGATTTGGATGGTATCTGGTCTGTGTCGTGATATAGTTAGATTTGGATAGTTAGATTTGGATGGTATCTGGGTTGTGTCGTGATAAAATTCGATTTGGATGGTACCTGGTCCGTGTCGTGATACAGTTAGATTTGGATGGTGCCTGGTCTGTGTCGTGTTATAGTTAGATTTGGTTGGTATATGGTCTGTGTCATGATATATATAGTTAGATTTGGATGGTATCTGGTATGTATTGTGATAAAGTAAGATTTAGATGGTATCTGGTCTGTGTCGTGATATAGTTAGATTTGGATGGTATCTGGTCTGTGTCGTTATAAAGTTAGATTTGGATGGTATCTGGTCTGTGTCGTGATATAGTTAGATTTGGATGGTATCTGGTCTGTGTCGTTATAAAGTAAGATTTAGATGGTATCTGGGTTGTGTCATGATATAGTTAGATTTGGATGGTATCTGATCTGTGTTGTGATATAGTTAGATTTGGATGGTATATGGGTTGTGTTGTGATAAAGTTCGATTTGGATGGTATCTGGTCTGTGTCGTGATATTCATGTAGTTAGATTCGGATGGTATCTGGTCTGTGTCATGATATAGATTTTAATGGAATCTGGTCTGTGTCATGATAAAGTTAGATTTGGATGGTACCTGGTTGGTGTCATGATATAGTTAGATTTGGATGGTATCTGTCGGTGTCATGATATGGTAGGATTTGGATGTTTTCTGGTCTGTGTTGTGATATAGTTAGATTTAGATGGTACCTACCCTCTGCATTGACGTGGTTAGATTCAGGTGTGACCTCCACTTGTAGACTCTGGGCATTATCAGCAGACTTAGATTCGCCTGACGTCGGCTTTGATGTTGAAACTGCATCAACATCTTTTAACACACCTTTGCGTATTAATTCTTCTCGTGTTGACCTAATTGAAATTTTTCTTTCTATTTCTACAAAAAGAGCAAATTAAGTTACAATGACATTATAATATACACTCCATTATAGAAAGTTTTGTGTTTTACAGAAATTTCTTCCTTCATACATTTAAACGTAGACCATAAATCATATGCATGAGAACTTGGTTAAATTATAATTATGTGTACTTAATACTGTTCTGCCACAGAAGGAAAGTTTACTAACAGGAAGGAAAGCTAATGGATTATTGTACTGGGAATACATAAATTTATATCTACAGTTTGCACGACACTCGCATGAATCACAATTGATTTTAAGTATCATTTGTTGACGAACAAATATATATATACTGAACACAGCACATATGTGACAACTGCTTGACAAATCTTAACATTTGTTCAGCCAACTATGTTACCCAAAATATCATAACAAATACATTGTAAATACAAACTCTTGTTCTAATATTCACACACAAGGAAAACATAATAAAATGAAATAAATCAACTAATGGTTTGTGAAACTTTTCAATCAACCAATAAACAATAGATTGATTTGGATTCTGGTTTCTAAATCAGCCTCGGGCAATGCTTGCCAGGGTTCAATAACATCTTACCTTTTGCTGTTCTCTCTATCTTTTCGCTCTTTTTCTTCCGTTTCCATTTCCAGGGTTTGAATATTTTCCCTATGGAGGAGAACTTGCTTTTCCTCTCGGGAGGAGGCGTGTGTTGCGTTGTAGCACTCAGTGTGGCTGATTTCATTTCGCCATTCTTTTTCTTGTCTGTGAAAAAATCAAACACAAATCAATACGAGTTTGTCATAACTTCCCTGCTAAAGTAATACTTGTATTGTCCCAGATTGTAATTGAAAATCAATACCGCACATGGGGAAATGACCAGCAAATGTAAATAATAGGTACCAGGAAAATCAGAACATGAAGTCAGTCACTAATTGACAGAGTGTTAATGTATCACTATAAACACAATGGTCCCTTTCACTGGTACATCACATCTACCAGTTGTCATTCACAAAATCACAGGCAACGTCAGTAACTACTTTTTTTTTTACAATGAATGGTGGGAACAACTGGACAAATATTTGGGTCGTGGGCAGTCTTCAACCACAATAATCTGAGTCACATCGCCATTGGATTCTCAGAACATCAAAACAGCGGAAACACATTCCACCATTTAATAAATCCCATTGTAAACAAGAGAAAGCATCAATACATAAACCTGGAAATCACTGACTACTTCAATGGGAAACAATTTAAGACTTTATTGCTCTTGATCAATCCTGACTAACAGCAATTAAAATCAACACTGAGAAGTACCACACTGGTTTAATTACAAGCATCCAATTTCCTTCATTACTAATGGATCACAATATGTTGTGAAAAGAAGAAAAACTAAATGAAGACTCCATATAAATATCAATATTTCATTTGTCCTTGAAGAAACTGCTAATCCTGATTCAGTTATAATACCTGATTCTTCTAAACAGACTCTAGCTAAAGTTTGTAGATACTGAGACAACTCAATTCTGAATGTTCAATGTATCTCGAACTTTTACATACACTTACATTCCTAAACTCACACATGCACAGATACATATATATTATAAAAGGTACCTTGGAACAATCTTCAAAAACAAAGTGCTGATTTGAGGGATACTTTATGTTAAGTATGAACTACTTATTGCAGTGGCAGATCCAGAAATCTTGAAAAGGGGGGGGGGGGGGCAGTTTGGGGTCCAGGTAGAGGTCCACAGACACACCAAAAAAAACAAACATTGATTTATAAAATCTTGTGTATTTTTTTGACACAAAAGGGAGGGGGGGGCTCTAAATCCACCAATGAATTGTACCAAACTTAAATTAATTTACTAGCACTTTCTTTTAACTTTAACTTTGTTGTCCATCAATGACACATTATGCTATACCAAACAGGACTTTATGGAGTGATCTGTTTGTACCCCTTATCCCCATTGCTGAATATGATATATATGTACTAAACCTGTTACCCGTAGTACAAAAGTCTATTAGTCTTAGTCATGCTTTTCAACCAAATGAAATTTTTAAAATTTTAATTTTAAATTAATTTCTCTAATTGTTCGTTGTAGAAGACCTAACAGGTGGTTTGGGTTTTTCCTTATAATCATTAGCCTCCCCCTTCTTCCTTGTCTGTGACTTTTTCCTTTTCTGTGGAACTCTCCTTTCAGACAGAGGGGCAGATCAATATGACATTGTTTTCCTATTATTTTTTCCAATATTTGTCTGCCTGATTAGAAGGCTTAGGCACAGGTAAAGTCTGTCCTATCTATTGATTTAGCGAGATGATACATCTACTGGAAACTCTGACTCAAGTTTAACCTCCGACACAAGTTCTGTCATCATTGTTGGTACAGTCTTTATGAGGAGTATTGTATTTGTATGCATATTTGTTATGTAATCAATGTTAAATGTTCACTAGTTTACCTGATGAATACAGACATATTTACTGACTTTCTGACAGGTTTACATATTAACCCTAGTTGGCTAAAACAAAAAGCTTTAAAACAAATTCCATTTCTTACTGCCTCATATATGTATGCATTAAAACTGTGAAACTGTGTGACTAGACCTGGAATTGAACCCAGGACCCCTGCATACTAGTCAGGTGCTCTACTGATCTACCAACAGTTACCCAGGCCAATACCCACGGCCCAAACTTGCTCATTCCTCCCTCCTTAAATTGTCTTTGCCCTTGAAGATCTTTTACAACCCATGTCTTTTTTGCACTGGGGGGGGGGGGGGGGGGGCTGCATATGCAAGTCCAGTGGGTGGTCAAGGGCACCAAATCATGTAACAGCAAAGGAGAACATGTAAATTGATTTCTAGTTTTAGAATGGACTAACAAAACTAGTAAGACCAGTGAATATGCACCAGTCCTACAGGACTTAAGCCTTGAAATGTTAGTGTCAAACCATGAGGCATTTCCTTTTTTTAGTCTAATTCTCTCTTCATTGCAATCTATACAGTAATATCATAGTAATATAAAAAGAGTTATGTACAATTTACCATGACTTTTATATACATGTATTGGATGATTTTATGTTTAATGTTTAGCTGACAGCAATGCTCACAAACTGAAATTTTACATAGCATGTTTTATACATGAGCCATAGGCACAAAGATCACAGAGATTATAAAGTATGGTACATGACTAGGTTCCAGAGTTACAGGTGGACTCTAGGTCCTTAATGACCTATATAAAACAGGTGTCAACTACCTTGCAAAACATGTGTGTTAAACATCAGGTGTTATCTTCCCCACACTATCTCCCTACAGAATGACAGAATCCATCATCATTACCAGAAACTACCCACAGATCAGGGTCCTTTACTTTTTTGATATTTCTAAGTGATTCCTGAACTCCAATAAAAACGTACTTCCTTTCTAATTTGTGTCACTTTACCACACTTCTATATAGCTAGTACATTTACAGACATGCAATTTTTATAAGGAAATTAAATCACACTTAAACTCAATCCACTTGACTCTCAGGCAATTAAATTTGAAGATCTTGTACCTAGGTTCTCAGAGAACATGTATTTTAAGTGTCTTAAAAACCCATAGTTAGCATACAGTAGTGATTAATATGACCTGATTATGCTTTATGAGTGTGCATATCCAATAACGAGGTCATTCACCTGTCTATCTAATTAGTGCTGCACTAATGAATGAATGCACACAAAGACATGGTAACTACATCCTTTCCTTATAAGGAAATTAAGCCATGTTTGAAAGTTAATACCATGGAACTGGTAATTCATTGTCAGTTTAATTATAGCTGGAAGGCTGAAAGTCACCATTTTTTATTACATTTATACAACTTATCTAGAAAGGTGATGGGGGAGAGATTAAATAGTTTTAACTGCTTCATTTGTTGTCCAAAATGAGCAATTATAATACAGAAACGCCCAATCACTCATGCATTATCAAGCTAGTACCCATGCAAAATATGTGAATAATGTGGTTTTGGCATACATTTATGAGACACATGAATAAAATATAGAGATAAAAAACAATATTCAAGCTCCATTCAAACAATACAGATCAGGAGCAGAGCAAGCATAGACCTCTAAAACATTACAGCTGGGATCAGGTGCCATGATGGAGTGAGCATCCCTTTGCTAACTGGTCACATCTGTGTGCTCTTTGTCTTGATCCAAATTTTTTTTTAAAGATTTGTAGACAATTAAGTGTGTAAATACCTATCCAACTACATGTGATGCCATCAATTGTATCAAAAGGTCTATATGAAGATAGAAATTGTTGAAGGTCATGTTAAGGTCGTTAGATTACTATTCCTGTATTGGAAAACTTTGAAGAAATGGACCTAAGGGGTAGGTAATACATTCACCACTGTAAATTATTCACTGATGTGACTGTGTATAAGCCTCATCCAGCACAATGAATCCACTCCCAGGAAGAATCCTTTTCCACCTTACCTGAGATTTGTGTACCTGTGTTTTAGCATTCTGAGATTTGTGTACCTGTGTTTTAGTATGCTATCTGAGATTTATGTACCTGTGATTTTAGTTTACTATCTTTCCTGTGATATAAAGTTACCTGTTTCACCTTTAAGATCGTCGTTTGACATGATATCTATCCCAAATTAACTACCCAGACATGGCCGAGGTGTCATCTCTCTCCACACTCTGTCATTGACACACGCTGGGTATAGGCCCAGCTTTATCTCACCCCTCTAATCTTACTGTACATAAATATTTGTGTGGCCTTCAAATAAATACTCTTTGTTGACCAAAGGCATAAAGACTGTGTCCTTTCCAACTAGTAATTCTTACAATTTTTTCTCTACCATTTAATATATACATTCCACATACTGTCCACTAAAATTTCAGATTGGGTTCGACATATCAGTCAATAGAGTTCAAATCATAAGAAGTTATAAAAACATTTGTTGAATCTCAACACAACGTTCACTGAGAGACTGGTGGACATTTTTGTTCGGTCTACCATTTGTAATTCCGAGTATACACAATGACTGTCCAGCTGAAACACCTAAAGGATTCAGAATCTTACTTGTTCATAGGAAATCTTAATTTATTCACTCCAGAAATCTAATTTAACGGGTCACTGTTTACATTGTGTAATTAATGAACTAAAGCATCTGCCTGTAATCATAGTTATAGCTAGGTCTTCAGGTCTTGGTCTGACTTCATTCTTTATATTCTAAGCTACCATCTCGCTTACATATACATGTATTTAATTAACAGCCTGACATGGGATTGTCCAGTATGTCTTATACATAGCATGGTCAAAGAATCCCATCCTAATCTATAGAGAGAAACTAGTGGTCTAAACAGATAAAAACTCTAGCTGAAAGATCATTACACCCCAAAAATAACTATAACCAAAGATAGAATGACTTCTTGGGACTTTGTAAGTACTCATCATATTCAAAATAGGGAAATAGGGGAACCAGTACAGAGAGAACCAAAGGAGTCAGCAAACAAAGGGAATCCCAGTTTTTATCACCAACTCATTTTAAGTAATACTTACATTACAGAAATGAATTAAGACCTGAGAGTGAGAACACTTGTACACAGTTCAACCAGCACTTCACTGTGGTTAGAAGACAACAGTAGCTTTCAGAATTAATTCTAGAATTACAAAATACTCTAGACTAACAGGAAATAAAACAAATTGCTGATTTAAATGTCTTTTGATCGTTTTTTTAAGTAATTGATATTCAAAATATACACACATAAAAACAAGAAAGGGGGTTTACCATTAGATGAAATAACTGATCTGAATGCTAGTAAGTGACAATTAATAGAGTAATACTTCACAATATTTCAAATTCTTGTTGTCAAATACTCATCAAACATTTCATACAGAACTTTTTTAGAAAATAATTTTTTAAGTAAAGACTGTTTATACCTTTTATTAACTTATATATACAATAAAACTTGTTTACCAAACTATACTGCAATCCAAAAAAAATGAAATATTTCCTAAAATATTGGGTTAATAAAAAATTGGAATATGAATTTCAGCATTGTTTTCTTAAAAATAATTATCTCAAATGTTAGCCCTTGTGAAATAAAAAATACATTACTTTTCACAGAAAATATGCATGTCTAAAATTCTAAGAACTTCCTAAAATTTAAAGAAAACTTAACACATTTAGAAAAGCATGTTAAGTTATGGCCTGCAGGTCTAAAACATTGTGGTAGATACATGCTGAAGACAACATGACAAATTGCCTACAACTTGTCAGTTTAAAACACAAACATTCATGAATGTACTGCAGCCCTGCCATAGTGAAAAAATCATACTTAAAATTCACCTTAAAAACTGTACCTGGTTGAATTCATTAGAATAAAAGCCACAATCAACCATAAATTAAGGTCAACCAATACAGATTTCTTTTTTTTTTCTCCCAGGAAAAAAAATAGAGAAGAATTTACCTTTCTTCTTTCGTCGTAGCCTCATCATTTACAAAAGTTAACTCCAGAAACAATGTAAAATCCCGGTAGAAAATTCAGATGTTCGGAGGTTCAGAAAGACAAATGTTCCAGGTGAGTGAGAGCGGGGAAATCCAAGAGGAATCTGTTATAACTATATTCTTGTCATACGTTTCACAGCCCAGTGAGTTAGGCACAAATACCACAGCCAGATAGAAAGCTGATACCTCAGGCAGTCACTCGGCCATGTGACACCAAAACTTTAAATATGTAAGATACATATTATTATTTCAACTCTCTTTACAGCCCCCTTGTTTATCTCAGGCTAATACCTGTCATGTATCTAGGTCACAGAGATGGTTAATGGGGGATCAGACAAGTATGTATAATACCTGAAAACACTGCACACTTTGAAATGGACACCTTATTATCTAGTCCCTGTAATGAAATAGTACGGACATTAATAACTACCTGCAATTCTTAATTACAAACTGCTGGTAAGTGGTTTAAGTATTTTTTTAACCTTGTCAAACAAAATAGTGAATCAAATTTAACTTTAAAAAATTATCATAATTTTCTATACACATGTGTAAAAAAAAATTATATATCTAGTTTTCATTTCCGGGGTGTGCAGTTCATACATTAAATTGATTAAAGATATACATCCAAGATCAAACTCTTATGTGTATACAGGGTGTGGCAATACTTAATGAGTATTATGAGACCAAGATTTTACTTATGCTTAGACCAAAACAAAGAACAGGAAGTTAAAAAGAAGGAAGATAGTACAAATACATATTACAGGGTAGTCTAAAATGAGGAAGTCACAACCGGGGGCTACAACACTTGCCTGTGTTAACAGCTTAGTTAATACACTAACACTCCCAGTCTGTATTGTTCTAATGGACACTGGGCTTGATTACTATCTGCTATATTCATATTTCATTTAATATTACTGTACCAATAAAAAGCTAAGATGAAATATCAACCAACCCAAATAAATTCTGATAAATCTAAAAGGCCTGTAGACCACAATGCTCACCCGGGTCAATTTGCCCCTGCTGTTCTGCATTAGGTTTTTCATCAATACCATTATTCCTGTGTTAATTTGTTGTGGTCCCACCCTTTTAATGAATACAAACATTCTGAAGAGGTGACCCCTGAAAGTCCCATCAATGCCTCCCCAGATTCCCAGAACCCTGGCGATGGATCTGCATCCATGGATGGTCAACGTTCTCACAACAAGAAAATGCTACTACATTGTGGCTCTGCTTTAGGAAGATTTATTTACTAATATATACTCAATAACATATTTGAGCCCCATACAAGTTCTATGTTTTTTTTTAATAAACATGAATGTACACTACTTGAAGATGAGTGTATATCAATGTGACTGAACCACTGCTGAACTTGAAAAAATATTTTTAATAGTAATTTCCTAAACATTCTTAACTTATATAGCCCTTATTCCACCTCAACCTAGCCCCAGAGGCCATATCATATTCAATAAACTTGAGTCAACACTATATTCACAATTATATTAAACTACATGTCTTTTGGCCCAGTATTAGTGGTTCTTAGAATTTGTAGAATGCCTCGGATTGTCTCCACATTTTATTATCTCCTAATTATTGAGATCTTCATTTGTAAAAACTTGAATTTCCTTCACCAAGGATTTTCAGTAACAAGTTTGTTGCAATAGGTGCAATGGTTCTGTAGAAGATTCAATAAATTAATGTCCAAATTATCATTCGATCCATTCAGAAGAGCTCATGCTTTAGCTCCGGTGAGCTAAAAGACTAAAAGAACATTGATTAAAAGTAAATTTCCAAACTTCCCATTAGGGGTATTTTAGTCAGTAATGGAGTCCATTTTCAATAAAAATGAGGAAAGAATTAATTCAGGAAGAATTTATTTATGAAGTAATATCTTCATAAAACAAATGTGACTTATCATAAATCATAATTCATTGCAATCTTTTAGTTTTTTAGCTATATATATCAGGATAACTATATATGGAAAGTTGACAAATCATGGTCTGAGGTAGGTACTTTCTAAATTTCAAATTACAGGAAATGTTTCAAACTAATTACAAAAAATAACATATACATGTACTCATACACTATATACATTACTGTACTTATCCGTCAAGGAAAAAAAATCATGCATTGGCTATACCAAGTATGTACTCTCAAAAACATGATCAAAATTTGAATGTTAATTATTGCTATAATATTTCATTTATTTATTGATGAATTAAAACACTTTTCTTCTGAGGATTTTCAATTATAAAATCAAGTTGACTAGTACATGTAAGAGTTATAGTATCTGTGGCTAATTAATCTGGAAAGATTAATTCTCCAACATAAAATCTTTATCTCCTAAATCAGTCATCTTAGAATTAGGTTAATCCCCACAGCTGACAATAAACTGGTCATAAATACACGAAGAAAGAATAACAAGCTGAATAGATTCTGTGACACTGACAGTTTGTGAAAATGCTTAAAAAGAGAGATAACTCTGAATTACTATTTAAGCCTCCATTATTTCTCATATTCATTAACTTTGAACACAAAATAAATGTCCACTGCTTTCAATTTTTATAAATAAATAAATAAATGATTTTAGAATTAGTGAAATTTTGTTGACAATACTTTCAAGAGTAAACCTGGAATTTAGTGATGGCATCTCTCATTTTATAGAAAACATTTTAAATTTTATTTTTTTATTTCATTAAAATGAATTAAACGGTTTTCTTTTTTGAAAATTTAGTGATATAATGCTGTTTCATCATGCTTTACTGTAGAATAAAGATAGATTCTAGGCTTACATGCATGCACATCTTCAATTTTTTTTTTCAGCAAAAGATTTGGGGGGGGGGCATCATTTATGTAGCTGTCAGGCAGGTGACCAGTTAAGCAATTCATAAGAGTTTAAGGGACCCTGGTTCAAATCCTTGTTTGGTATGCTGTATTTTCTCCCTCCCTGTTAGATTTGTTCTCTTGGCCATTCCTAGATTTGCAAGTATAAGTCCTGCCAGGCTCAAAAGAATCTGGATTTTATCAAAAGATGGAGTAATATGGCAGTCAGGAAGAAGATTCATTAACTCACTACAGTTGGAAGAGTACTTCACTTCAGGGGACTGAACTCAAATCCTTCTCTTGTCCCTTGCAGTCCCTCCCTTCCTATTCTGAATTTATCTTTATTTTTACAATCATTTTACAAAATTTAATGTGACATTAAATATAGCAAAAAAAAAACAAAAAACAATAAAACACATATCTAAAAATGATGTTTGAAAGGAAAAGATAACCTGGCAATGGGATTTTTTTATGCTTTGGTTACATCAATGGCAACTATATGATGAGTTTGTCTTTAAGATGTTAAAAACTTTCATGATCATTTTCTCTGGAAGTATCAATTATTTTTTGTGTCCCTACAACCTGATACAATCTGACACTTACATGTTGACATTTGACCTCTTATGGCAAACCCAAGATTCACTTTCCTCTGAGTCATGCCTTAAGTTCTATTTTAAATGCCTCCATTGTATGAACATGTAATGTAGTTATAATACTTGTGTTTGATACATCAACTTTGATTCCTTATGCTTAAAAAATTATTTAAATGTAATCCTTTCTCTCCAAATTTGATTAAAATGAAATCATCTAAAATTAGCAATTCATCAAAGGTCACAATGTACATAATAACTAATCCAAAATGCATATTATTCATTAAGTGGTAAAAACAGAATAGGTAATTAATGCAGGATCTGGTCTTAGAATACATTAACAAGATCTGATTTGAATTATAACCACTGTGTTGTTCTACACAGTAAAATTACTATTCTAACTTAAAGTAAGTCTAGTGGTGCTACTCAAATTGATGACAAATAGATTATAGAAAGACCGTAAGATAGATGACATATTATTTACCATGGTGATATAGAAAATCAAAAAAAACACAAAGTGTGTAGAATGATGAATGATGTGAAATAATCAATGCTACAATAACACTTATCAAATTATAACATACATCAAGCTAGTCAATATAAAAGGATTATAAAATATAATATACTAAAGATGTCATCTAGCCTCTAGGTGTTTTCAAGGTATGATAAATTTGATTCCATTGCCATTTTCAATGTTCTGTGTTCTCAGTATGAAAGTTAATAAACAGGGTAAACAGTCTAACCTCATTATTTTGAAGTACCCGTAAATGAGATTAAAAAAAAAACTTCCAGATATCAAATGATTTGGGATATCACCATATGAAGAGTAATTTACAAGAGGCCCATGGGCCATGATGCTCACCTGAGTTTATATGGCCATTTTGTGCTTCATCAGCAGATTCATTTTCTTATTATAAAAAATTCCCATGCAAAATTTGATCACCAGTTGTGACCCCATCCTAACCTCCCCCCTCCTCCCCTTTTGAATCTGCAATCTATGGATGTTTCCAGATAGACATGAGTGATCATGGCTTTGCTGTACATAATAAGAAAAGTTTTAAACATTTTTTCTATTTAAACCCAAGTAAAACTTTGATCGCCCATACCCTATTCCTGGGGGGTCATGATTTGAAATTGAATCTTAATTGTCAGAATGTTTTCACATAATTTTCATCATTTCCAACCAAATGGTTCTCAAGAAGAAGATTTTTTAATGATCTCACCAATTTTTTAACTTTTCTTAATTATTTCCCCTTGAAAGAGGTTGTGGTATCATCATTTGAACAAAGAACTATATGTGGTATACTGCATATCTTTGCCCCCACAAAAGTCAAATTTTGAAAAATTCTTGAAATATGCTAAATTCTATAAATTGTATTAGAAATATAAATTAACAGAACATATCATAGTTCAAAGTAGTTTATTGACAATTTTCGTTTTTATGACGTCACAAACTAGTCTGATTTTATATCATTTTTTAGAAAGAGGACAAAATGGACAAAATTTCAACAATTTTGGCTTTAAAACTTATAGAGCGCAAATTTGCTCAGGAACAATATTTACATATTTCATTGATTTTATCATTCTACAAATTATATCAAAATATTGAGCCTGATCAGACCTGCGCTCGATGATATTTACTCAAAATATCGACGTAATATATACATTTTGCTGTAGAAATCATGGAAATTTTAAATTTACGTCATTTCAAAAATATGACGTAATTGCTTATGAAAATATTCAGTGCTTTGAAGTCAGCATATATCCACCTGTTTAAGAACAAAATTAAATATTTCTCTGTCAAAGTTTGATTTGGGGGGCAAATATTGGTTATTACTGAATAAAGTTCTTTGAATCCTCTTTACCCAAGGCTTCTCTTTGCCAAGTTTGATTGATCTGCCCAAGTGGTTCTTGAGAAGATGAAATTGTAAAAAAGTTTACAACAATGACAAAGATGACAACAACGGTCAACGGAAGACACCGTGCAAATTTTGACCAGAAATGCTTCAGTGGTTTGGATTTCCAAATCACTCCATATTTCAGATACTAATGTTCAAGATACTGAAGAACAATTGTCATTCATAGACTACCAACAGTTTATTAACTATTTATTTTAGCCAAAGTTTGCCTGCAGTTTCATATTTCAAGGTATTGCAAGAGTCAGATGTTAGTTTCCTCACATAAAATAAAACTCAAAACATGCAATACACTAAAATGTGTATACATACAATTTTAACATTAATTGTTTAGAAGACTATAAACAAAATACTTGAGTTCATTATAATGAAATGAATAAACAGTTAAACACACTGTGTGGAAGACAATTTCTGATACTACCCTGATACTAGCCTCACCGATATTAAACCAGTACTGATATCTTATAATCCATTCAACTGTTTATATACCAAAAATAAAACCCAACAATTTTTTTTTTCAAACTGCATCTACTTAAAGTAAATCTGTAATCTTAAAGTTAAACCTACTTCAACATGTTCAACAAGACTAGTGGTTAGGCCAAAATAAAATTACTGTTTGTTAGGAATTCCCTCCCCCCTCATTGAAATGATCCCCTCTTGGATAATTTCACTAAACAAAATATAAGATTTATTAATTCTTGGCTGGTTATCACATGCACCATCTAAACAATTCATTAGCATAAGATTAAACTAGGCTATTGTCTGATTGGGAGATCCTTAACAAAAAGTCAGAAAATAGTATATGGCCTTATGCAGGAGTCTCGGGTTATTCCTGGTCCAGTTGTACATTTTCTCCTTTCCTGTAACTTTATTTGGTGCCACTGAACACCTCAGACTTGTAGGTGAAAGTCTTACCAGGGGTTAAAAGAACTTGCCAATGGGTTCTGTGTTTTAAAAGTAAGGACAAACTACAGAGGATGGAATATAGAGGTTTTGGGCTATGTAAACCTGGATACTGACCTGAATAGCTCAGTGGTTACTAGTTCTAATAATGAACTAAATTGGGAATATAACCTGACATACCAGCATAACTGGTTTGCATACATTTTTGCACTTGATAACCTCCAATGCAAGTAAAAGAGAAAATGGATAAACTTTAGTATATCAATTTTTCTAAACCCTTGATAGAAATAACTATAAGAAGGTTTCCTTTCTACATGTTAGAGACAATACTTTAATGTACACAATGACCCTATGCTACTCACTGAAACACCGACTCAGCTGATCTCACAAATGATAACCAGGAAATGACAAAAGAAATATTCATTGAAACATTACGACAAAAAATAGAGAAGGAAAGTTTTTGCTCATTGTGCGATTGTACTCTAGTTATCACTTGTCATTAAATATTATATGACACTCTTTCGAAACTTTAAAACCAAAACAAACAAAATATGGAATGTGTATATTGTCTGTTGTTTGGGCGGGGAGTTTTATCGTTTTCAGGTCAACGAAGATCAATATTTACTTATGAATAAGATGAGATTTACCCTTTTCGCCACTTTCGGTGCTTAGAGGATCCACACTGGCCTGTGGATCACTGTTACTTCTTTGTCGTGTGTATTTGTGACCTGTTACATTTGCAGAGTCGGTGGCCATGATCGCACAATACCCATTTTTGGGCGAACTTCCGGTGTTTTTGGGGGTCAGGAACTTCTATTTTCTCTTTTGAGTTTTAATTGAAAAATATATATTTAAATATTAGATATACCCCTTTCATTGCACAATTATTTATCTTTTATATAATTTCATATTATAGTTCCGTATTTTTGTTCTAAAATTAGATTTAAACGTGATGTCAATGGCTCGTGACATTTGACGTCACGTTCAGGAGAAGTGAATAAACAAATTGCTAAATAACTCAGTATCATCTGACTTTTTCAGTCAAAAGAAGACAAGACAGCAAGTTTTAACAGTATAGAAAATCATTTACATACCGGTAAGTAAGTTTTACCTTATTGTAGTGAATAGAAATAATAATTCTAAATTGTACAATGGAAAATGGCTGTCATTATTTAGATCTAGGCCTACAATAAATTAACTTCCTTTATCATGGGTATCAGCATGTACCTTACTCGGAAAAATGAATCATTCTATGTTTTAAATTTGATATACTCTGTGTTTTTAATTAGAATAAAACAAGATGTCGGGATTATATCCTACTCTAGAAGACATGAAAGTTGACCAAATGGCACAGGTAAAGAGATAATATTGTGATTTTTATAGATTTCTGAAATTTAAAGATGAAGGAAACAAATATTATAATGCTGTGTTTTTTTAATGTTTAAAACTTTACTTTGACAAGTATTTTGGTATATATATAAACAGTTATACTCATAAGGCAGAAAAAAATATATAGTGTAGATTGAAATAATCCTGAGATAATTATTTTATACTAAAATCTGTGTAGTTTCACATCAATTAATCAATTATGAATTATCTGCTAAAATTTAGTTAACTATCTTTAATGCATATGTTGCACTTATAGATAAATGATAATGATATGTTGTAAACAAAATGTTTTTTTAAATACAATTGGAGACAATGACATTCCATTGATTAATCCACTGTACATGTTTCAGGCTCAGCACCAGTATGAGTCTGCGGCCGCCGGTCAGATTACCTACCCACAACAACAGGGGTCAGAGTCCCAGCCCTACCCCACACAGCAGGGGGCCTCCCTCTACCCCTCACTGGGGAGCTACATGGGTCTGGAACTTACCCCAGCTTTTGTAGAACAAAACATGCCAGTAGTAGCTCAGGTAAATACTCACTACCAAAGATCTCATGAAGAATTCATAATGATTTATGGAAAAAGGAGAAAATAACCAACTGTAAACTTAAGAAAAAATTACATTTGTGTCCTTTTCAAAATAACATAGAATAACTTTTGGGATGGGTATCGCCAAAAATTTCGTATTGCGATATATCACAATTTTTCCCCACAATATCATGATAATATCATGATATTTTTAAAAGCAGTTTTTACAATGATTTTATATGAAAAGTCATTATTTTTGTAAAAAATATGCTAGAAAAACAAAATTTTACTTTCTTGAAATTTTTATTTAAATAAAATCAATTAGGTTTGGACGGTAAGATGCCACTCTTTTCACTTGTTACAACTTTTTGTAATTTTTTTTTTATTTTTTTGTAATTTTTTTTATACTTTCTGTAATTTGAAAGATTCAACAAATAAATGAAAATAAATTTTATAAGATTACTGTTATACAAAATATTGTTAAATTATTTTTTTATAATATGTAACTTTTTAAAGACCGGTATCTTTTCCTTTCTCTCCACTCTGGGCAGAATGGTTTTTATCACGCAACAAAAAAATTTAATGAGATGATATACACCTTATATAAACGGTATACCGATTTGCTGTAAATCGCACATCCCTAATAACTTTCATGTATAAGTATGATTTAAAATCTTAAACATTGAAACAGCCATGTTTTCTGCACAGAATTTTTATTTCATTTCATATTAATTACAAAAAAATAATGTGAATTTTGATAAATTGAGTGACAATTAGGTTTGGACGGTAAGATGCCGCTCTTTTCACTTGTTACAACTTTTTGTAATTTTTTTAAATTTTTTTGTAATTTTTTTATACTTTCTGTAATTTGAAAGAATCAACAAATAAATGAATAATTTCTGGACTTTATAATATGTACCTAAAGACCGGTAGTCCTATAAATATATACCGGTATACCGATAAAATCGCACATCCCTAATAACTTTCATGTATAAGTATGATTTAAAATCTTAGAATTTTTATTTCATTTCATATTAATTACAAATAATGTGAATTTTGATAAATTGAGTGACAATGATTTTAATAAGAAAATTTTATTTTGAATTCAATCCTATAAATAATACCGGTGTAGCATAATATTTTGATACCGCGATATATTGAACCCGGGAGTAAAGAGACAAAAAAAATATTTTTTGTGAGATATAGAAGAATATCACCATTAAAGTATTCAATGAGTCTAATGATTAGGGTATATATATGTATTCAAAAGTCTTATATAATAGAACAATTATTTGCTGATTATTTGTCTATTTACTTACTTACAAACAAAAGTCATCTCTTAATAATAAATATAATATAAATATTAATGTTGTTGATTTAAAAATATTTATGTGTACTTGTGTTAGAATAGAACAAAAAACAATGATTTCAAACATCCAAAATTATTCTAATTTTCCTTGCTTCAGAACATGCAGGTTGGAGTTCGCACGAACTCATCTGGACAGATGCAAGTAGCTCCAATCACAGGAGCCAACAAAGGACTACAGAGAGCTGAGATCAAACAGGGAGTCCGAGAGGTCGTCACGTGTAAAGACGCAGATGGAAGGATTGGGCTTAGAGTACGGCACGTCAACAATGTAAGAAATATATTAAAATGTCTATTTCTCTTAGAGGGTTTATGGTATTGGTCTGATTACTTTATTTAATTTAATTAAGTACCATCGGTAATTCTACTTACTGCATATTTTATTTGTAAATCTTCAAATCTATGGAATTGTTTTGGAATATTTTAAATATTGACACATGTTCTCTTTTTATAAATTGAAAGAATTTGAATTTTACAATCTGAGAAGTTAAACCTCAAATTAGTTTTAATTGCTTTTGAATAGAATGAGTGTTTTTCTTTCAGGGTCTATTTGTGGCATTAGTACAGAATAACTTCCCCGCAGCTCTGGCAGGGCTGAGGTTTGGGGACCAGATTTTACAGATCAATGGTAAAGACGTAGCTGGCTGGGATACAGATAAAGCTCACAAGTTCCTTAAGGATGCTCCCCCACAGAGGATAGTGTTCGCTGTCAGAGACAGGTGAGCTAAACACTGTTAGTCCTCCCTAAATATGGAAAGACTGGAGTTCTATATAATGAACATGTAATTGTATTGTTACCTTTGACCTATTTGTAGAGCAAAAAAATACACAATATGTTTCTTGAAAGTAATTATTTTAGATTAGAGCCTTTTAAATAACATGCCTTTCTATATTGAAACAGACCATTTGAGAGAACTATCACCATGCAGAAGGACAGTCAGGGATTTATTGGTTTTGTGTTCAAGGACGGTAAAATTAAGTCTATTGTGAAGGATTCCTCCGCCGCTAGGAACGGCGTCCTGACAGACCACCAGCTGATTGAGGTCAACGGTCAGAATGTGGTGGGATTGAAGGTGAATGCCAAGTGTTTCTTACATTTCACATTTAAATTTATCAAGAGTACGGTTCTCAAAGTTTAATTCATGTGCAAGAAATTTCCTTGACATTCATGTCTTTCTTTTACTCACAAATATATCTCACCATGGACCAATTTCTTAATTATGAATTTATGTGAATATTTCTTTGGTCATGAAAATAAATTGTAGTTGATTAATTTTACAAGGATGAATTGTGAATTAAAGTAGTTACTAATAATAACAAATTTAAACTGGAATTTTTTTTTAAATAATGGTTTCTAAAGTGTTACCTCATATACGCTGCTCTATTACTAAAGGCTTGAATATTAACTGTAATTAGTGTAGTTACTATGACCGTAAAGAAACTCTCAAGTTCTAATCTAAATCTTCATTCTAATATTTTTTTACAGGATGACAAAATTGGTGACATCATTGATGCTGGAGGCAGAACCATCACAGTCACGATAATGCCCAGCTTCCTGTACGACCATATCTGTAAATGGTGAGAACAACCTTCTTCTTACTATCTGCTACCAATAATAGACTATCACAGAGGGTGACAACCCAACTCAGACCTGATCATTTGTGACTTCTCCGTTCTAAACAGTTTGCAATAATTTTACTATTCAGAAGAATCTATATTATTAAATTGGGAAGAAAATATCAGACAGTCACCTCTCTGTTATCCTACTCTCTGCTTTGATTCCATATTAAAGTTGTGTTATTTTTTTCTCTTGACTCTTTGGGATAAGGTTGACAATTATAATCTGATTATTTTGATATTTTTTTTTCAGTATGGGTAACAGTCTCATCAAGAAGCTCATGGACCACTCTGTCCCTGATGTGTAACTGACAGATGTGATAAAATGACATTACAGTACAACATTAGGGGGAGCTGGTATCTAGTGACCCAGAAATCATGCGCCAAATCTTCATATTGTAGGACATTACAGATACAATTTATATGTGCACTGTATAATCCTTCACAAGTGAAATGTCAATGGGGGCATATGGGGTTTTGTAACATAAAATATTTATATATACCCATCTAATAGGTACCTTTGCTTAGATCTGTTGAAATTCCATGATCCAATATTAAGGGGAAAAAAAACCTATGTTTGCATGTTCAATTTTCAATTGTTGTTACAGATAAAATCAGTGTTGTTTTACAAATCTTTATGTATTGTCCGTGTTCAATGTTATATTGAAGTTAAAGCTGTGAAAAATATCAACTGTTCATCATCTTCATTTGTGTTATTTTCATATGCTGAATCATGTGAAAATTTTTATTGTAACCACCATGCCTAAACTGACCAAGGTCTTCTTCATAATGCCTGAATTTGTCTTTTTTTCTGTGAGATCAGATTTTTTCAGATTCCTAAATTTCACAATATTCATTGATTTTTCAAATGTTCAGATTTTATGCGACATTTATCACCCTTGGTTTGTCTATTTATGTTATTTGCGAAATCCCTTTTTTTTCCTGCAAATTTGTAACAGTGAAAGAAACAATAAGTCCATCTTTAAAAGAAACAGGACTTGTTTGGTAAATATTGGATTTATTAATGCAATTTAATTAATTTTTTAACATTTAATTTTCATTTCTCTTAAAAAATTAAACTAGAGAAAATGACAAAACATTCCTTATTTATAAATAACATTATGCTTGTTTTAAATCTATTGTAAGCCATGAATTTAACCATGTCAGTGGCATAAAATGTTTTTAGAGTGTGAATTGCAGTTGTGCACGTTTCATGTAGAAAGCAAATTTTATTTACAAATGATCATGTAGCGGAATTTATCAATGCAAGATGTCTTTTCTGTGGTAGAACTGCGAGCTGATTATTACTTGTGTCTTTTTTTATTTTAAATTTATTGATCATTAAAAGTTGTTGAAGTATTGATGATATCATTTTTTGTGTATTTTCTTTATTAAAGGTGTAATTAAGGAATCACATTTTTTAGGTCACCTATTGCTATCTGTTTTTGTCCGTCGTCATTTGTATAAAATTGAACAATTTCAGCTTATTATCTTGAACAAATTTCAACTTATTTTGGAAAATAGCATCTATAAATAGCGGGGTAGAAAAAAACCCAACAAAATTAGTATCTTAAATATCTTCTTTACTCCTGGACATTTGGAATTCATACTTTATGATTCTTGCAAGCATTGAGCCCTCTACCAAAATTGTGAAATTCATAGCTCCAGGTTAAGGAAAACTAAAGGTACAGTAACTGTGAGCAACAAGCTCACTAAATGATATGAGATGCTATTGCTCAACAACTATGAAAGGAATTCTATTTAAAAGACTTGAACTTGATGAAAGAAATTAAATAAAATATGATTGACCCTAATTTCCAATTCCTATCACTTGAAATAAAATTGTCGTGTGAGAGGAGAATAATGCAGCTGTCCAGATTGGGATTCAAACCCCAGCCTTCTGAATCTCCAGTCAGGTGCTCTACCAACTGAGCTATCTGGCCATTGGCAATCGAACCCGTCTGACTGCCACCTTACTTCCTCTTCAGAAGTCTTCTGACCCCAAAAACCCCAACCCAGGCTCTCCCCTGGCAGGTGAGACCTGCCATACCCTGGTCATGGCACCAAATATAACGGGAGAGGAGGAAAATGCAGCAAACCAGACGAGGATTCCAACCCCAGCCCTCTGAATCTCCAGTCAGGTGCTCTACCAACTGAGCTATCTGGCAACCAATGATCAAACCTGTCTGACCCCCACATTCCTCCCTCCTTAAAGGACTTTGGCCCCCTGAAGACACCAATCCCAGTCTGGTCCGCTGCATTTTTCGCTTCTCCTGTTACACACATCTTTTTTGTTATTTTACACTTATTTCCCATTGGCTTTGCATATCAGCTGAAGTGGAAGGTATTTCTTATTCTTTGCTCCTGTGTGCTTTTGTACACATAAGATTTGGGGCCTAACAAAGAAACAACCAGTAGTTCAGCAGTCTTGGATGACTTGTAAGATGGGTTCTACAACTACCGAGACGGGCGACGTAGTCTCAGTCAATGTGTGTACCATAGCTCACAGTTTCATGTCAGCTATAAATCAATGCTCTTGTATGTATGAATAAGTCAGCCACAGCTATGTAGTTATTTCATGCATTAGTGTGTGAGCTCAAGTCCACAACTATACACTGTACCAACAAGAGGCATATGGACCACCATGCTTACCTTAAGCTTGGTTACTTCAGCACAGTTGTTCTTAAGAAGATTTAAAAAGATTATATATATTCCCTTCAAAATTTTGGACAACCACTCTTAGTGGTCTCTTAATACACATACTATGGGGATGCTTCAATATCTTTGTAAACATACTTCCATATCAATACAACTAAAATGACCTTTCAGCTAGACATTAAGATTAATTAAAGCTATTGTATACAAATACTGTAGACATACTTTTTTCTGAGAGGTCATAATTCCGCGGAATCTACATGGATATCTTTATATTTGCATTAAGTTCGATGGGACAAATTTCTGCTGAAAAGTGACCTCATACATAGCGTAAATTAATACCACACGGAAAAAAGTACTTCTTCAGTACATGTAGGTGGGCTACAGTGCTGTTGTATGTGCCACAATTTTGTACTTGTATTTTCATATAAGTACACTGTGTACACCATATATTCCAATGATATGTTCTCTGACAGGGTTTTTGTTTGTTGAAGATTGTTCAATCAGCATGTACATATAATGTGTGCATAAGCCATAAGATAGTATTTCAACAACAAAAAAGAAAAACACACACAAACGCGAATATGTAAATGAAATGTCATATTTATATCATAAAAATGAGACTATACAATACATGTATTTTATTTCATTGATTAAAAAAATATACATATATATTTATATATATACAAAACCAGTAAAAATGTCTTCAATAAATATCTCTCAAGAGTGGTCTTTTAAAGCTTTCCTAACTGCAAGAAACACTGATCCACTTTTGATTTTAAAACAACACAGAATTGACCTTATACTGTATACATTTTTTTTGCGGCCAGTGTTAATTTGCCCTTTCACACATGCAAACAAATTTGCCCCCATTTTAAATTGCCCCAGTCACAATTCTGTTTGTGAAATTACAGTCTGCTTTTGATTTTGTCCCATTTGAATTTGCTTACCTGTGAGTGGAATGAAAGGGGCAAAAATTAAATGGGGGAAAAAATTTCTCTGTATACATGAATTACTGAAATTGCTGCTTGCTTTTCAGTTGATAAATCATACACATTCCTGTCCAAAAAATGGATACATCCATAAAAATTCATCTAATATATACCAAAACAAAAAGGGGAAATAGGAAAACAGAGCAAATTTTATGATCAATGAGTAGTCCTTGTAATTTTTATTACACAATGGGACTGAAGCATCTCAGCACTAACAGAAAGAAAAAAATGGACAAAAGACATGTAAAATGACTTCAAGACAAACTAGAGCTGTCCTAATGGGACCACTGTATGACCCTGACCTCAACTCAACAAAGGGCATACTGATTGACAGCTATATGTTGGTGTTCTAGACAATCCCCCTTGTGCTTGTTATACAAGCTGTAACAGATTCTATATACTGTACATCTCAGTCTTGTGACCCTTTCCAATTGACATTGACAGCTATATACTGGTCAGGGACAACCTCCTTGGTGTTTGTTAAATACAGATTCTACAGTCTTGTGACCTTGTCCTTGTCCAAGTGACCTTGACATCTATACACTGGTCAGGGACAATCCCCCTGGTGTTCATTATAACAGAGTCTACAGACTGTATTGTTCATTATACTGTGTTCTACATTTCATTCTGTGACCTTGTCCTTGTCAAATTGACCTTGGGTCAGTGTTATGACATGTGCTTAAGTCTGAATAAAGCTTTGAGCTATAGGTAAAGTTTTGCATTGTTATTCCATTATAAAAATAAAGATACATGTACTAGAAGAAATTAAATTTCTAAATCTTGTGACCTTAAGCCTGACACAGTCCAAATGAGAGTAATAATTGATTAATATAAAAAAAAGTCAATGCTTGGACAAAAATTATACATTAATAAAAGCTGACAAAGTGAAAAGACTTTTTAAAAAATCTGATAAATCAATACACTCATAAAGGCACACATTTAATTGATAAATATTCCTACCAAGTTTGAAAAAAAATATATAGAAAAGTTCTAGACACAATTTCTAGACAAAATATGATGCAAAAATAGATTGACAGACAAGTAATTATGGTATATTTCAGTCAATTTTATGTTTACTCCCAAAACAAAGTTTGGACCTAAATTCTCTTTCAGAGATTGGCAAGCACTATAGCCAAGTAAAAGTAGAATTATGGTTTGGTGACACTCAACAGCTATACATAAGTCAAATTGTGATTTGGTAACAAATATCTAAATATTTTGATACAATATGGAATGTAAGAATGTTTTTGTTCATTGTTTCTTTTGGAACTAGCATCAATACATGGAATGTACTTCATAAAACAGGGGGGTGGTGTACCAGTAAGTGATTTGTTCCTTATTATATACATATTTCAGGATACATAACAAGATTGTAATTGGTCGTTAGAAAAATTGATACAATGATGAATTTCACAGGAATTAACAGACTTGCACCAATATATTTCTGATGTCAATAGGAATGCAAATTCGCCTGCATATGAAGTACTGTCTCTAAATACACAGTTTAAATAACAATAATGTGCTACAAGAAATGTGTGGTACAATATTGAAAATCTCATATTAAACAATGGAATGAAAAATGTATATTAAAGTCATCAAAATCATATTAGATATACATGTATAATGAAATACACTCAGCTATGCATTCTTTCTCTCTCTCACACTCCATGCATTAAAGTAAAGGTATTACTAACAATAAAACAATGATAACATAGGTATAATAAAAATAACAAAGTTAATTGTGTCTGGATTGGATAAGGAATAGTTAAAGTTCTTAGAATGCTGATGGTGTACAAAACATGATAAAGCTGTGTACAAAAAACAACAACAATATAACAGTATATATAGTTACAAAATTCTACATGGGCCGCTACACTGTTTTATAGCATCTACAATCTGTACATGAAAATCCCCCCCTGAGCTGACTTACAACACAGTCAATTTATCTTTGGTTAGATCTAATCATTTTAGGGGCAGCTACTTAGTACTTAGTTGCTATTATTATGAAGTAAAGGCACATACGATAATTTCTCGGAATGTAAACAGTGTTCTAAACTAACAGTTTGCGGTGATCATAATACAAAGGCACATTTTAATACACTGTTGTATAAAAGTACAGAACATCTTTACAAGTCACCACATATGGACACTTAGTACTACGTACTGTGATGACGTACGACTGGTACAGAAAGTATGTGGCATGTTGGAAGCTCGTTGTTTTCATGTAAAAATCACAGATATCAAATTATGCTGTAAATGATGGAGGGCTAGCCTTGTAAACAGCTCAAGTCAAAAAATATTAATCTGATCTGCTTATCATATGATAAATAGAGAAAATACAGTGGGGTGTATGATGGAAAAATAAATGTGACCTTCAAAATCATCACATCCACAAAGTATTTGCTTCAAATTGTCGATATTAGATAAATAAAATGTAATTGAAACTAATAGTATTCTTTCTTACCATCTCTTATATTTCATCATTGACAACTAAATAAAATTTTAAAAACAGAAAATTTTTATGTTATTCATCAGCTTCCCGATAGTTTGGTTCTGTAGAAACAAAGTAATCATCAAAGAAACTAGCCAGGTATTCAAATGTGGGTCTGTTGGCTGGTTTCTTGTCCCAGCATTTCTTCATGATGTCGTACATAGAGTCGGGACAGTTGGGGGGTTTGGCCTGCCTGTATCCTCGCTCCACTTGTTCCAGCACTTCACGGTTGGCCATACCTAGTAATAGGGAGCAGACGTACACAACATCAGATTTTAATGAAAGTAGTTCCCCAAGTATACATATATCCTTTACATTTTACAGAGTGTGATTAACATTAAAGCAGTCAGTTAAAGAGCAGGCGCCAGTGCTAGAGCCAGAGCTAGTCGTCTGGGTCTTTATAGTTTGGTTCGGTCGATATGAAGTAGTCATCAAAGAAGTTGAATAGGTATTCAAAGGTGGGTCTGTTGGCTGCTTTTTTGTCCCAGCATTTGATCATCATTTCGTACATGGAATCGGGGCACCTGACAGGTTTGGGCTGGCGATACCCTCTCTCCACTTGTTCTAGAACCTCACGATTCTGCATACCTGACAAAGTATAGCATATGCACGTCATGCTATATATATCATGCACATTCATATACAAATATATATTAGCAATAAACATACATGTACATATAATATACCGAAATATAGATAACAAGAGGTCCATAGGCCACATCACTCACCTAAGTAGCTTTGGCCATTTTATTATTTTACAGATTTTCCCCCCTTGTAATACCTATCTTGACCTTGCCCAATCCCCAGGGGTCATGATTTGAGCAATTTAGAATCTATACTACCCCAAGATGCTTCCACATAAGTTTCAGCTTTTCTGGCGCAGTGGTTCTTAAGAAGAAGATTTTTATTTTTTTCCTATATTCTTCAATGTAAAACTTGGATTCCCTATTGTGGTCCTGCCCTACCCCCAGGGGTCATGATTTGAACAATTTAAAATCTACATTACCCAAGGATGCTTCCAGACTTCCACATAAGTTTCAGCTTTTTTAGCCCAGTGGTTCTTGAGATTTTTTAATGACTCCGCCCTATTTTTGTATTTTCTTGATTATCTCCCCTTGGAAGGGGACTAGGCCCTTTATTTAAACAATTTAAACTCCCCTTCACCCAATGATGCTTTGTACCAAGTTTGGTCAAAATTGGCCCAGTGTTTCCTGAGAAGAAGTTGAAAATGTGAAAGTTTACAGATGGACGGACGGACAGACAACGGACAAAGGGTGATCAGAAAAGCTCATTTGAGCTTTCAGCTCAGGTGAGCTAAAAAGCATTTTCTTTATTTTAAAGTTATTTATTTATTTATATATTTCTTTAATTGTCTTTCTTTACAGGTTTTATTTCTGTTTTAGTCCAAACTTAATGCCATTAGTATTTGCTATTTTTAGTAGATTCTAAAATTTCATACAAAGATAAATGTAATTTTTTTTTTATTTTTATACATTTTTCAACATTAACATGATTAATTAGTAATTTTTCATTGCATGTTATTAGTAGTTTTCTTAATTCTTCAGTTCTTTCATGAAACAATCAGGCATTAAAAACATATCATAGATTATTTAACTCTGAAAAAGGGATGCACACTTTAGTTTGAAAATGGAAATGAAAGAAAGCTGTTGTATCTAAATTAACAAAGAAAAAAGGTCCACTTTTACTGATTAAAAGTCAAGACATTGAAACATTCATGAATCTAAATGAGAAAGTACACATGTTGGTCCCACTTCCATGGTTTCAACTTGTTCAATGATGCCCACTTTCTGACATAGTCTCAAGCCACGGTTCGGAGTGTGCATATAGCTCTCTCCTACTTGTGGCTGCTTGATCATAAAAGTGTCATAATCTTGAATATTTACGCCTCTCTATTATGATGTCATATTCATTCAATGACAAGTTTTGTATCCATCGCAATGGAAATCAACAATTTACATCAGCAGTATTCCGTACACTTGATTGGGTATTGAAAAGTCGCTCAAAGTTCATTATCAGACTATGCTTTCCTTGCATTGGTCAATATTTTAATGAGCTACGAAATATTCTCTTCTCATGCAACCACGGCTAGAATGGGAGAGGATTGTACATTTAGGCCGTGGTTTGCGACGATGATTTTCTGATGGATTTTTAATAATTAAGATTATCTTATGGTGTTCTGATCCTATGACATAAATATCTGATCTAAGTCAGCCAATGCTTTTAAACTACAATTGTAGTAGAAGTCTGTTCATGCAGGTTAATTAAACACATGCATACACATAAGCACGGATAGAAATGTATATATTGGACATACATTTTGAGAGAGCAGACAATTTTAATTCTGGTTACATACTGTTATCACTAAACAAACATTATAAATTATGAGTACATATCAATATTATCCTTCACAATATCAGTAAAAAAAAATGCAGCTCTGAAGGAAGTTAATAGCGGATTATAGCGACCAATGGCAATGCAGGACAATTCAGTTATCTATTATCACAAAACAAACACTGACCCTGTAGAACCTGATAAGATTCAAACCCTGTACATACCTGGATATGGAACTTGGCCGTGTGTGACGATTTCTACCAGAAGAATTCCGTATGACCAGACGTCAGATTTAATGGTGAATCTCCCATACAAAGCTGCCTCTGGGGCCGTCCACTTAATGGGGAACTTGGTACCTGTATACATGTATTACAATATATATCATTTATATATACCAATTAAACTAAGGGGATTTAGTATCCAGACATTACAAATCTATAGCATTAATCAATCATTAACTCATTTGAATCTTAAGCAATGCAATTTCAATTAATGAAATACAAATGGAAACATTTTCAGAAATTTTAGAACATAACTGATATACACTGAATTTTCCCAATCTTTGTGTAGTGGTTTATTATTTTTACCGTGTTTAGGGTTGTATTCATCGTCCTCTATAACTCGAGCCAGGCCAAAATCTGCTACCTTTGCAATGTTGTTGTCCCCCACTAAAACGTTCCTAGCAGCTAAATCTCGGTGGATCAGTTTTTTCTCCTCCAAAAATGCCATACCACTTGCAATCTGTACAGAAACTTATATTTAACAAAGCTAACTGATGGTTAGAAAGAAATGAAAGATGGGTGTGATATAAATCTACCCCTTCCTCCCATTCAGGTATAGCATGTTTCATCCATTTGCTAGATGTAGTTTGACTCATTGATGTCTCTTTAATGTGGCCCATCAGACACTTGACTTCAGGAATGAACACTAGAGCTTAATTATGCTCTACGGTTTGAAACTGACTTTAGTTAATATTTAATTCAGAGGGGTCTGTTTAACTCAGTCTATTGTAACCGGGCTTGTCTACAGCCACACTTACCTGAGCAGCAATATCCACCAGCTGTGGAAACTTGAGGTTCTGTCCGTCGTCGTCACGGAGATAGTCCAGTAAGCTCCCTTTGGACATCAGTTCTGTGACAATGTAGATAGGCTCTTGGTCCGTACACACAGCGTACAGTCGCACCAGCTTATCGTGCTTACACTGCTTCATAATGTTAGCCTCCTCCAAAAACGCATCCTTCGACATCGTCCCTGGCTTTAGAGTCTTGATAGCAACATCTGTTGTTTTGTTCCATTTGCCTAAGATCGAAACATAATTATAAGTGAGTACAATCAAGCCTTTAACAATATAGTTCACTACAAAAGGATCTGAAGAAACACCATTAAAAGTCATCTCCTGTTGACCTTACGGTTATCAAATCAAATGTTCCCTGGCAAAAATTTGCTAGTATTTCAGTATTAAGTTTATAATACAGAAGTATGTGGCCTGCTTATAAACAAATGGGGAATTGTGATCTTGTTTCTGTAACCTTTACACAGAATGGCTACACAGTTTTTTAAGAAAGGTATATCTCGAAATACAAATAATTATGAATTATGGAATGAAAATCTAATATCAGAATCTCCAGTACCTCGCCACACTTCTCCAAACTGTCCCGCCCCCAGCTTTTTGGCGAATTCTAGCGACTCTCTTGGGATTTCCCAGGCGTCTTTGTTCAGACTGATGACGGGTTTGGATTTAGGACAAGGTTTTGTTAACTGCCGGCACAACCCGTCAGACTGACCTGGAGAAAAAAAAACACCTCGTCAATTATACACAAAGAGGCTAAAAATATTTACTATTATCTTGCAGTAAATGTGTCAAAGTAACAAACTAAACAATGACCCTGTAAAATTTACAAAATTGATGAAGAATAAACAAATTTCTCTAGAATGAAAGTTGATGTTAAAAGGTACTATTCAATAAGTTGATGAATTACCTGAGTAGTGATTTAATTACCTGAGTAGTGATTGATGAGTTCTGGGAGGGAGGTCATGACCCTCCTTGCTGCGATGTAGTAACCACGATTATTGTCCATGTTGCGTATTTTATAATGTTTGACCGTGTCACCTTTGGCTTCTTCATAGTCCCTCACTGACAGCACATAGTTTCCTGAAGAAAAAAAAATTGTCCTGTAAAAATATGTTGCAGTTTTGTAGTTAAAATAGTAATTCAGTATTTCTCTTTTTTTAACAAAATGATACAGTTGGTATCTTGGTAAAATCACATAAAGCTAGTTATATCTCAAACTTGGTGGGGCTGAGAAAACATCGAGATGACCGTTGATTTGAGAGATTGAAGTTAAAATACATAACGAAAATGTGGTTAGGATGATGGACACATAATCTAACATATCCATGGCTTTTGAGTTAATGGTGTTCTAGATACATGTACCAACATTCAACTTCACAATTGTAGAGGTAATATTTGAAGCTTGTTGATTAAATTCAAACCTGGGCTGGTTTCACTCTCTCTGATCAGGAAGCATCCGACCTCATTTCCAGGGGTCAACAGAAGTCTCTCGGACTCTTTTCTGGATAAAGCGCCCATAAACCAACTGGAAAGAACACAGATTTGGTTTGTGTCAATAAATCATTTAAAAAATGGCTTTATTTCATTTGACGTCTTAGCTACTAAAGTGTCTTATCCCTTCCTCTACTTACCAATGGGACAATTGGCAGTGAAGATAATTTCCAAAATCTTAATTCAAAAATTTAAACAGTCATAGATAACATGAGGGAAAAGATGTTGGAATGTTTGAGGAAGAAAAAGAAGAAACACCATCTCGTAAAAAAGAAGACTTTGGGGTCTTAAGAAGAAGAAGAATGATTCTTAGTGGAAAATCTAAACTAAAGACTTCAGTGGAACATAATCCATTTGGGAGAAAACTGAAGTAGTCATCAGGGAAAGACAGTTTCTTTGGAATATAAATTAAGACAGACTTTGAAACTTAAACCAGCTTACTCATAAGACTCGAGTGAGTCCTCTTTGGCCACGTAGTTCCTTGGGACATATCCCTCCGCCTTTGTGTTGCTGTAGTTAGGGTTAGCATGTTTGGCAAACCACCAATCAGAGTCACTGAAATAAACAAAATAATCCATACATCAGACCTATGAAATTAATGATCATTTATTAATTTAGAAATTTCAAAGATACTGCCAAAAAATAATCAATTACATCCTGAATATTTTGTTCAATTTCATAAAAGACATTTCAATCTAATATAAAACACCTTACATTGGGTACATAAATGACTAGTACACGTATAAATATTAGTTTAGACATAGTTTAGACAAACAATAGACAGTTCTATTGGCTACACTTTACAAATAAATGCTGCATAATAAATATGAGAAAATACTGTTTTGGAGATTTAGGATTTGCAGTGGTGACAGAAACTTATACTACCAGGTAATTCTTAAACATAATTAAACCAGTGTTGACAATTAAATTGATGTCTATACAACAATCTCTTCAGAATACACATAAATCCATATCTGATTGCAGTATAACAATAAAATCTCTACCAGCATGCTCTGTGTACCGTTTTACTTTATACACTTGCAAACAAGACCAATAAGACAGGACAGATACAATCCAGGTCCATGTGTGTAAACCCTTAAGACTGGGCTCTTACCCCCCAAAATAGGATTTTGTGAGTACCATTAAAAATAATGAAGTTTTCAAGGAAACATATGTAACGGGCATTGTATACGTCAGCCTGGTAACTCGTGGTAGAGCACCGGCAAGGTCAGCGGGAGGTCCATGATGGTTTGAGTCCCACTTTGGACGACACATTTACATGCTTGTTATACATAGCTATTAGAGAATTGATACTAACTCCATTACACAATTTTCACAATCTTATATTAATGGTAATATTGAATATACACATGTAAAATATCACCAATCAAATTATCAGGAAATATTTTCTTAAAATGCCATCAAAATCAACTTAATAATCATGTGAATACAGTCATTACATTTAATAAATAATGATTAATACGCCAGTATTTCTCATACCCAAAACTGCAAAGTAATAAAACAAAATCATATCATTAACATTCAATATAAAATGTTTTCCTCACATAAGGAATAAATAAAAGTGTGGAAAAAATTGAATTTACAGCTCTATAAACCTAGTACAAGTACTTTTAAGAACTACATGAACTTGGATATATATATAAAACATGAACAAAAAAAGATGCAGTTTTTAAAAGTTTCTATGTGATGAATATGATGAAGACCTACATTGAACAAAATAAATACTTCTTGTTTATAACGATTTCTTATCTACTTGATCATATTGATTTTTTGGTCTTTTTTTCGTTATTGCTTTTGTTTGTTTATTTACTCAGCTTTTTAAAAAATGTTTTTGACTGAAATATTATAACTTTTAAGGATTATACTGCAGTCTCCCTTATCCATAATATTTGTCACAAAAAATAAATTATAATGGGATAAAAAGCTGCTACATAAACAAGTTCCTTCAATCTTAGTCAAGCTAATGAACCCTTAAACATAGAGCCTATTCTAATGTTTTACCACAGTGACTACAAATTATCTTAAAAACAGTAATTGATATTTCAAATCAAAATGCTAGCTTTTAATTTATTGCCATTTTGTACTTTAAAGAATTTAGAAGAGATAAGAAACTACTTCAAACTAGGCTGATAAATTAAACCTTTAACTTTCACAGTAACTATTGATTTTATCCTTCTCTACTGATATAGGTAAATCATTGACTTTCTTTTACATTTTTCATGTCTTTGTATTCAAAGGGGATACAAATAGACTTATAGGCAAGGAAATTTGGGAAAAAACTGTGCTATATTAGTTCAGATAAATATATGTAGGGGCAATTTTTAGGAAAATGGAGGCTCTTCAATTTTTTTCATTAACCTGTCTACACATTTATAGAAATGACATTTTAATAATAGAAAACTATGTTATAATGTTTTAGGGGGAAAGAGATAAGGATGTTATGGATAAGCATGTGAATGGATGGTACTTATATTTGAATCGGTTTATATTTCACTGGTTTGGTTGTATGTCAGAAGGTAAAAGTAAGTTTTGTGAAGGTCATGTGCTCTCTATGTGAACTGTAGTAGATGTCTTACTCTGACCTTGAGCTAAAATAAAATCATGGCGGGAAAATATATCAATGATAACTCACTAGTGCTCTGTTTTTAAATAATCAATCTAATATAAAAATGTCCTACCAAATAAAAACAAATGGGTTGGTAACAGTGGTAGATAAGTTAAATTTTACTGCTTGAATTAGTGCTTTATTTCATCTGTGCTTTGACCTTCTACTTTTTCTTTCAAAACAGAAATAAAAGGGTTTTTCCTGCCTGTAAACCTTGGTTTTCCAGACTGAGTGTTTTATCTGCCTTGTTTTACTTATGTTACATTTATCATGTAAGTATAGTATTAAGACTAATCATCGCTGAATGACGTGCTCCGAGGAGGAAGTGAAATAAGGATACACGGTGAACGGACTGACGCAGTGTCACATCTACCTGGGCTTATCTTAGCAGACCCCTTAACAGTTAATTTTACATGAACTGTGTCACATATAACATACAGAGGTGCATTAAACTTATATCTGTCTGAAACCTTTATCTGCTAAACTGATTTGTTTGTTTGAGGACATAATGAATACAAGAGTGAGTGTATGTGTACATTCGACATTTTATGTCTTTTTCTTTTTTTTAATAATTTAGAAGACTATGAACCCAGTATGATAAACTCCCTTTTGAGAAAAAAAAATTGGAACATCAGGTTCATTTCTTTACTTTTCCTTTTCCCTTCATGTAAGTATGCCCAAAACTTGCCAAAAATGTACTCATGTATACTATTAAAAATCTGGATTATGGAGGAATACCAATCCCACAACCCTCTCCCTTTCAGATTCCAAAAGAAAACCCCGATACCTTGTTTCAATATTTTACCTTTGAGGGGGTGAAATTACTTGCTACTACATATAAAATTTTTGTTTTTGATTTGTTTTTGTATTTCTTTTTTTTGCAAAGTTTTTGATTCCATTGTTGTTGCTTTCTTTATTTTGATTACCTCTCTGTGTTTGTCAATTAAGTTACATATCAACACAGAATAAATCAGTTTACTATTGTACGGAAGGACCTCAACTTCAGATGTTATTCTATTGATGGCTTACAGGTGAAATGTTGTTGTAACTTGCTTGTTAATTACCCTACCTGTCATCCAGTAGGTATAAAAGGTCTCCCTTTTTGAAGCTCAGATCATCATCAGCTCTGGCATCGTAGTCATAAAGGGCTCGCAGTGACGACTTGTAAGCTACAACACATAACAAAACACTGTTATTGTCTCAAATTCAATGCTTCAAAACTGGGTGTGAAAATCCAAAATATGCAAAGATGAGAATAAGAAATTGGACATTTTTGCAAGATGTTAAAACCAATTTTTTTGTACTTGAGTTAAAGTATACATCATTTATGTTAAATATCACCTTGGTTCACTTAGGTCAGTCAATATACAATGAATCTTATAAGCAAATGAATAAAGACACAGGTGCAGGTAGCTTAATGACATATCCTAAAATGTGTTTCTAGAAGTAGTGACTGAAAAGTGAATCTTAAAGGGGTTGGGTGGTTGGGGCCATTTTTAGACTACTTTGATCTCCTTTAGAAGAAGAGCTCCATTAAAGATAAAACAAAATGATCAAATTTTAAAACTAAAATTTATGAAATTTTTCTTCGCCAAATGATAGCTGATAGCTTTTAAGATATCAGATCTAAAAAATAAGTTATATCGGGTGGTTAATAAAAAAAAAATTTGTTGGTACTGTCAGCAATGAGCTCACTAAATGATACCCCCGCCTCCCATATGAATACAATGGCAGTGTCCATTTATCTTCAACTTCCCATATTTAGGCGGTATTATCGGTATTCCAGTACATGTATCACATGCATATGGTGTTTGCCTCTAAACTGATTCATTCTGAGAAAGATCAATTTGTAACTGTTGACCCCCTTAAGCCTCCTTAAAGTGGTCTGCATGGACACAGTTTCATCATTTATGATTTAAAATTCTAATTTTATTCAAAAATTACTTTCATAAGTTTATTGAATTGAGCTTGCATTAAAAATGATGAATATGCTAAGAATTAAGTGACAAAAACATTCTTTCATCACATTAAACACTTACCTAGTGAAATTGTTAGAATATATGTCAAATGCATCCAAACATTTGTAATTTTAATAGTTTCCAGATTAAGTAGTTTTTAAACATGCTTTTATTATATATTAGTGTGGAATGCTCCAGTAACAGATAAGTCAGGGCATTATTCTAAAAAATTTAATTATTAATTTTACAATTGCATCCTATCATGTCCCTTTTATAGACAAATGATTTCTTTCAAAACAACACAAGGTACTGTGAGCACTGAGTTCACATATGATACCCCCAGCTTCCCTTATGATTATAATGGTGAATTCCATGTTTTGCTATGGGAGATAAATAAAAGTTGCACAATGGCACTATGAAATAAATAATCCGTGAAAATATCATTAAAATTTCATTCAGTGGTTTAAGAGGAGTTGCTGATAAAACATGGGGTACCCAAAGCATAAAAGACTGATGGACAGCTAGACAGATGGATTGACCAATGGATGGACACCCCTTTCTCTATTACCCCCATCCTTTTCAAGCAATGTTATAATAAAAATGTAGTTCAAATTTAAATGAATAAGTTAGCTGCATAGATCAAATCTTTCAACCACGATTTCACAATAATGTCCCATAAAGATCAGCTATTGCAGTGGTTAGGTAAAAGGACAGGTAGATCATTACCTGTAGCTACTGAAGTGAGTCAATAGGAGGACAGATAAAACTCACCTGTCACTGTTAAGATGGGTGGGTGGGAGGACAGGTAAACATTCTTCTGTAGCTAATGAGATGGGCGGTTAGGAGGACAGATAAACATTCATCTGTAGCTATTGAGATGGGTGGGTGGGAGGACAGGTAAACATTCATCTGTAGCTATTGAGATGGGTGGGTGGGAGGACAGGTAAACATTCATCTGTAGCTATTGAGATGAGTGGGTGGAAGGACAGGTAAACATTCATCTGCTGCTATTGAGATGAGTGGGTGGGAGGACAGATAAACATTCATCTGCAGCTATTGAGATGGGTGGGTGGGAAGAAAGATAAACATTCATCTGTAGCTATTGAGATGGGTGGGTGGGAGGACAGGTAAACATTCATCTGTAGCTATTGAGACGGGTGGGTGGAAGGACAGGTAAACATTTATATTCATCTGTAGCTATTGAGATGAGTGGTTAGGAGGACAGGTAAATATTCATCTGCAGCTATTGAGACCGGTGTGTGGGAGGACAGGTAAACATTCATCTGTAGCTATTGAGATGGGTGGGTGGGAAGACGGGTAAACATTCATCTGCAGCTATTGAGATGGGTGGGTGGGAGGACAGGAAAACATTCATCTGCAGCTATTGAGATGGGTTGGTGGAAGGACAGGTAAACATTCATCTGTAGCTATTGAGACGGGTTGGTGGAAGGACAGGTAAACATTCATCTGTAGCTATTGAGACGGTTTGGAGGAAGGACAGGTAAACATTCATCTGTAGCTATTGAGATGGGTGGGTGGGAAGACAGGTAAATATTCATCTGCAGCTATTGAGACCGGTGTGTGGGAAGACAGGTAAACATTCATCTGCAGCTATTGAGATGGGTGGGTGGGAGGACAGGTAAACATTCATCTGCAGCTATTGAGATGGGTTGGTGGGAGGACAGGTAAACATTCATTACTGTGTAGCTATTGAGATGAGTGGTTAGGAGGACAGGTAAACATTCATCTGTATAATTGAGATGGGTGTGTTGGAATGTAGATGGACAGTCATCTGTAGCTATTGAGATGGGTTGGTGGGAGGACAGGTAAACATTCATCTGTAGCTATTGAGATGAGTGGGTGGAAGGACAGGTAAACATTCATCTGCAGCTATTGAGATGAGTGGGTGGAAGGACAGGTAAACATTCATCTGCAGCCATTGAGATGAGTGGGTGGGAGGACAGATAAACATTCATCTGTAGCTATTGAGATGGGTGGGTGGGAGGACAGGTAAACATTCATCTGTAGCTATTGAGACGGGTGGGTGGAAGGACAGGTAAACATTTATATTCATCTGTAGCTATTGAGATGAGTGGGTGGGAGGACAGGTAAACATTCATCTGTAGCTATTGAGATGGGTGGGTGGGAAGACAGATAAACATTCATCTGTAACTATTGAGATGGGTGGGTGGGAAGACAGGTAAACATTCATCTGCAGCTATTGAGATGGGTTGGTGGGAGGACAGGTAAACATTCGTTACTGTGTAGCTATTGAGATGAGTGGTTAGGAGGACAGGTAAACATTCATCTGTATAATTGAGATGGGTGTGTTGGAATGTAAATGGACAGTCATCTGTAGCTATTTAGATGGGTTGGTGGGAGGACAGGTAAACATTCATCTGTAGCTATTGAGACGGGTGTGTGGGAAGGTAGATGGACAGTCATCTGTAGCTATTGAGATAACTGGGAGCAGTGGTTGACACTCACCCGTAGCTGTCAAAATGAACAGAAAGAAAACAGATCACTCACCTGTGGTCGTTTGACTGGGTGGAGGTTCTACTACTAAGGATAAAGTTGTGGGGTCCTTCGTGTAGCGCTCCTTCTTCTTTCCTGTTGAGTTCCCCGTTTTTAAGCCTGTGTCACCAGCGGTGCTAATGTCAGTTAATTTGGTATCAGTTGGCTGTTCATTCTTAGCACAACAAGCTCCCATATTTAATCAACACAGTTTATATCCTTAATATTTGTTTCACATTACATGCAGTTTCAACCTTACACTGAAATTTATGATGCTGAATTTGATCGTAGGTCCATGTCTTCTATAAAAAGAAAAGAAGAAAATATTTACACAGGTTATCATTCACATTAGAAGAAGTGACAAAAACAATGGACATGGAGATTGATTCATCAGTATAAAGATACAAGAAGTCTGTGAGCTAATGCTTACTATAGTAATACCTCCCATTCTCATGTGAGTACTGTATGTGTACTTAAAAAAGCGGGCTTCATATTTTAGCGGCTTTGGCACAGAGAAGGATGCACTAATTCATGAATATTGCTAAGAAATCATTTACAGATATATTCCATATATGCAGGGACATGTGTCATGCTAATTCATGATTACGCCAACAACTCCATACCCAGTGACTGCGCTAAATTTGAATACGTCAAATTTATGTACATGTACAGTATATTGGTACCAAAAGACACAAAGATATACAGGATGATATTGGAATCATACAAAAATAAAAAATGAATCCCACTCTTATTGCATGCCAAAATAAAAACTGTGCTAAAACTTCTAGCATCTGCAATGAGGAGTTGCTAATATAGAACATACTGTGACAGAAATTTGGCACAGACAGATGCAATGAAAAACAGGAAGTTGACATCAAATTCATACAAAAAGGAATCCCACCATAACATGCCAAAACAAAAACTGTGCAATATTTCAAGCATTAGCAAAAGGCAGTTGCTGAGAAAATTGCCAAAAACTACTTGGAATGAACACAGACAAGTTAGGCAGACACAAAAACAGACAGACAAGGGTATAAGTGTATCTCCTCTTTTTCAGAATGCGTGAAGAAAATGGTACAAGGTGGAAATTACAGAAAATATAGCTTATTGCAAATATTGCATAAATGATTCCTATGTATGAATTTCCACATTCCCATTTAAATATTTTCTCTCTTTAACTGCTGCTTTAATTTACCAATGAAAACCAATATCAACCATAGACATTGCTTAATATGGATTGATGACTCTGCAATCACTATACATACACAGACAAAAAAACACTGTCAACTTTATCATGAAATCTTTCTAATAAATAATATGGAAATCATCCAATTCTAAAAGTGAAAACACTACTTAAAAATAACTTTTTAAAAATTGAATGAAGAATTTTTATTTGAATAAGTGCAACTTTTATGACAGTAAGCTCAGCATTAAAAAGTACAAGTATCTATATCTTTGACCTATCACAGCAAAATCTTCTTTTTCTTCCTGTTTCAGAATGAAGTCTCACTGTCATATCTAGATAGAACTACTTGTAAGGGTGTCTGATTTTGTATCACAGGGGATGTGAATAGAGTGGCATTATCCGACAAAAACGAGAGGATTTAAACCATCTTCTACTCTTCCTGGTTCGCTGAGAGTCGAAATCTACAGATAGGGTGTGTACCTCACTACAGCTGATACTCCCACTATCTACGGGACATATAATAATGTCTTGTACTTAAAAATTTACCAAGTTCATATGAATAAAAAATGAGCTGGATCTATTTGAGCGTGTGTCATCAACAAAGGAAGTGAGAATCAAACACTTCAGAAACCTGCTTCATTATTCGCCTCCTAAATCCGGCTGTAATGGTCTCAATTGTACGTTTTCTAAATTACACACAAGATACAAGTACCTTTACTTTATTAGAGTCTTTAGGGAAATAGACCAGCACTTTGCTTCTCCATTTTCAGTAAAATACTTCAATATACATGTATGTCCTCATTTTTACATGCCTGAGTCACATTACTATCTCGTCATGCTCTTCCTGACCATGTCATGTCTACCATTATACAATCTCAGTCTGTAAGATTTATTATTACTAGTTCGTGGGTTAAACAGTGAGCCCGATTGTTTTACATGTAATTTTTATTGCAAGTCTATAAATCTGTACTTGTTTCTGACCTGTGAGTGATATTGTGTGTCTTCATATCTTAAAAAAAAAGAGTACAGACCAATTACTACAGTTGTGATGTGACTGCATGTTGCTGATAAGTGAATAATTAGGGCTTATTTGGTGAGAAGTTTAATTATATATTCACTCACATAAATATGTAGCTAGCATGTATATGCAGGATAAGTGAAGGAAAAAAGTCTCCTTCCGTGTCCCTAAGTGTTTGATGTACAGATATCAGGTACTTGGCACTGAATACTCCACTCACAGAGACAGTCTCAAGTCTTTTTAAACATGACCCAAAATTTCTATTTTGATTTACATGATTTAACCAAATTTGCATTGAATGACTTAGATTGTGTTATCAGAAAGATGACAAATAACTTAATGTCATTGTCTTTAATATGATATACCAAAAATTCTTAAATTACATGTGGAAGTTTCTGAAAGAGTAATTTTGATTTATCCAAAAAAGAAACAGTTCACAAATGTCAATCTAATTTCTAAAAATAACATGAATAACATTGTTCTTTAACCTACAAATCATCCCTTTGTAAATAAAATAAGAAGTTCTTGTGCCAAAATTATGATAACTTGCTCATTTTTTTTCTACCTCAAATTCTATTCCATTGTAAATCTTTCCTCTAAATTGTGACCAAATCCTTAAATACCAAGAGCTCTACATTGTCTCCACACTACATGAGGATGTTGAATATCAATACCACCCCCTTATCCCATCCAGTTTTAGGGGGAAGGTTTATATCTACATGTAATTTTGGCCATAAATACTCAAATGAGTCAATCTCTCACATTTGCATTTTTAAAAGATCTTTTTCCCTTAATAACTGAATCTAGCTCCTATCTCAAGCTCCAGGGTTCGAAATTAACTCATGTCCGTAAGTCCGAGACTAGTAAAAATTGTGTCGGACTAGCATACTTTGTAAGGTACTAGTCCGTACGGACTAGTGAAAATCCGGATATAAGTCTTGAATCGGTTCACATTTTATTAATTTTATTTCCGAGTCTCTTAGATGTTTGAAAATAAACGAGAAACGCAACCGAGATAAAGCGTTTTCTACATTGTGATCAATAGAATAGGACGTGACCATGAGGAGATTTCTGAAAGTTGAAAACCCTCTTTCTTTCACCACATGCTTCCAACTGATGTGTGGACACATATTTCATTGAATTAATTGATAAAATTTTAAGATTTGTATTATTCTTTTTACATACTATAGGGCGGACTAGTGGAATAGTTTGCAGACTAGTGGAAGCTAGAAGTCACTAGTCCGTGCGGACTAGTACTAAAAAAAGTTAATTTCGAACCCTGAGTTCTGATCCCCTCTTGAGGCCTCAATCTACCCTGAATGCCAGGTACAACATGGGACAGTATTAACGACAAGTGTACATGTTTTAAATAATGGTGTAAATGATACAAAGTCATTAATATAATGGCAGTGTCATAATAAGTTCAAGAGCGATATCCAAAATGTTATAAAGTGCATAAAGTGAAGTATACTTTCAACAATGAACAAAATATGTATGATGCTTGTAAAATGAATTCCGTTTGATAAAAATCCTAACCTTTGTACAATTTGGGTTGACTGTTACTAGCCTCAGAGTTAGACTTTAGAACACATTTCAATGACATGATTTCTGTTGTTAAATAAACAAACTGTCAGGCATATTCAGTCGTCTTATGATCGATATTAATTAATATATCTGTCCAAAATGACATCAACCCCCCAGTAATGGAAAACCGATTCAATCAAGACATAAGCAGGCTAAAAGTAATTTTAGCTAAGTCAATTTTCCATGCTAGTTGAGTCCACTAAATGAAATATACATATTACACTCACACAGTCACATCCACACAACACTAAACACAATATCAACATCAAATAGTGAGAACCATGTCTTGTTTTTTTTTTTACCGGCCATATTTGAGTACGACACCTGGGCAAGTGCCGTACCACAACAAGGAAGTGGTTTGCTTCCAGATAAAACTGCCCCACCAAAATCAACATACACTGCGACACAGAAGAATGTTTCTTCTAAAAAGAAAACTTACCAATTATCTGTCGATCAATCCTATATTCAACCATTTGAATTTCATTTTTTACTGTCACAATATTACACACATTAAGGGAAGTAGGTGGAAACAAATTTCAGGAAGTAATATGTACATAAACTCCGGACACGATCTGTCTTCAGCGGCACGATTACGAACTAAGGGGAGGTCACTCTAAATACGAACTGTACTTTCACTTTGTCTTTTTGTTAGATGAAATATTTGTTTTTGATTTTTTTTTCAGTTATGATTATAGTTTTGGTTTTGTATCATTTTGATAGAATTATCATGTTATGTGTAAACAAAGGTTGATATTTTTGTAATATTCATTTTTTAAATGTGTAACGGGAGAGGAGAAAATGCAGCGACACCCCCTGAAACTCCGGTCAGGTGCTCTACCAACTGAGCTATCTGACCACCGGCGATCGAACCCGGCTGGCCGCCACATTCCTCCCTCATTAAAGGTCTTTGGCCCTCCAAAGACCCCAACCCAGGCTCATCCCTAGCAGGTCTTTCACCTGTCAATTCCAGGGCATGGCACCACCAAATGTAACGGGAGAGGAGAAAATGCAGCGACACAGGGGTCCGGTCAGGTGCTCTACCAACTGAGCTATCTGGCCACTGGCGAAAACCCGGAAAATTCCTTCCTGAAAGGTCTTTGGCCCTCCAAAGACCCCAATCCAGGCTCATCCCTGGCAGGTCTTTTAACCTGTCAGCTCCAGGGCATCCTATATTGCAACCAGGTGCCCTTGAATTTCCGGCGATTTTTTTATAGGTCTTTGACCTCAAAGACACAGGTTCTAGGAATTACTAAGTTACACATACACTGAAACCTGAACAAGGCCCCACACACTGGCCACCAAATGTAGTAGGAAAGGAGAAATGCAAATATGGCGGTCAGCCGGGTTCGAGTGGCCAATATGTTGGTAGAGCACCTGACCGGAGTTTCAGGGGGCCCGGGTTCAAATCCCGGTCTGGTCCTCTACATTTTCTGCTCTCCCGTTACATTTGGTGCCGTGCCATGCCCTGGAATTGACAGGTGAAAGACCTGCCAGGGATGAACCTGGGTTGGGGTCTTTGGAGGGCCAAAGACCTTTAAGGAGGGAGGAATGTGGCAGTCAGCCGGGTTTGACTGGCCAGATCACTTTGTCTTTTTCCCGTTATATGAAAAGTACTTGTCCAGTTTCTTAAAATGCCTTCATAGGGTTTTAACTGATCTACATGTACAACAATCAGATTATCTTTTTGAACTTGATAAGTTACATCTGTGATCATCGTGATAACCTTATATGGCCCTATCCATCCTAACCCTAACTTAACACCAGCTGAGGGTGGATACCACCTCCAGACAAAGTCATTTTCTGTAAACTCTCTAGGTTTTAATCCCCTATCATAGTACTTCTTCTGTTTTGATGCTGCCTGCCTAAGATTTTCTGACACAAAATTGTAAGAATCAGCTAAAACTATTCTTAACCACTCTACATATTCTACAGGGCAAGTGGGGATAGGTGAAGAAGGAGGACTCCCTAACATAAGATCAACTGGGCTCATAATTTCATGGCCAAACATGACTAAATTTGGTGAGCAACCTGAACTTTCTTGAATGGTTGACCTATATGCCATAAGAACAAAGGGTATATTGTCATCCCAATTATCCCTATTTTTATTTGCATAAGCTGACAACATTTGCAAAAGTGTCTTATTCATCCTCTCAACTAAACCATCTGACTGTGGCCTATATGGAGTAGTGCGTGTCTTTTCAATGCCTAACTTTTCACATAAGACAGAAAATAGCTCCGACTCGAACTCGCGACCTTGGTCTGAGTGAATCTGTTTAGGGACACCAAATCTACAAATGAATTCATTAACTATCTTATATTTGTCTGTGACCTACTGAGATTCTCACTTCTGTCTCTCTGTGCAAAGTTTATTTGTGCAGGTGAGGTACTCAAACTCTCTGTTTCTCTCACTCTATCTAAGGGTGTCACTGTCTCTCTTACAACTTCATTCTGACTTGCTTGCCTGTCCCTATCATTACCTTCAGCAAATGACACACGACGTTTACGTCAAAGAGTTTCCTCAATCTCATGCTTACATTTCTCAAAGTCTGTAGTGAGGTCCTGCAACAGTTGTTCTAAATCTGAAACCTGTAAACTCATGCTAGTATCTAGTTTATTCTCATGCATCTCAATCTCACTCACAGGAGAGGACAAAGAGGGCTGTTTGACTCTTGACATAAGCTTAGGTCTAGCACCTTGGCTTGAACTTAACCTATCAACTCTAGGGGTTGATGTAGCTCTTCCTACACTATCAGAATCTGAATTTAGCGAAGCCATGGTTTCTATTCAGAAATCCTGGTCACGGCACCAAATGTAACGGGAGAGGAGAAAATGCAGCGGACCAGACCAGGAATTGAACCCGGGCCCCCTGAAACTCCGTTCAGGTGCTCTACCAACTGAGCTATCTGGCCACCGGCGATCGAACCCAGCTGACCGCCACAAATGACAAACCCAGAAATTGATAACGACACGAAAACTGGAAAGGTTTTAAATTAAGGTGACAACAGCTTAGCTGTGTAATCGATTTTATACGAATACATGTTAAAATCTAAATGCAACACCAAAAAGTACGTAAAGTAAGTATTATGTACAGCGTCACTTATCAGTGCAGGGACTTACACTTCAGCATTTTTTTTTTTCCGAGTATAAAAATTTCTTGCTATATAATTACAATCTTTCACAAGTCTTGTTTAACATAACACTAAAAGCCAAGGCCTTTTGTGATGATTATCATCTCAGTGTTACCTGTATATGAATGATATAATGTAATCTACACTGACTACCCCATAAAAGTATGGAGATAATGAACAGTATTCAAGCTCAAAAGTCCAATAAACAATACAAAATAGGAGCAGAGCAAACATGGGCCTCCAAAACATCCGAGGTGGGATCAGGTGCTATGGAGGAGTGAGCATCCCCTGCCGACCAGTCACATCCAATCTTTGATCTTCCAAATTTAAATTTGAAGGGACAGATCTTAATTAGTTAACAAGAGATGTTTGTAAAGCACATATGACCTCCCCCCCTTTCCCAAAATAATTGGAATTTTTCTAAGTGCAAAGGGCACAAATGATCTGATCGTATGCAAAACAGAACTTGACCTAGATATTCTTATGATAAATCTGTATACCAAATTTCATTTCAATATGTGCAACCTCTGGAAAGAAAATGAACAGAAACTGCAGATACCGGTAATTGGAATTTTTTTAAGTCCAAGGGGCATAACTCTATCCATAATCGTTGGATTATATCCAAAACAGACATCGACCTATATATGCTTATGATAAATCTGTATACCAAATTTCATATCAATATGTGCAACCTCTGCGAAGAAAATGAACGGAAACTGATGGTGGACCGACAGACAGCAGCAGCAAAACAATATGCCCTCACTTCTTCCATGGGGGGCGTAAATATGCAGATATTTTTTTTATGGTTCATACAATGTATGTATAGTAATAAATTTACAGCAACAAACATCGACAAGTTAAACCAAGACAGTTTGTGTCTGCTTATTGTTAACAATGCAATACAATGTGAAGGCTAAGTAACCTATATATTCCTTATCCAAACCCCCTTATAAATCAATCAGGATAAACTATATACTCCTTACCCCTCCTTCTCCACTTCACACCTCTTCACTCATAACTTAAAATTCAGGGTACTTTATGTGAATGTATCTATTTATCTGTGCATCAGATCATGTACTCCAAATTTAAATTTCACCAGTGATTAATTCATAAAAAAAAAAACTGAAAACATTGATACATTTTATTATTTAGTGATGGTCAGTTTGTACAATGATGACTTTAAATGATTGATTCCAGTGTGCCTATAATAAAATAATGTAAAATGCACATATCACAATTGTCAAGGCATAAAACAATGATTGGCATGACTAGCTTTGTCTGTCAGAGCCGTAACATATGGATTCTAGAAACCTCATCTTACACAGATATAATTAATATCAATACAGTTTACCAAGATTCATATTTTAATTTTTAATATTTGAATATATAATTCAATAAAAAGTATTTCTAAACAAGATTAATCATAGTTTGAAAAATTGAAAAGCAAACATGTAATCCACTCTGTAAAATATTTAAAATACTTTGTGTAAACTAATCAACAAGTGACAAGCATGTAAAACAACAGCACCTAAATATTTTTGGCATTACAGCCTACACAAGATGTGTTCATGTGAAACAAATTGGAAAATACCAATAAACTAACATATGAAAGCATTTTGATTACACAATGTGGGTGTATAAAGTGGAACACATATTTATATGTAACTAATTAAAACTTTTTAACTTTCGCTCTAAATTTGCAAAAGGATTGTCATGTTACTTAATTTAACAAAACATTTTTATATTACCAAGTATTTCTTTCATGAACATTTAAAGAACTTGCATTGAATAATGTGAGTAAAATTTCACTTGAACTGATCGCTTACTTAGAATTATACTTTCTATATGCTCTTGAGCTCTTGAGCAAAGTCAGGCCATGGCCTTATTAAGAATTTCATTGTTGTCATGGAAAAGAATTATTTTATACACCTTAGTGAAGTGATAAGAAATTATTTATTCTTATGTGTAAGCTACCCTGCATAGTAAATTAACATTATATATACAGTAACTGCTAAATAATGCCCAAACCTGTAAAACCTCAAATAAATCAATATGCATAAAACAGATTTGTCACTGAAATCATATGCATTGCTCTCAGTAATAGCAAATAATTATATTGCTACAAATTGTGAAATTATATGCAACAACATGCTCAATAATCACAACTTCCTGAGGCAAAGCAAAGTATGTATAAACATTTACAGAATGATGACTTGAACATTTTAATTCATAGAGCGTCCACCACTACTTCTAGTGAGCTTCAAACAAGCGCCATATTGTATAATCATATAGACATACACACAACACGGTACTGTAGGTGTCTGATATCTCTTGATAAAATAGGAAAGAAAAAAATTAACCATGATGAGTAATCATGAAACATGATGGACAAAAGTCTTTGTTCTGTATCATTAGTAAGGACACACACAAACACATAGACAGGGGAGTTACAGATCATCAAACAGGCATAATCTCCATGGTATAATGCATTATTATACAACCTATATAATACATTGTAACTAAATAATTAGAGTCAGGCATCAACATTTGAAAACAAAATTATCTCTATTCTCAAAAGTAGTCATATTCTATTCAACATTTTATGAATAAAAACTCCAAAATGGTTTGTTTAAAATTCTGAAAAAATATTTCTTTAATATAAAAATGACAATGACTTGAAGAAATCTCTCTTAAGAATATGCTGTAATCAATTACAAAAGTTAACAGTATCTAAACTATGCCATTCCTAAAGAGGAATAAGACTCACTGGGTTAGCTGATTTATATTCCTTGTGAAGAATGGAGAGGTACATTGATATTATGCTTAAAATCCACTTAACAGTACATGACTTTTTATCAGGCTCATTAATGTACAAGAAAAACACTCCACTTAAATTGAGAAATGATGCATATGGAACCCTGGCATATGGATCTGAGAAATGAAGTTATGGAATGACAATGATCTTTAAACTGAAATCTTTTTTGGGGGGCAATAGTAGAATAGGATTTGTTTGCCAAACACTGATGCCATGTCTACGATTCAACTGTTTCAAATGCAAGTCAAATTCAAAGGTCAAGGCACAAGGAATGTCGATAAGAAAGGTTTTAGGTTACCAGAAGTATGCCTGTGAATTATACGCATAATATAACCAAATCAGAAGTTATAGACAAGGTAACAGTCTTTCAAAAGCAAGTAAAACTCCAAGGTCAAGGGATAATAAATGTTGGTATGCAAAGAAAGGTCTTGTCACAAAGAGTATAATTGTGAGATGTCGAAGCCCTATCAATATTACCATTCAGAAATAATATCCAAAGTTTAAGTTTTCAAAAAGGTCAAACTCCAAGGTCAAATCATAAAGTCAAAAATTTTGGAATCAAAGAAATTTCTTGTCACAAAAAATAAACAGTTGAAAGCCCTAGGACAATTTATTTATAAGTTATAACCAAGGTTTAAGTTTTTCAAAAGTAGGTTAACCTTCAAGATCATGGCACTGAAAATGTTTTCCTCCAAAGAAAATATCTTATCTCAAAGAGGAATCATTTGAAATATGAAAGACCTAGCACCAACCATTTATTGATTTAAATGTTATGACCAAAGCTGAAGTTAGGTAAATTTTAGCCAGAAAAGGTCAGACCCATACAACAATCTGATCAAAAGAGATCAGCTAGGTTAAAATTGTTGTGGACAAACAGACAGACAGCCCAAAAACTCTTTGTCCTCGATATTTTCCTACTAAAGGGGCATAATAGAAATGATTGCTTAAGCATAGAAAGTATAAATGCCCATGACTTCACAAGATTTTCAAGATTTAGACAGAAAAATTTATATTCCTACCATGTTTATTGCATACATTTAAATTCCTTGCTGTCCTTCACTGTGAGGGATCTGACTAAACACTGCTGAGTAATACTGAAATCCTACATATGGAAAACACATGAAAATGATTGCTGTAAGCATAACAAAATAAACTGGTTCTCCTTTCACTGAAAGCCCACTGGTTCCCAACCTTTCATTTTCATACTCTTACTTGATACAAAAAGAAGCCTGATTAATGATATCGATATGGCACACCTTCTTCAAATGACACAATTAAGCACTTCACAAAAGCACTTTTTACAGAGAAACTGTGCATAAATACATGTATCAAACATTCCCTGACATAAAATAATAAAAATGTTTACATATCAACATCAAGAAGCTTGTGAAATAAAACAAATGTAATAGTGATTATCATTTAAGATTGTGAGATGAACATTAAACTTAGATCTTGTCGATGTATGATTAAAACATGCAGATATTTAACAGTAGAAATTATATGAAGGTATAATACATTTAAAATCTGCCACGACAGTTAAAGTTAACATGACAGTATTTGAAACAGCTCTGCTGCTTGAAAAATGAACCAAACTGATCTACTGATCAGTTCTAACATGTGATTGGCTAGCATTTCTTTCCAGGTGATCAGAGCTAACACATGATTGGCTAGCATAGCTTTTCAGCTAATCTGGTCTAGCATGTGATTGGCTAGGATGCCTCTCCAGTTGATCTGAGCTAAGACATGATTCCAGAAGGTGATTGGCTAGATTTCCAGCTGATCTTATCTAATATGTGATTGGATAGCACTTCCTTCCAGTTGATATAGTTATTGATTTGAAAGCATACTCTTCTTGGTGATCAGACCCATTCAGTGACTGCTCAGCATGTCCTTCAGTTGAATATTCACCCTCTGTCATTAGCAATATCTCTGTTTATCACAAGTCAGCTTGCTTTGTTCATATTGATTTTGATTATCTTCACAACAATGAGAAATATTAATGTTTTCCAACCAGTAAGAAAGTAACTGAACTCTGGAAATAATAGCAGTAGAGTTTGACTAGTGGAAACACATGAAATGCTTTAGCTGGTTCCCTCCCACACGTTTACTGGCCTTCCTATCATCTCTTTGTCAGTTTCATGAGATCACACAGTCACTACCTTTAGCTGGGTCTCTGCCCGGTGTGGGGCTGCTGTCGGGAGAACTGTCTACATCCTTGCTGTGTATCGTCTGTTGTACGGGAGATAACTGCTCCCCCTCACTGCTCTGGTCCTCAAGGACAGAGGTACTCAGCTGTAAGGTTGGTGGAGTTTGTTCTGCCAGCTTACCTAACATTTGTGTCTGCTTCCTTATAAAATGAAGGAATGGTTTATATCCCAGACTGAAAAATACAACAATTTTCTAGTCAACCTCACATATTTATGTATTTCTTATAATATTATAATTTAGACATCAAAAGGAAACAAAGGTAAGCAATGACAATCATACAAACTTTACAATTTACAAATGAATGTGATTTTTAAGGGATTTTAAGTTACCATTACACTTTAAATTTACCACTCTGTGTCTCCCAAGAGTTCTAGATAGGAGAGACTTACCACTCGGTGTCTGCCCACAGTTCTAGATAGGAGAGCCCCTCCCTCATTCTGGCCACCATCTCCAGGGGCGTGTCTGTCATGCTGGCCGTGTTAACCGTCCTCACCACAGCTTCTACGTCACGTAAAACAAGGGAGATAATCATCGCCCACTCCAAACATCCAGCTTCCAGTGTGATTTGTAACAAATATCTACAAAAGTTACTACTATTTAAAATGCACTGGATCAGCAAATATCTAAATGACATACATGATAGTGTATCTTTGAATTTTTGAAAGTTTGTTTAGTGCCCCAGTCCTCCAGTTTAGAAATGTACAAACTACAGTAAAACATTTTGAACAAGTGGCAAGTCCCTCAGATTTTGATTCCTAGGTTTACTTTTTATCTGTTTATTTCTCAATATGCTTAATATTAACTGCCAGTACAAGGAATGAAATCACTTCTTTCAGCATGAATTTAGAATATACTGTGAAATCACTAATTTTCGTGGTGGTTTAATGTTCATGGTTTTCAAGGTATGAAGAGATCCACGAAGAGCAAGAGCCACTTTGGGCCTTATTTGGCCCTGATAATTTCTGAGAAATCAAAACCAATCAGTTTAGGTTGCAAATGCAGTATTTATCACTTGGAGTGTTGGTGACCACGTATCTATTAATGGTGACGTAATTCCCCATCTAGTCAACGCATTATGACGTCATAAAATGCGTCGTTTTTCTCATATCCTGTAAATTCCTTTGAAAATAACCTAAAGTTGAAGCATTTTTACAATATTTCATATAGAGCACAACCTCCGGTCCAAAATAAGCAAATACATAATGAAAGCTCTGTTTCTGAAGATCAAAAAACATGTTTTATTTTTTGGATCTTGGGCTGTGCTCATATTTTAATTCTTTGCTAAAGGTAGTCAAATACGCATGTTTTCTGCAAATTTCAAGAACATTGCAATTTCTCAAACCTGTTTTCCAATATCTGGATTCTCAAATCGAAATTTTATTATAGAAAATGAAAGCAAAAAGTGTCTACTTTATTTTGATAGATGAAATGGGAAAGAGGCTATAGTTAATTAATTGATATAAGTACAGGGCCATTTTATGCATAAGATGGCTCTTGCTCTTTATATCCCCCACGAAATGCAATTTTCCATATATATTACTACTGATCAATTCTTCAACCACGAAACCAAATCCCCATGAACCAAACTATTTTCCTCAAACCTCAAAAATTTGACCCCTAAAAAATATGTGATTTTACAGTATGTCATTTTACTGTAGTATTTCAGCTATAAAAAACAAATTCCGTAAAACAGTCTTTCTCTTGCCAATGTAGGTAGTAATCCGCCCTATGTCATGGTACCTGAGCTCATTCTCGGACTGCCGCGGCCCTTTATTGGCCATCTCCTGGGACAGGATCTCCAGCTCGGGGGACAGGGTGTCCTGGGAGGAGGACTCCGTCATGTAATCGAGCTCCCCCAACAGTGAGCTCGAGTCCGAGATATCCAGGGTGGTGGCCAAGCTGCTATCCTCAGCTATAACAACACAGAGGTGTGCAATCTTTATACTGTCAGCTATTTTCATACATGTTGTATCTTTGACTTACATTACTATACAATGGCATGTACATGTATAAACAATCTTGATAAAACTTGATGTGGTATCATTTTGTTAAACCCCATTCTATGTACACATGATATAAGTATTAACAGCAGCTATAGTTTTCTAACTATGAAGTAGACTTGCTTACTTTTGGCGGCCTGTGGTTTTAACACCACATCATCAGACACGGCCTGGGAGAGGTTGAGGGGGGAGGGGGACTGCAGGGTCCCCAAGTATTTATGGTACTCTGTGTCACTGTTGTGTGCCCCCACATTGACTGTGGGTAGGTTCTCCTCATCTAACAGGGACAGAGACGCTAGGCTCGAGGAGGAGACTGTCAACAGTAAATAGGAAAATAAAGGGTAACACTTGACAATGATATCAGAATAACAGGAACGATGGGTTAACATTCATGGAAGAAAACAAAAAATGTTGCTCACAAGTTTTATTTTTGAGTTGCTGGAACACATGGTATGAGAGAATTGGCAAGGGCCACTCGAACTGTTGATGAATATCCTTTACTGCTCTTACAAAGTCCTCCACTTTTGCACTTTTTAATCTGAAAGAAAAAAATGGAAAACATTGCTTAAAAACATATTTTTGTCAACTGGTAAGATCATTTTAGTGGAATTTCTTACTAGATAAATCTGAATGATACAAAGATGATACAAACCGCTCTCTTTTTAAAAATGAGACAAGATGAAAATCCTCGGTGTTGGCACTAAAATATCCCATGTCCCTCAGTCGATTTGTCTCTAGAAGTTTCCGACAATGTCGACAGAGAATCATGTCTATGTACATTTGATCAGGAGCCCCCTCCTCTTTTGGCTTTGATGGCATTCTGTTAACAAGATCCATATCTTGAAAATGTTTTTTGTCAATCTTGGATTCTATAATTTTAATCATTTCAAGTGAAAATTGCTCAGCAAATCACACCAACAATCATATTACTAAAAATAATTACAATAAGCCAATAATATTAATATCAATGAAAATGCTATAAGAAGGCTTATAATGAACAGGCACCATTACTTACTTCTTATTACTGAATATGTTGTCAGAGAATGTATGTTTGAGTTTGGGTTTGCTCCCCTTTGGCACATTTTCAGAGTAGTCTGCTCCTGTCATACTGGAGCTCCGTATTCGGTTGACGTTGCTAACATTACTGACATTGCTGACAGTGTTGAAGCTGAATCCGTCGGCCTCGGACGACATTATGGGAGGACTAGGGACGCCCGAGTGGTAGGTCTTGGAGGAGGGCGTCTTCGACGAGGCCAGTATAGGGGGCGTGGTACACTCTGATGGATCTATAACAGAGACAGAGGGTGTGAGGACCTGGCTCCAGGGCCACAAAACATAAAATCCATTACTATACAAGTAGTCCTAAAGAGTGTGTCTTATTTAACTCCTACCTATTGCTTTAAGGAATCTGACAAGGTCCCTGGCTAAGTCCCATTTCCCTCTCTCCAGAGATTGGTCTAGCAGCAGGGTGGCATGCTGAACAAAACCAATCATTCCTTATTTCTCAATAACTTCACATAAATAAATCAATAAATAATTACCTTGCTTCAAAACTCACCAAGATAAGGAAATCAATCATAATCAAACTAAAAGCGTTAAACAGAGATTTGTCTTACCTGTCGACTGATGATGGGTCGCTCTAGATTCTGTAGAATGATGAGATACGAGGCTGCCGTCTCCAACTCCTCACTCACCATACATTGCTAAAATAAAACTCTTATTATCACTATTTATTATAGTACAATTATCCATTACTTTAACAGCTGAATAATGTTTGTGATTGTTATTTCATTCAAAACTGAGTCTACTAAAATACTTTACTGAGTTCGTAATACCTGACTTAGTGTTTTCAATTTTTTTATACCTCAAACAAATCTTTGGGATTTCCAACCACAGAAAATAAGTGAGGCCATAATGCCACTTCTGTTTTCCTTGCACAGTGTACAATGGTTTGTAGGAATTCTGGAAACTCCTGTATAAAGGCCACAACTCGGGGTAGTAAGGGATCTAAAATAAATAATTAAAACATTTCAAACTAGTTTCAATCAAAGTTATAATGTTGTGACTAATAAGTTTAAAATTAATTTTCGGCCCACTAAATACCAATATAAACAAAGATATACCTGGAATGGGTTCCTTGGAAGTCGCCTCAGCTTCTAGAACTTCATGAAGTAACAACTCTAGAACATGGGGGAAGTAGGATAACTCTGTACAACATCTGGCTAAATCCAGGGCATTTACTCCCAAACTGAAAAGAGCCATCAATAATGAATCCACGCTCATAGATACAGCAAAATCTTCAGGATTTATGTCTTGTTTCTTATTTTTGTATAAAAATGTGAATTCCAATGAAACATAAGTATTTTCCGTACACAGAGAATATAAAGATGTTAATAGTTTTTGGAAAAAGATATTGACTTACTTCCGCCTTAGAAGTTGTCGTAAAATATGGTGGAGATATATTTGACTCTGTAAAGAAATCATAGAAATATAGAACATGAATCATAGTGAATCATAGTGAATCATTAAATCTCACAAAATAAATTACATGCATCGAAATAAAAATAAATCTTATATGTTAATTTTAATTTAACTTCTGAAAATGTTTCCCATATATTACAATTATATTTGTGCAATTTGAGTTTAAGCCTGTACAAATACAGGTTCTGTTCTACGTATGAGCACAAAAGTCAACATGTCAAAAATGATCAACACCAGTGCTGAAATAAGTGGTTGACATGTAAAATCACATTCATGAATGACTGATCTCTACACTCCCTCATATTCCCAATGTAAAACTTTGTTCTTTACCATTCTTTATACTGATCTGTACACTTACAGTTCTCTCTATAATACAGAAGGGTAGATTTTGGACCGATCTCTTTGTGTCCTCACTGGGAGATTTGTACATGACACCATCACTGGCTGCTCCTAATATCACTGCATCCTCAAACAACACAGCTGAAACAGAACAGTTACATCTGTCAGAACAGTAAGGAATGATGGGTATAAAGACAATCTGTCCAGCCAATACAAGTACATATATGAAATTTTTCAGCCTAAACATAAAAAATTCTTTGGTGTTGTTCCTAATTATCACTGTTTTTATGAATAACAAGAGGCCCAAGGGCCTTGAATCGCTCTTCTGATAAATTGTATAACCTATCACTTGTATTTGAAGCCTCTAACCCTAAGTATCCTAAGACCAAAGTTGCATCACCTGACAAAGTTTGATGATTCTTAGCCAATTAGGACTACTTCTTGGTCTACATTCTTGGAAAACCCAAAATGCATCAACTGACACAGTATGATTATTCTAAGCCAATAAATACCTAAGATACTTAAATGTAGCCATAAAATGTCGAAAGTAGGTCACTGTGACCTACTTTTTGGTCGACATTCTCCGAAAACCCAAGATGCATCAACTGACAAAGTTTGATGATTCTAAGCCAGTAAGTACAGGAGATACTTAAATATAGCCATAAAATGTCGAAAGTAGGTCACCATGACCTACATTTTAGTCGACATTTTTCAGAGTCCAAAGATGCATCTGCTGACTAAGTATGATAATTCTTAGCCAATAAATACCTGAGATATTCAAAAGTAGGTCATCGTGACCTACTTTTTGGTCGACATTCTCCGAAAAACCCAAGATGCATCAACTGACAAAGTTTGATGATTCTAAGCCAAAAAGTACCGGAGATACTTAAATATAGCCATAAAAATGTCGAAAGTAGGTCACCGTGACCTAATTTTTGGTCGTCACTCTCCGAAAACCCAAGATGCATCAACTGACAAAGTTTGATGATTCTAAGCCAATAAGTACCAAAGATCCTTAAAAATAGCCATAAAATGTCAAAAGTAGGTCACCGTGACCTAATTTTTGGTCGTCACTCTCCGAAAACCCAAGATGCATCAACTGACAAAGTTTGATGATTCTAAGCCAATAAATACCTAAGATACTTAAATATAGCCATAAAATGTCGAAAGTAGGTCACCGTGACCTAATTTTTGGTCGTCACTCTCCGAAAACCCAAGATGCATCAACTGACAAAGTTTGATGATTCTAAGCCAATAAGTACCGGAGATACTTAAATATAGCCATAAAATGTCGAAAGTAGGTCACCATGACCTAATTTTTGGTCGTCACTCTCCGAAAACCCAAGATGCATCAACTCACAAAGTTTGATGATTCTAAGCCAATAAATACCTAAGATACTTAAATATAGCCATAAAATGTCGAAAGTAGGTCACCGTGACCTACATTTTGGTCGACATTTTTCAGAGTCCCAAGATGCATCTCCTGACCAAGTCTGATGATTTTAGGTCTGAAGGTAATCAAAATATGCCTTTTAAACAATTTGAAAACATATGCCTGCAAAATTCTAAAAGTAGGTCACAGTGACCTACTTTTTCTTAAATATGTTTTAAGGTCCCAAGATGCAGCAACTTACAAGATTTGATGATTCTAACCCTTTCAGTGCCTGAAATAATGGGATTAAATGTTTTAAAAAGGTTAAGTCATAAAGTTCAAAAAGTAGGTCACGGTGACCTACTTTTAAGTTGACGTTGTTCAAGGACCCAAGATGCATCAACTGACTAAGTTTCATGATCATAGGCCTTCAGAGTGTCCAAAATATGCCTTCAAATCAATTTGAAAACAAATGCCCGCAAAATTAAAAAAGTAGGTCACCGTGACCTACTTTTGAGTTAACATGATGTGAAGTCCTAAGATGCATCAACTTACAAGATTTGATGATCCTAGTCCTTATAGTAAGCAAAATATAAACATTTTTATTAATTGTAAATTTAGGTCAACTTTAAAGTGACCTTGAGACCACGCCCTTTGCCCCAGGGTCATGCCTTGAACAATTTTTAATCTTCAACATATCCTGATCCTTGTATGTAAGTTTGGTGAAAATCTGCCTGGCGGTTCTGGAGAAGAAGATTTCTTAGCAACTAGTACTTTTGGTTTTGTTTTCCTGATCATCTCCCCTTGTTTTAGGGTCCCAACCCCTTATTTTAGTATAAATGGTAGCCCTTGGGCCAAGGATACCCTGTGGCAAATTTGGTACTGATTGGCCAAAGGGTTCTTATTCCATAGTTATGGCCCATATTCTAAAAAGTTAACGCACACCGCACACCGCACAAATGGCCATAGCATTAGCTCTTTGAGCCTTTGGCTCAGAAGAGCTAAAAATTGTATACTGAAATCTGAGAATGGCTGAAAACAATATCATATATTGAAATCTAGGGGTGGTTGACTAGGTATACAATGTTGTATATATGTTGAAATCTGACTACTCACCTAGAGGATAAATATCTACCCTGAATGGCAGCATAATGCGTTTGGACATAAAGTTGTGAGTTTTACCCTCATGTCTTGGATATAAAGGTAACCACACCTGGAAAAAGGATAGATTTATAAATGACCAAAAGTTTGAAATTTTAAGCAGTTTTTAAACTTGTGCAAGGATTCTCCAAGTTACTATTTATACACTATACCTTCATCCCCTGGGCCCCACATCCTAACCACAGAGCTTCCATCAGCTGTGTTTTACCATGACTCGTCCGTGAGGTAGACCACATGTTCTCCACATTAGTGGCAACCACAGCTGGGGAACCAAAGGGTTGCTGGAATTAAATGAACAGTTTTGCTATCTATTGAACTTTGTGCTAATTTATTTGAGTCTTAAAAACGAAACTTCTAATTTCTGAGTCCCTTCAGTCAGTAGGATGAACAAACTTCACTTACAGGTTTCATTTTGTTTTGTTTCCCCTGGATCTGTGGCCCCGTCTCGTCTCTCTGGAACATCAGCAACTTCCCAGCAACATTGAGCAACAAGCACTCTGAATCTCTGTTGGGTTGCACAGTCCTGCTACCTGTTATAATATAGATGAATCTTATGAGTAATAGCAGGACATTTTTGTGATTTTAACACATGAATCATTGATGTTAGAGACCGCTCTTACCAAACTTTTCTGTCCTAAGTGAGGTGAGGGCCAGCCCTGTGACACACACGGGGTGGGGGATGTAGCTACCCAGGGCCACCTCCTGTACTTTAATCAACTCCATCAGAGGATCTGTAGAAAGAAATCACATCTGTTTTTTAGAAATTATAGTTGGCAGTAGGTCTAGGTAGTCTTGTACACTACAATTTTTATAACAAAAATTAAAATCTTGTCCACAATTACTGCAAATGTTAAATTATGTAGACTTAGTTTCAAATTGTTTTCTCATAAGTTTTACTTTTCTGAGAATTTTTCCTCTCCATGTTGAACAGCATGACATGAGAATCGATACAGAAGATGATTAAGATGTCGCGGAACGTGTTCAGGAGTAGAATCTGAGAGGGGACCTTTGTGATCACAGCAAAGGTATTGTCAAGTTTTGTGTTCTTGGGATAACAGCGAATCTATAACAAAGAAGATAAAAAATGAAATGTTTGTACAGAAATCTTACTCTCAGTGCTATAATAGTGTTTAATTACTGAAGAAGTATGGTAACATACCTCGTCCCTTTGACCTATGATGTTGTAACAGGCCACACAAATAAAATCCTTCCACCAGGTCATTCCTCCTGATACAACCAAGTCTTTCTCCTACCAGAGATACAATAAAATACTCTATTCATTTTACTCAGTAAATGGATAAGACAATTGTTTTCATTGAAAAAAAATTACCATAAAACATTGAAATGATTGAAGAATTAATATTTCAAATTCTTTATCATTTGTTTATGAAATGCCAGTTTATACCTGTGTTTCGTTGCCAAACAGTTTCCACTTGCGTGTGGAGAAGGTATAATGAGCCAGTCCTGTTTTGCCAGCCACGGCAACACACTGACCAGACCTATCAACTGCTGCATACTGAAAGATATTACAATACAACTATTATAAATGTACACAGGATAACACACTCAAAATTTAGTTCAAATATTCTCATCAACACATGATTATCCCACTTTATAAGAAATACTTTTAAAAGTACCGATACGTGATTCTATCAGATAAAGGACGTACACATGCAGATGAAAAGCAACCCAGAAAGGTGTGAACGTGTTGTATTATCAAGCAAATTAATACACTGACTACATTTATTTATATAAAACCTTATACTTAGTGCTAGTGGTTGTATATGATATCATATCTTCAATAGCATATTCCATTGAAAAAAAAACTTCAAAAATTTTTACTAATAGGAAAGCATACTCTGATTGGCCAATTTGCACCAAGATAAGTGTGAGAGATGGGTATGATTTGCCAGATTTTGTTTCCTATGGACATCAGTGATTGGCTGTTCTCTTGACTAGCCCCACCTTGGGAGGAGGAGCAACTGTCACCGATATTCATATACAGCCTATCCTCTCCTTGTAAGAACACATGGTCATGGTTTGTCTGGAGAATACAATGAAAATACTGAGTTCAATGAAATCCAAGTGATATTAAGCACATGTACATACAGTCAAATTAAAATGATTACATAGTGCTATTTTTTAGTACTATAATTTAGGTCTTATTTGACATTATGTATTTTATTTTTATTCCGCATTCTAAAAACTGTACAAGAATGCAATGCACAGATCAGATATGAAAGACTTCAGAAATGAAGTCTATGTACCACACAAGGATTGACGGTGAGTGCGCTTTTGACAAACTGTATCTGTAGGACATTAGTGTTATCATGTCTCTCCTCCTCCACCACTCCGTTAATGTTGTTCTCCTGGCAGACCATCCACAGTTGGTACCCCTCCAACCCCCACTCCTACAATCACACAACATCACATGATAAACAATGAATGATACACAGACCATCCACAGTTGGTACCCCTCCAACCCCCACTCCTACAATCACACAACATCACATGATAAACAGTGAATGATACACAGACCATCCACAGTTGGTACCCCTCTAACCCCCACTCCTACAATCACACAACATTACATGATAAACAGTGAATGATACACAGACCATCCACAGCTGGTACCCCTCTAACCCCCACTCCTACAATCACACATCATTACATGATAAACAGTGAATGATACACAGACCATCCACAGCTGGTACCCCTCTAACCCCCACTCCTACAATCACACAACATTACATGATAAACAGTGAATGATACACAGACCATCCACAGCTGGTACCCCTCTAACCCCCACTCCTACAATCACACATCACATGATAAACAGTGAATGATACACAGACCATCCACAGCAGGTACCCCTCCAACCCCCACTCCTACAATCACACATCACATGATAAACAGTGAATGATACACAGACCATCCACAGCTGGTACCCCTCTAACCCCCACTCCTACAATCACACATCATTACATGATAAACAATGAATGATACACAGACCATCCACAGCTGGTACCCCTTTTCCTACAATCACACATCACATGATAAACAGTGAATGATACACATACCATCCACAGCTGGTACCCCTCTAACCCCCACTCCTACAATCACACATCACATGATAAACAGTGAATGATAGACAGACCATCCACAGCAGGTACCCCTCCAAACTCCACTCCTACAATCACACATCACATGATAAACAGTGAATGATACACAGACCATCCACAGCAGGTACCCCTCCAACCCCCACTCCTACAATCACACAACATTACATGATAAACAGTGAATGATACACAGACCATCCACAGCTGATACCCCTCCAAACCCCACTCCTACAATCACACAACATCACATGATAAACAGTGAATGATACACAGACCATCCACAGCTGGTACCCCTCTAACCCCCACTCCTACAATCACACAACATTACATGATAAACAATGAATGATACACAGACCATCCACAGCTGATACCCCTCCAACCCCCACTCCTACAATCACATAACATTACATGATAAACAGTGAATGATACACAGACCATCCACAGCTGGTACCCCTCTAACCCCCCACTCCTACAATCACACAACATTACATGATAAACAATGAATGATACACAGACCATCCACAGCTGATACCCCTCCAAACCCCACTCCTACAATCACACATCACATGATAAACAATGAATGATACACATACCATCCACAGCTGGTACCCCTCCAACCCCCACTCCTACAATCACACATCACATGATAAACAATGAATGATACACAGACCATCCACAGCTGATGCCCCTCCAAACCCCACTCCTACAATCACACAACATGACATGATAAAAAGTGAATGATACACAGACCATCCACAGCTGATGCCCCTCCAAACCCCACTCCTACAATCACACAACATGACATGATAAAAAGTGAATGATACACAGACCATCCAAAGCTGGTACCCCTCCAACCCCCACTCCTACAATCACATATCACATGATAAACAGTGAATGATACACAGACCATCCACAGCTGATACCCCTCTAACCCCCACTCCTACAATCACACATCACATGATAAACAATGAATGATACACAGACCATCCACAGCTGGTACCCCTCTAACCCCCACTCCTACAATCACACAACATTACATGATAAACAGTGAATGATACACATACCATCCACAGCTGGTACCCCTCCAAACCCCACTCCTACAATCACACAACATTACATGATAAACAGTGAATAATACACAGACCATCCACAGCTGATACCCCTCTAACCCCCACTCCTACAATCACACAACATTACATGATAAACAGTGAATGATACACAGACCATCCACAGCTGGTACCCCTCTAACCCCCACTCCTACAATCACACATCACATGATAAACAATGAATGATACACAGACCATCCACAGCTGATGCCCCTCCAAACCCCACTCCTACAATCACACAACATGACATGATAAAAAGAGAATGATACACAGAACCTCAACAGCTGATGAACCTCCAAACCCCACTCCTACAATCACACATCACATGATAAACAATGAATGATACACATACCATCCACAGCTGATACCCCTCCAACCCCCACTCCTACAATCACACATCACATGATAAACAATGAATGATACACAGACCATCCACAGCTGATACCCCTCCAAACCCCACTCCTACAATCACACAACATGACATGATAAAAAGTGAATGATACACAGACCATCCACAGCTGATGCCCCTCCAAACCCCACTCCTACAATCACACAACATGACATGATAAAAAGTGAATGATACACAGACCATCCAAAGCTGGTACCCCTCCAACCCCCACTCCTACAATCACATATCACATGATAAACAGTGAATGATACACAGACCATCCACAGCTGATACCCCTCTAACCCCCACTCCTACAATCACACATCACATGATAAACAATGAATGATACACAGACCATCCACAGCTGGTACCCCTCTAACCCCCACTCCTACAATCACACAACATTACATGATAAACAGTGAATGATACACATACCATCCACAGCTGGTACCCCTCCAAACCCCACTCCTACAATCACACAACATTACATGATAAACAGTGAATAATACACAGACCATCCACAGCTGATACCCCTCCAACCCCCACTCCTACAATCACACAACATTACATGATAAACAGTGAATGATACACAGACCATCCACAGCTGGTACCCCTCTAACCCCCACTCCTACAATCACACATCATTACATGATAAACAATGAATGATACACATACCATCCACAGCTGGTACCCCTCTAACCCCCACTCCTACAATCACACATCACATGATAAACAGTGAATGATACACATACCATCCACAGCTGGTACCCCTCTAACCCCCACTCCTACGATCACACAACATTACATGATAAACAGTGAATGATACACAGACCATCCACAGCTGATACCCCTCCAAACCCCACTCCTAAATTCACACAACATCAGTAAACAGAAAGGGGCACTTAAAATCTTATCACAGAAAAAAAATAAGCGAAGTAAAATAAGATTGATGGCTAGGTATAGAAGACAACTCACCATAGAGATCACAGGTGGTGGGAACAGCTTTGGACTATCACTGGGATATCTGAAAGTAATAAACATCATCTCTACAGGTGTAGCATCTCTTGTTAATAATGCATTTAAATAATGAACACAACAACAGATATAAGGGGAGGGGGCTATCTTAGGAAGTCCACTTACCGATCTCCTCCCAGAGAACACAACAGGAGGGCACCGAATACACTCCACAGAGAGAATCCCCCGTTCCTCCAGCAGACCGCTACAGCAGTGCCATCTGGTGTCCACTTCATACACTTGACAGGTCCAGCTTTCTGAGCAGCATCTGTGACAAGAATTACAGCATTTTACTTATCAGTTTACCACAGTTTGGTAATAAACTCACCACAATATTACATTCTATCATGGAAATGTAGATAAAAATAGGTAAGTAGGTAAAACTAGAGAGGACAGTCTTTGACTAGAGAGGAAAGTCTTTGTCTAGAGATGATACAAGTCTTTGTCTAGAGAGGATAATCTTTGTCAACAGAAGAAAATCTTTGTCTACAGATGATATTAGGTTGTTTAGAGAGGATAGTTTTTGTCAAGGGAGGATAGTCTTTTTCTAGAGGGACAGTCTTTGTCTAGATAAGATTGTCTTGTCTAGAGAGGAGAGTCTTTGTCTAGATAAGATAGTCTTTGTCTAGAGAGGATAATCCTTGTCTAGGGAAGATAATCTTTGTCTAGATAAGATAGACTTTGTCTAGATAGGATAGTCTTTGTCTAGAGAGGATAGTCTTTGTCTAGATAAGATAGTCTTTGTCTAGGGAGGATAGTCTTTGTCTAGGGAGGATAGTCTTTGTCTAGATAGGATAGTCTTTGTCTAGAGAGGATAGTCTTTGTCTAGATAAGATAGTCTTTGTCTAGGGAGGATAGACTTTGTCTAGATAGGATAGTCTTTATCTAGAGAGGATAGTCTTTGTCTAGATAAGATAGTCTTTGTCTAGATAGGATAGTCTTTGTCTAGGGAGGATAATCTTTGTCTAGATAAGATAGACTTTGTCTAGGGAGGATTGTCATTGTCTAGATAAGATAGCCTTTGTCTAGATAAGATAGTCTTTGTCTAGGGAGGATAGTCGTTGTCTAGATAAGATAGACTTTGTCTAGATAGGATAGTCTTTGTCTAGGGAGGATAAACTTTGTCTAGATAAGATAGTCTTTGTCTAGGGATGATAGTCTTTGTCTAAATAAGATAGTCTTTGTCTAGAGAGGATAATCTTTGTCTAGATAGGATATTCTTTGTCTAGGGGGATAGTCTTTGTCTAGAGAAAAAAGTCTTTGTCTAGAGAGGATTGTCTTTGTCTAGAGAGGATAGTCTTTGTCTAGAGAAGAGAGTCTGTGTCTAGAGAGGATAGTATTTGTCTAGAGAAGATTAGCAGCATTTGTCAAGAGAGGATAATCTTTGTCTTCAGAAGAAAATCTTAGTCTAGAGATAATATTAAGTCTTTGTATAGAGAGGATAGTATTTTTTCTAAAGATGTCTAAGGATAGTCTATGCTGAAGGTTCCAATGATAAAAGTTTTGTTTTTGACAAAATTACAATCAGATTATCTATTTAACAACTGCTGAGTATTTTTTGAAGAAAATTATTGTCATCTGCGAAAACAATGTGGAAGATGAGACACCTAGTGATCCATAATTAGGTGTGTACCTGTGTGTTGACTATTAAATTTTTTAAATGTAAATTTTAAATGTGCACCCCTTCATATTTACTACAGACTTATCATACCTGGAAAGTCTTTGCTGGACACCTGTAGTTTATAGGACAGTTCTATTGTACCCTCCACTTCATTGATCACATAAACAGCACCGACGCCACTGGAATACAGAACAAATTAATATCTTTATCAGAAACTGCCTTATTAAATAGTATCATTACATTGAAAAGAAACATTTACTCTTAAATTGCTGTTTATGATCAATATTTTCAAGCAAACACAATTCTAATTATTGTTAAATTCCTATTTATTATCAATATTTTCAAACAAGCACAGTCCTAAGGACAAATGACTGTAATCTTGAAATGTCATAAACCTTAATGGGTTCATTTATCTTTAAGTATAGAGCAAAAAATGTTATCCTCAACACAGTGATATAAAATATTCTGATAGAAACAAAAAAATCAATATTTCCGCTATATATCTCATAGCACCTACAGAGGTTTTTTGTTAGATAACACACAATGCATCATTAATCTGTTTATCTGATAGCTGTAATTTTACCTTACAGAATGATAAATTAGATATGCTTAATTAATTCAGATGATTGATTGCAAAAAGAAACATCCTAGATAAAGACAAACCAATCATGTCTATAAGGATAACAGAATTGTACCTCTTGCATCCGAAGGCCATCAGGCGGTACCTGTGATTGACTGCCACACAGGTGGCATCCGTCAGCCCCGTCACCCACACCCCTTGTGGCACCTAAAATAATTGACCACATGAAACGACCTCAAAGAATACCATGTCTTAATCAGAATTATAATGATAAAGGGGACAAATAGTCTGTACCAACACAATTCATTAGTTATAACTCCATCCGAAAGTTACCTTTCAATATCATACTCAGTCAAACTATTGATATTATAGTGATTCAATCATCCCTTATTCCCTAAAAGCTACTGACCAAGTTAGTCAGCAGCATCTTAGTGACATTCAAGAATACCCTGTCTGATTTAGAATTAAACATAGGTGACTACTACTACTAGTGTGTACCTTCACAAAGCATCAGTTATTACTCATTGGAAAGTAATCTTTTTAAATACAATATTCAGAAATACTGATGATATTATAGAATGAGTCAATAATCCCTCCTGGTGTAATATAATATTAATAAATGCACTTTATTTGATTTTATAAATGCTGACAATGTACCAGCATTGGCATTGACACAGAAAAAACTCAGTAATAGCCACAGGAAACAGGAAATATCAGAACAGACACATCTGGAGAGAGCCTTAAGTCTAACAGATCCTGACGGATAGTGCCTCTTATTAATCTATCTATAAAATGGTTAATGAGACTTGTACTGCAGCATTTCAAACTCTTCAAAGAAGCTTATGTCACAGACCTATGACTCACATCCAGAATAAGCATGGATAAATTGGTAGAAATAACAAAACTAGAAAACTAAATAAAGAAGTCTTTCAAGACTCCAAAGAAAGCTTATTTTAATGACCTTGACCTTTCAACCTCCACCTATGAGCAATTGTCATGAAAACTTTACAATTTTTACATATGAAGTGGACATCATGTGTGTAGATTTAATATGTTTAAATATTCCATTTATTGTGTCATTTAAGGATGCCTTTTTTAGAAAACAAATACTTCTGATCCTTGACCTTTGATATATAAATGTCAAAACATAAAGTTATTCTTCTTTTTGCATTGTTTGTCAATGTAGCAAAAATAAAATTAACAGATCATTAATTCTAAAGCACAGTAAAACATGCTTATGGCAAAGTGCCAGGAACAAATGATTTTGCGGCATCATAAATGTAGTTTTTTCTATCCAAAAAGTTCACAATATCTTTTTAAGTCATAGGATATGAAAACCACATTACTATAAGTGTCAATTCATTATAGGGATGTACACTTTAAGCAACATATGAAAGAGAAAACTATGACACTGTCCAATGGTTAAATGTTAAACCTCACCTGTTTGACACCGAAAATAGGAGTAGCAGTCACATGTCAATGGAAGTGAAACATCTGAGGAAACCGGCTATTTACTTACGCTGTTCTCTGCCTTTGTGGAGGGTGGAATAACAAATAGGGCCTTTCCACTAGAGAGCACCAGAGTGTATCCACCAATGATAGGACTGTACTCCATCTGTTGAACACAACCATCTTCTACCACTAGTCTAGAGGCTGAAAGGGGCAATCATAATGTAACTGCTAAGATTCTAGCAAAAAGCTTTTAAAGTTGTGACCAGATTTACAAAATTTATTGTATCTTGTAGCACCTTTCGTTTGGTGGAAGTCCAGTGATGCAGGAAACCCCTGTATATGAAATGAAGCCTTTGTATTGAGTGAGGCATTCCATTTGATGCGATGTAAACTCCCATCCTCTGTAGCTACCATCATTTCTTCTCTAACACACAAACAGCTGTAAGGAAGGACCAGAAATTAGTCTTCTCCACAATGAAGATGTTTATACTAATGGTTAATGTCTACCATTCCTTAAATGTACTTTTCATTTTATTAGTACATGTATTGTTGATTAGGTTTGCTAAGTTTAGCATATTATGAATCACTAAAGGAGAATGCAATATAATTTAAGACAACTCAGTATATTCTGATGATGTATGTTACAGATGCTATGTCACACTGACCAGGTGATGTTAGAGGGGAGCTGCATTCTGGCCACCAGGGTGACCTTGATGGCCGGTATACTGTCACTGTCCGGTATCCCATTGATGTCTCGCTTTGGAGTCTGATTTCTGTAGAAGTCCACAATTCTTCTTAAGTTTTATACATACTTATCATTCAAATGCCTTCTGAGATAAGCTAATGAAAGTTAGATTTCCTGAATAAAAGTAAATAAATTTACTTACTTGCCCTCATGTTGAACATATAAACAATGGTGGTTTGGCACAGATACATCAAGTTCAACTTTGAAGAATAAAATGTTTAATTTGGATGTCTGCAAAAATAAAACAAAAACAACTCATGCTCAACAAACACATTAATTAATTTCTTTTTAAAGTTTAGAAATTGAAGAGAAAAGTGTAATTTTTTTTATTGTGATTTGATCTTGGTTTTAGCTAGAATGTATTAAAGCCTGTTATTATGAGAACCAGTTTTGATGCATAAAAAACTGAAAATAATACATTAATTTTGCATTTTTCTTTCTTAAAAATGAAAAAGTAATTTGGAAAGGAAAAAATAAATTACTCCTAATATATTGCTGCATTTGTCAAAAAAATATTTTAATCGTTTTGTTACCCCCCTCCCACTTTTTTTATTTCATACACAGCCCTACTTATTGTGGTCGTGTTCAATGATTGTGACAAACATAAGAATACACCTGTACCACACATCTTACACAACCATGCATCCCAGACCCTGAACTCCATATCTGAATAGAAAACCTCACTGAAAAGGATATTACTCACTTAATCTAAATTCATTGCAGCCCATACATTAGATACCCTTATAAAACATCTTTGGAAAGGTGTTAAGATCTGATTTAAATCAGATTACTGCATGGTCAGTTGTGAAGAAAAATATTTTTAAACTTTAAACCCCTTACTTCAAGGTCAACTTAACCCAGTCTTTGAGAAAATTGTGAAAACGTAATTTTAGTAGTCATTGTACCATCCTTAAGACCTTTATGAAGTAACATCTTAAATTAAATATACCAGTAGTTCTTATCAGGTTACTTATGCTAAAATATTTTGACTGACTTAAAAATTGCAATTAATCTATGTGCTCAATTAAATTACTTATATAGGATAGAGAACTTGGAACCGAGTGATACATTCTTGCTTTATTAGATGATCACACTTCCCTGGTGTTTCATCATTTAACAAGTGACATCAGCTAAGAATAAATTAATAAGTTATTTAAGACTGTTGCAGGAATTCTGGCATATTAATCAGTCTCAAATAACCTACACACATACAACTGTAATATCTTTGCTTATGTAAGCTTGTAAGTTTTATATAAGTAACATTATAGTTACAATCCCTTATGTCAAATTTATTTTATGATGATATTGCTCTTTTGTTTTACATCATGTGAACCATACAGCCATTACTTTCCAACAGAGAAATTAAAGATCAATATGTACCACCAAATTAGTCATTACAAAACAAAGCCTTACTTACCAGGACAACTATTATTGATAGTCAGGCTTTAATTTCAAATGTCAACAATTACCAAAAGCACCCCTAACTTACCAGAACAACCCCTAACTTATCAGAACCACTTCTACCTTACCAGAACCACCCCTAACAAACCAGAACCACCCCTAACATTCCAGAACCACCCCTAACTTATCAGAACCACCCCTAACTCATCAGAACCATTCCTACCTTACCAGAACCACCCCTAACATTCCAGAACCACCCCTAACTTATCAGAACCACCCCTAACATACCAGAACTGCTATCATAAAGGAGTTTGACTTCCATTCCACCAGATTAAATATCCTAGAACCACCCCTAACATATCAGAACCACCCCTAACTTACCAGAACTGCTATCATAGAGGAGTCTGGCTTCCATTCCACCAGATTAAATGTCCCAATGGAAGAAATCTCAGTGTAAGGGTGAGTGTAACTAACAATCTGGACAGAAGGCTGAAAAAGAAGAGCAGAGAAATTTTACATCCAATAATGTGGGACCAATAATTGTTCTTGAAATTTTCATAATGAAAAAAAATCTATTATAAGACAAAACCATGATAGATCCACTTTCTTTACTGATATGATACATTCATTCCTCAATGTTTTTTTTTTAAATAAATTACTTGAAAATTAAAAAAAAACATTTTCATATTAACAACAAATTAAAGAGAGAGAAGATTCATACAAAGAGTCTGTTTAATAGTAATCAGAAACCATTAACAAGGCATAAATCTGTTATATTTTACATAGGGCATCATAAATGCAGTTTATGTATAATTTTATATCATGTTTTGGCATAACTCTATTGTCTTCACATGTATAAATAGTAAATTAACAATGCCTCAGGCACTACCACTGATTAGGTACAGGTCACTAAAAATATTCTACATTTTGTAAGATTCTGTCGATTTCACAGAAATTCTTGAATGATTACTTTGAACGTCTGACTTTTTTTTTTACTTGAAATCTCTCATTTATCACCTAATTTTTAGTGTGATTTGTAAGTAGAATGAGTTCTCAGTAAAAAGGAAACCTGTGACCCAAGTAATTTATGCTATTAATTATAGTAAGTCAAAATACCAAACTCTGACATTTAATACACAACTGATAATTTCCTACTCTTAGTGCACTTTTATTTTTTAGGTATTTTTGAGTTAATAACGGTAATACTTGCATTCTTAATGCACCATTAAATTGGCATTAATAGTTACACTATGCATTATAAGCATTAATAAATAAATGTTGACATTACCATGTAAATAAACACATACTAATAATAATGTTTATACTACATGCTTTATAACCCAATTAAGAGGACACTATAAGGCAAGTTATTTAAGTATTGTGCAGAGGGGCACAGTCCATGTTATAAAGGAAAATAACTTGGTAATAAAATGTATTACTCTTTGGCCACATAAAAAAATAACAATGAAAAAAAAAAGTTATTGCTTTAAAAAAAAAGTATTAGAATGTGTAATGTCCAACTTTCTTATAGACTTAACTAAAAGTCTTTGTCATTTTTTTAAAGCTTTTGAAGTCAAACTTAAAGGTCTAGGCCAAAAAAAAGGTATGTTTGGGAAGACATTATCATAGGTTACCGTATTGTACATGTGAAAAAATATGAAAGCCTTGTCTCCTCTTGTGCAAAAGTGATGCCTTATTTAAGTAATTAAATCTGACTACAAGGTCAAGGCCAATAAGTCAAAAATCATAGAACATTGAAAGGTCTTGAATCACAGTAAAATATAAAGTCTTCTTTCTTTGGGTGGAAAAGTTATGGTCCAGGTTGAATAGTAGGGCAAATTTCCAAGTTCAATCTAGAAATGCATAGTACTTTCTAAAAGGTCTTGTTACATGTAAAGATAATGCACATGTGCACATGGTGAAATATGAAAAATCCATCTTCCCTCAACCAAAATTTTGTATCAGCTACAATTTTTGGAGAGAAGCTTAAACTCATTGACAAGGTAAAGATAATGAGGTAAAAACCACAGTATACCATATTCTTAAGGGTATCGTCACAGCTAATGCAAGATATCACACAAGAAATTTCTATCTACTCTTATTTGAAAGTTAATAAGTATTATTTACCGACAAACTGACAGAGAAAGGACATTTAATGTTCCTTTATTTTCATGAAAGCTTGATTCTTCAAGAATTTAAAAGAACTTGAAAACTGTAATCAAAAATATTTACATTTGCAAATATCTTTCTTCGATGAACCTATTGAAGAGAAAATACGTTCAATTCTGTGTGAATTTCATTTGGGGGTCAGAGGTCATAGCGCCACCGAATCACAGAGCGAGGTGATATTTTGTTCATGTAATAAATGCAATTTAACTCGAAATGCAGTATTCGAAATGTAAATATAAGATTAATCAATTCAAAATTCAAGAATATGAAATAAATGAAGAACTTGAAAACTGTAATCAAAAGAACATGAACCATTCAAATGTTCATCATAATTTGTCATTTCTCTGCATAGATGACAAGAAATATAATGTTATACAAGCATTGAAAGAAAAAAAAACATAAACATATAACATCATAAAATCTTTGATTCACTTGGATCCACTTTTTTTGTTAAATTAAAAAAAATATTACATTCCCATTTCCAAGCAGTACTGTCCACTTGCAAAAAAAAAAATGTTTGTGACAATCAGGAGATCTTTGCTTAGGCACAGTTAAAACTGTTAAATTTTGAGGTTTCCTCTAAAATAATTCAAATTCGAACAATGTGTGTACCGGTATATATTGCCGAGCTTTCTATGTGTTGCACCTCACCAGCTGGGCCTTACCTGTACTAAAGTGACAATATTTAAATGAGTGCTGCATGCAAATTAGCAAGATTGTTTAATGTAACAAGGTAAAAAAAACACCCACGTTTATAAAGTGGCAAGATCCTGCAATATGGTTGCTCCAAGAGAAGTACATGTACATGTATTATGGTATAAAAATTACACTATTTTTTTTTAGAATTGCAAACCAACCGTCTATGCAAAAGTATTTTTGGACCACATAGGCCATTCGCAGCTGGGTCCTGGGTAATCAATGAACAGACAGGACTGAACCAAAATTTTGTCAGACCAAAAAATGTAATGTAAGAGAAACACATGAAAACGTAGAAGCAGCAGAACTAAGGAAATCTTATTTATTATGCTAGTAATAATATTCATATTTTATTTATTATGCATAATACTTTGGCTTATCCATGCAGTTTTAATCATAACCATTAATGACTTATGTATTTACATGTAGATCTTGCCACAATGCACTGCACATTTTCTGCTCTAAAGGTTTCAAGAGTGCAAGCATTTCAGACATTAAAGTCTATTTAAAGAAATTTAAAATTTGATGGAATGAAATATGGAGGTAACGAACAGTATTCAGGCTCACAAGTCCATGGAATTTAATGAATTGATTATTCAGATGAGTTTTCTGGCGAGTTTTAAAAGCTGATGTATGCACATAAAAGAAACAAACAGATGTTTATGCAGTGCATTTGCATTGACAGAAAATGGGTTAAAAGAGACCTTATTTTCTCTAATTCTATTTTTACACATTTCCTTCTATGAAAAGAATAAGAATGCCAAATGATTACTCTATTCGGACCCTAGTCAAACATTCATCAAAAGCAATTTCTCAGTGAATGAGTGTCAGTGATAGTTCTAAGTTAAAATTCTTTCCAATCTTGGTGTATACTTTCTGTAATCATCTAAGACTATGAATTTATGAAATAAAATGTCATTGACTCTATTTCATATAATCCGTAGAATGTTTTAATGCTTTCTACAAACAGATTATAGTTTATGCATCATTTTCAAATGATTGAATTTGTTTCATGTTTTAAGCTAGAAAACAATTTTGGAAGAGGCACTCTTGCTCAACATAACTGTGTACTTAGTTAGTTTATTTAAAACCTAAGAAGAAGATTTTCAAAGATTTAATGCATTTTCTATATAATCAATAGAGCCCCGTCTACCAGAACCCCTGACCCTGGGGCCATAAAATTTTTTGGTACACATTTGCTCATCATAACTATGTAAAATTTAAAACACATTTCCTTTTCACTATATAATCAATAGAAACACCAGAACCCCTGACCCTGGGGCCATGAGTTTCAAAAATTTAATAGACTACCAAAACTATTTACTTAGTTAGTTTATTTAAAACCTAGCCAAAAGAAGATGATTTAATACATTTTCACTATATAAACAATAGCGCCCTGCCCTAACACCAGAACCCCTGACCCTGGGGCCATGAATTTCACAATTTTGGTGAAGGCATCAAAAGCAATTTGTATTTAATGTGAATGATTTAATGCATTTTCATTATATAATCAATATAGAGAACAGTTTTAAATTTATGTTATAACTATGTTTCTTACTCAGCCAATCTTCAAAGAAATAATGCATTTTCACAATATAATCTAGGGGGCCATAAAATCTTTGGTAGAGCCACTCTTGCTCATCATAACTATGAACTTAATTTGTTTATTTAATACCCAGGGGCAGAGAAGAAGATTTTTAAAGACTTACTGCATTTTCACTATATAAATGTCATTGACCCTATATTTCAATTTTGGTAGAGGACTCAATGCTGATTACAATCATACCAACAGTTTGACTGCTTGATGTCCGGGAGTTTTTTAAAGATTGCACTATTTTTAGTGGTTTTTGCCCCACCCCCCAGGCCCCAGGGGGCGGGGACCACGAAATTCACAATTTTTGAATATGCCAAATTTGGTTGAAATTGGTTCAGTGGTTTCAGAGAAGAAGCTTGTTTAAATGTTAACGCAACAAAAGAGGACAGTATTTTCCTAAATTTGTAAGATATTTCATTTTACCTTACTGTACCAAATACTGAGACTATCCTCTGTAATGACAGCAAACAGCATTCGATCACAGCTACTTATCACATACTGTAATGGCCTTGAACCTTTCTGAAGGCTTTTCAAGTATTTTGGCCACCCTAAAGGAAAATACATTGCGATATTTTCAAATAAATACTTTCTTCTGCCACAACGTCAAGTTTCGGTAGCCATATTTTCATTTCTTTAAGGCTTACTGAAAGACCGAATTTGATTGGATAAAATGGGAATCTCCTGTCCAATGAATAACGGTTTTCTATTCCCTTTTCAATTCGATGGAAAGGGGGTTTCCTCAGATTTTAGAACCGAAAGGGATATTCAGGAATCATATATTTCTAATTTATTTCTTTAACTGTGGACTTAGGAAAAATCATACGTATGTTTATTATGTATTTTCATTTATGACAATATTCTGTCGCTCATACTCAATAAAACAGTGGAAGGAAAAATAATTTTCTTCCTTGAGATTGAACGGGCACCTGTTCGGAATTGACATCTCCCCAGTTGGCTCTCTAAATTTAGCATCTTGTTCACTTGGCAACTGTAGGGGGAAGCTTGAAATTGAGTGTGGATTCTTGTCATCATCAAAGGTTTGTTTAAATAATACAGCTAATATCCTTTGGTTCATATATCTCTCTATATTTGATGCTTCAGGCAATTTGAAAAATATTAGAGAGATATTATTTTACATGTTCGAAAGTTGAGTAGATTGGAATGTTTAGCTAGAGGAGTTTGTGTAGGATTATTGTTTTCAAATAAAGTTTCAAAGAGCAGAGAAAGAGGAGAGGCAATTTATCTTGTCTTAATCACCCTATGAAAAGAAAGGCCATAAAATAATAAACAAAAAAACTTTTCAAAATATATAATAATTTTAAAACAGTCACAAAAATTAACTTAAGGTGTGGGGGTAAATGTTATATTACATAATTTGTATATTGTTGTATAATAAATGACAGGTGCTTGGGGACGGGAAGCCCCACCTCTCCCACCTCCTCCCTTGGGATGAGTCCCCCCTTCCATGTTCCGTAACCCAAGGGTTCTGTGACTTTTTTAAAATTAAATATCAATACCATGTTCACAAAGTATGTTACATGTGATCTAAAAAATAAAACAAAAATTTAGCTATAACTAGCCTTTTGTGAAAATTCATACTCTTTGATACTATAACAGAACAATTAGGCTGGCAACTTCCACAGATGATTTTCGACACCTCGATGGGAAATCCTTAAAAAAATTAAGATGAAAACTAATTACTGACTTGAATTAAGGTCAAGATCTAGTAAATGAAAGGTGCCTACAGATTTATCAAATTTGAGAATCGTATGAATTCCTTTATTTTCATGCTTTACAACTTTAGCTTGGTCAAATAGGGTGTTTCGGGGCATAATTTGTAGGTGAACGAGATGAAAAACTGTATTTTAAACTGTCATTTTCAATGAAAAATTAAGAAAACCAGTCATGAATACTGGAGTTTTTTTCGTATTTGGCAAAGGAAATGTATCCAGATTACCTACAGTCTCTCAGAAAACGGTAATTAGTATGTTCATGGCCTCTTCTTTAAATCAATATCAAATTTAATAAAGGTATCCGATTTACTTTACATATGATTTCAAATTGAATGACATGAAAATACCCTATTTTCTATATAATTCTGCTAAAGCCGTAAAGTACGTGAAAAAGAAAGTTGAAATTGATTATGACATCATAATGGATCTAGCACCAAAAAATTAGTCTGAAGTTATTTAGTAGAGCTTGACCTTAAGTAAAGGTTTCCATATCTTCAGAAATTTTTAATTAATTGATACATCACTAATTTGTGTCCCATCGTATACCAGTCCTTAGAATTTTCATGTTTTACACCTGTGAGCTATAAAATGTTTTCTAAAACAACAGTAAAAGAGGGATCAACTCTAAACTCAGAACATATATATATTGCTAAGTTTATATTCAAATATTAAAATTTAAGTGTTTTTTTTAACAGCATACTGAAAATTAAAATATGTTGTTGATTTTGTTTTAAGATGGTCTGTTTAAATTTTTAAAATCAGTTGTTATAGTTTTGAATTAACGTCTTTTTTACCCTTTCCGTCACCCATAGAGTAACTCTATTTCATAATGAAAAAATACAGTGAGCTAAAAGATGGATATATCAATAATTGTATGGTCACTGTTACATGTTCCTCTAATTATCATAATAACAATAAATCTTCTTTATTTAAACTGGCCAGTAACTGTATAAATTACCAGTGTGGATGAAATTAGGATTAAAACAACAATTCAAGGATCAGATCCACTGGATTTAAAATTGTACCATACTTATATCTTTCTCTCTTCTGAAAGGGCTTAAAAAAACATCTTGAAATTGACTATAACATATATACAATACATGTATCTGGATCTTTAGACATGCTAAAAATGCATTTTATTTACCCATAATATATCTTAGCACAAATGTTTGATATGATCTGTAACACATACAATTTAAGATGGATTATAACTGATTAAAAGAAAAAATTACCAAAAAATAGAGTTAAACTGAACACCACATAGTTTATTCCTTGTTTTGGCCCCCTGCTGTGACTGTTAGGGTGTTATCTTTATGGTGCAAACAAAGACTATTTTGTACAGTTTTGTTAACTTCAGTAATACTGCTTGCATTTAAACTGTAATTACATTATTAAATTGCCAAAAGAAATTTTACTGCCTGGCACACAGTGAACTTCAAATAGGTACGTATTCCCAAAACATGTCAATATATTAAAAACCAGAGCTTTTGTGTAAAGCACTTCACAATTACTTGCAACCTTTACAAATGATAAGAAATGCAATAGATCAATAAGGTTAGGTTCAATATTGACTTTTAAAAAAAGGTTCATATTCAGTGAATAGGGTTTTACTTTTCATTATTTGACGGCTCGTTCGACAGTTGATCAGCTAGACATTGCATGCTGTGTGTATTATTGGAGGGTATTATCTACTGACAATTACTGTATGGGGAATCTTAAAGGGTTTCTTTTCATGAGTAATAAGAGTACTTCACATGACAAACTGCATTGCTTAAATTTCAGCAGATGGTTTTAAATGCTACTCTTGACAGTTACGTGAACAGTGTTACAGTTTTATAATAATTGAACACAAGATTGGAACTGTTTCTAAACATTTAGGACGTTAGGACTTTCATTAGACACTGACAGGACAGAAGAAATTCCTGTTATCTTTGGGTCAGTTGGGTCAATTTTTGAAATTTTACAGATTAAGGAGAGACTATAAGAGGAGACTAACAAGATGACAGACCGAGATTTAGCCAGAGAGAAAGCAGCCAAGCTGTTAAAGAAACAGGGTTCTGTGTCCTCCCTAGCCAGTAGTGAAGTTATCAAGTTCCACAAAGTCGGGTATGTTGTCGACGTCAACATCCTGGTCTCAATATCTCTCATTTGAAATGTTGTTTGAAATATGCTCAAACAATGATTTATTTTATTTATTTATATAAAGACTACTGTATAAGCATAAATTCATTTTTTATGGGGTCAGTTTTATTTAAAGTGAGACAATTTAGGAACCTCCAATCTAATTAAAATTGTATATTCTAAATAAACTGGTACCTGAACCACAATTCTATTTTACTACCTCAGCATTTATTACAGGTGAATTTTCTTTTCTTTTCTGTTTTTAATTCTACAGTGAAGAGGGGGTGTACAAAGGCCTTTGTATTTACCATAAAAATTGTGATTATTTTTCAGGTCCATGAGCACAGTTTCTGTAACAGAAGACACGGGGCACCATGACTTTAAACCTCCCGTCAAATTCGAAAATACCTATCAACTCGCACCAAACAAGAGATTTCCATCAGCTAAAGTGAAGAATGTTATTCGAGACGTAATTGAAGGGTACTTAGCAGAAGAAAAATATGAACCAGAATTGTGCAGGCAAATGACAAAAACATTATCAGAGGTGAGAACAAGAAAAGATCAAAAATATTCTTAAAAGGAAAATGATGCACACACTGTATTATTGACATCGGGAGAGGAAGAGGAGAACCTAATTGTTGAAAACTATCTTTTTATTATGTTCTTATGTATTAATTTTAAAGCAATGAATTCAACACAAAGATAGTTAAATTTTTATTTCATTTTTTAATTTTGCAGATCATTAAAGCAAGAGTCAAAGAAATGATGATCCCTCGATTCAAAATAATCTGCACAGTTCACATAGGAGAATTAAAAAACTCAGGATTGTGGGTAGGAAGCAGGTGTTTATGGGATGCATCATGTGACACTTATTCTACTTTTGAATATCGCAACAAGACACTGTTTGCTATAGGAACTGTATTTGGAATCTATTATGAGTAAATGTGATATTGCAAGAGGAAAGTAACTGTATTTATTGTCGAATTCATTGCAATCAGCATAAAGCATAGCAGGATCATGCCTTAGCCCCAGACTTCTGGTGGGCAATGTATTTTGGTTTGAATGTGAAGGGTATACATATGTATATAGGTATTGGCCAAAATATCTTTTCTAAAAGCATGACAGGAAATTTAAGGTGCGAAAGGGTGTTATTTTGTGAAAGTAAGTATATTTTTATAGACCTTGATCATAACCATAGTTTTCACTTTGTACATTTGTTGTAATGAATAAAGTATATTTTTGTTAGCAATTGAATATTACGACATCAATGCAGTATTCTGGAGGGAATTACATTGTTTTTAATATATTTCCTCAAACCTTTTTTTTTGGTAAGATTTTAAAAATCTATTATGAGTTATTGTTGAACTAGGTATATTTTTTGGCCATTGTGTTTTCTTTGTGAGGTGCAGTTGTTCCAAGTTTATGTATTGCTATATAAAAGAAGATAATTTTCCCCTTAAAGTATTAAGCAGTATCACCTGTAAAAGATATTTAAGCAGAACTGTTACAGTTGTAACAAGCAGTGGATTTTTTAAATTCATTTTTTACTGGCTGTCCCAAAGTCTGACCCTGTATCATTTGTGTCAGTATTAAGTTTGGGCTAATGCCTTTCTAATCAATTTACTGTCAAATTGTTTTCTGTTACAAGAAATGTTAAATGCTTCCGCAGCTAACATTTAACATTTCTTTAACTGTTGCCAAGACTTAGCATTTTAACTCAAGTCAAATAAATTATTGGAGGTTATCTGAAGTCACACAGCTTATCTCCCTTGCCAAAATTAATCAAGACTCAGAGGGATAGCTCAGATTAATTGCAGGAGAACAGTGGTACATTTTCTGTTTCAATAGGTTATAATTCAAACTCCTATTGTAAATAAGATTTAATACCGGGGGTAGTGTTGTTGTTGAATATCAGTATATCATGCATCACTTCTGTCACATTTTTATGTAATTGCTGTGATATTAAGAATGAATCATTTTTATTGATTTCTTGTGCATTACACCTTTTGATTTATTTCTTACTGTATATTTTCTATGCGTTATATATATTTATTATTTTACAAACCCTTTTCCTAGCAATAAACTGTCTCAGTGTTCGATTTTCCAGTGTATATTTGAAGAATGTGATATAGATCATATATATTTTTCATTTCCATTAATGTAGACAAATAATTTATTCTTTTAGAATGACTGATTGTTCAATATACATTATAAACTTTTGATTAGAATGACTGATTGTTCAATATACATGTATGAACTTTTGATTGTTGCAGATCAAGCAGAGCTTCTGTGCAACTGTGCTCTTTTTGTGTTCATAGTCAGACTTTATCTATGAGGTAATTTGTTAATACCTTTCTGTAGTCACTGAAAGCTCTCAGTTCTTTCTAGACATGAAAAAATGAAATAAATGCTTAAGAAGAAACATAATATTGTTGTGTTACTTTTAAATAGAACGTATGACATGTACCTGTTTTATTTTGCAATTAGAAGCCTTGAGCACCAGATATATAGTTTGGTTTAGACTTAAAATCTCTGTTTGGTGCAGTTGTTAGAGCAACTGCTCCAGAGTCCATAAGAGCTGATCCTTATGTCACAGGTTTGAATCCACTGTGGGGTGTTTAGACTATTTAATCCCAGGTCCTATGTTCCAGATGTTGGCTTGAAAAATAACCCTCACTGCTTAACAGACCCTTTTCCTATGACATACTGTAGTTAATTAATGCTATGTACGCGATCACAAATTTTCCATGGAAATTAGACCCATTGAACTTAATACAAATGGATGGCATATAGGGAGGGTCTTAAGATATCCATGTAATTTTCTACCAGCGGATTTAACAGAAATAGAGATTCCGCGGAATTATGACCCCTCGGAAAAAAGTACTTCTACAGTATTTTGCCTAGGAGTTATTCCCCTTAGCTGCCATCTTGTAGGGCAAAGTATTGAATTTACCTCTAAGAACAACCAATTTTAAACATGCTTTCAAGAAATATTATCTTTACCTCAGTAACCAATTTTACAAATTGAACTTTTTTGAATAATAAAGGGATCTGGGAATGTTGCCCTACAATGTAACAGCTAAGGGGAATAACTCCTAGGCAAAATATGTCATAGGAAAAGGGTCTATAGGTATAAATTTGCAGCCCTACACTGTAAAATGGTACCATCTCCATATAAGAGGATTTCGATCTGGTGATGTGAGAGGATGTACGTCCAGTGACGTGAGAAGGTGTAAATCTAATGATATGAGAGAATGTAGATCTAGTGATGTGTGTAAGAGGATGTAGATCTAGTGATGTGTGAGGATGTAGATCTAGTGATGTGTGAGGATTTAGATCTAGTGGTGGGAGAGGATATAGATCTAGTGATGTGTGAGGATATAGATCTAGTGATGTGTGAGGATGTAGATCTAGTGATGTGTGAAGATGTAGATCTAGTGATGTGTAGGAGGATGTAGATCTAGTGATGTGAGAGGATGTAGATCTAGTGATGTGTGGGAGGATGTAGATCTAGTGATGAGTGTGAGGATGTAGATCTAGTGATGTATGTGGATGTAGATCTAGTGATGTGTGTGAGGATGTAGATCTAGTGATGTGTGAGGATGTAGATCTAGTGATGTGTGAGGATGTAGATGTATTGATTTGAGAGGATGTAGATCTAGTGATCTGTGAGAATGTACATCTTGTGATGTGTGGGGATGTAGATCTGGTGATGTGTGAGGATATACTTCTAGTGATGTGTGGGGATGTAGATCTAGTGATGTGAGAGGATGCATTCCCACACATCACTAGATCTACATCCTCTCAAACATCACTAGATCTACATCCTTTCACATCACTAGATCTACATCCTCTCAAATCATTAGATCTACATCCTCACACATCACTAGATCTGCATCCCCTCAGATCACTAGATCTACATCCCCTCAAACATCACTAGATCTACATCCTTTCACATCACTAGATCTACATCCTCTCAAATCATTAGATCTACATCCTCTCAGATCACTAGATCTGCATCCTCGCAGATCACTAGATCTATATCCCCTACGACACATCACTAAATCTACATCCTGCCACATCACTACATCTACATACTCTCACTTCACTAGATCTACATCCTCACATATCACTAGATCTACAGCCTCTCACATCACTAGATCTACATCCTCACACATCTCTAGATCAACATCCTCACACACCACTAGATCTACATCATCTCACACATCACTAGATCTACATCCTCTCACACACATTACTATATCTACATCTTTTCACGTCACTAGATCTACATCCTCACACATCACTAGATCTACATCCTCACACATCACTAGATCTACATCCTCACACATCAATAGATCTACATCCTCACACATCACTAGATCTACATCCTCACACTCATCACTAGATCTACATCCTCACACATCACTAGATCTACATCCTCTCACATCATTAGATCCATATCCTCTCACATCACTAGATCTACATCCTCACACATCACTAGATCTACATCCTCACACATCACTAGATCTACATCCTCAAATATCTTTAGATCTACATCCTCTGACACATCACTAGATCTACATCCTCACACATCACTAGATCTACAGCCTCTCACATCACTAGATCTACAGCCTCACACATCACCAGATCTACATCTTCACACATCACTAGATCTACATCCTCTCACACATCACTAGATCTACATCCTCTAACACACATCACTATATCTACATCCTTTCACACATCACTAGATCTACATCCTCTCACACATCACTAGATCTACATCTTCTCACACATCACTAGATCTACATCCTCACACATCACTAGATCTACATCCTCACACATCACTAGGTCTACATCCTCACACATCACTGTATCTACATCCTCACACATCACTAGATCTACATCCTCACACATCACTAGATCTACATCCTCACACATCACTAGGTCTACATCCTCACACATCACTGTATCTACATCCTCACACATCACTAGATCTACATCCTCACAAATCACTAGATCTACATGTTCTCACACATCACTAGATCTACATCCTCACACATCACTAGATCTACATCTTCTCACACATCACTAGATCTACATCCTCACACATCATCACTAGATCTACATCCTCTCACATCACTAGATCTACATCCTCAGACATCACTAAATCTACATCCTCACACATGTACTTCTAGTGATGTGTGGGGATGTAGATCTAGTGATGTGAGAGGATGCATTCCCACACATCACTAGATCTACATTCTCTCAAACATCACTAGATCTACATCCTTTCACATCACTAGATCTACATCCTCACACATCACTAGGTCTACATCCTCACACATCACTGTATCTACATCCTCACACATCACTAGATCTACATCCTCACATATCACTAGATCTACATCCTCAAACAAACATCACTAGATCTACATCCTCACACATTACTGGATCTACATCCTTCCACATCACTAGATCTACATCCTCTCACATCACTAGATCTACATCCTCACACATCACTAGATCTACATCCTCTCACACATCACTAGATCCACATCCTCTCACAAACATCACTAGATCTACATCCTCTCACACATCACTAGATCTACATCCTCTCACATCACTAGATCTACATCCTCAAATATATTTAGATCTACATCCTCTGACACATCAGTAGATCTACATCCTCACACATCACTAGATCTACAGCCTCTTACATCACTAGATCTACATCCTCACACATCACTAGATCTACATCCTCACACATCACTAGATCTACATCCTCTCACACATCACTAGATCTACATCCTCTCACACACATTGCTATATCTACATCCTTTCACATCACTAGATCTACATCCTCACACATCACTAGATCTTAATCCTCACACATCACTAGATCTACATCCTCTCACACATCACTAGATCTACATCCTCACACATCAATAGATCTACATCCTCACACATCACTAGATCTACATCCTCACACATGTACTTCTAGTGATGTATGGGGATGTAGATCTAGTGATTTGAGAGGATGCATTCCCACACATTACTAGATCTACATCCTCTCAAACATCACTAGATCTACATCCTTTCACATCACTAGATCTACATCCTCTCAAATAATTAGATCTACATCCTCACACATCACTAGATCTACATCCTCAAACAAACATCACTAGATCTACATCCTCACACATCACTAGATCTACATCCTCCCACACATCACTAGATCTACATCCTCTCACATCACTAGATCTACACCCTCTCACATCACTAGATCTACATCCTCTCACATCACTAGATCTACATCCTCTCACATCACTAGATCTACATCCTCACACATCACTAGATCTACATCCTCTCACACATCACTAGATCTACATCCTCTCACATCACTAGATCTACATCCTCAAATATCTTTAGATCTACATCCTATGACACATCACTAGATCTACATCCTCACACATCACTAGATCTACAGCCTCACACATCACTAGATCTACAGCCTCTCACATCACTAGATCTACATCCTCACACATCAATAGCTCTACATCCTCACACATCACTAGATCTACATCCTCACACTCATCACTAGATCTACATCCTCACACATCACTAGATCTACATCCTCTCACATCATTAGATCCATATCCTCTCACATCACTAGATCTACATCCTCACACCTCACTAGATCTACATCCTCCTACACATCACTAGATCTACATCCTCACATCACTAGATCTACATCCTCACACATCATTAGATCTACATCCTCTATTTACTCCTCTGGAGTACATATTAAAATTTCTACATATCTATCTACATATCTACATCCTTTCACATCACTATATCTACATCCTCACACATCACTATATCTACATCCTCACACATCACTAGATCTACATCCTCTCACATCACTAGATCTACATCCTCACACATCACTAGATCTACATCCTCACACATCACTAGATCTACATCCTCACACATCACTAGATCTACATCCTCTCACACATCACTAGATCTACATCCTCACACATCAATAGATCTACATCCTCTCACATCACTAGATCTACATCCTCACACATCACTAGATCTACATCCTCACACATGTACATGTACTTCTAGTGATGTGTGGGGATGTAGATCTAGTGATGTGAGAGGATGCAATCCCACACATCACTAGATCTACATCCTCTCAAACATCACTAGATCTACATCCTCACACATCACTAGATCTACATCCTCTCACATCACTAGATTTACATCCTCACACATCACTAGATCTACATCCTCTCACACATCACTAGATCTACTTCCTCTCACAAACATCACTAGATCTACATCCTCACACATCACTATATCTACATTCTCTCACACATCACTAGATCTACATCCTCTCACATCACTAGATCTATATCCTCAAATATCTTTAGATCTACATCCTATGACACATCACTAGATCTACATCCTCACACATCACTAGATCTACAGCCTCACACATCACTAGATCTACATCCTCTCACACATCAGTAGATCTACATCCTCTCACTCACATTACTATATCTACATCCTCTCACAAACATCACTAGATCTACATCCTCACACATTACTAGATCTACATCCTCTCACACATCACTAGATCTACATCCTCACACATCACTAGATCTACATCCTCACACATCAATAGATCTACATCCTCTCACATCACTAGATCTACATTTTCACACATCACTAGATCTACATCCTCTCACACATCACTAGATCTACATCCTCACACATCACTAGATCTACATCCTCACACTCATCACTAGATCTACATCCTCACACATCACTAGATCTGCATCCTCTCACATCATTAGATCCATATCCTCTCACATCACTAGATCTACACCCTCTCACATCACTAGATCTACATCCTCTCACATCACTAGATCTACATCCTCTCACATCACTAGATCTACATCCTCTCACATCACTAGATCTACATCCTCTCACATCACTAGATCTACATCCTCACATCACTAGATCTACATCCTCACACATCACTAGATCTACATCCTCACACATCACTAGATCTGCATCCTCTCACATCATTAGATCCATATCCTCTCACATCACTAGATCTACATCCTCACACATCACTAGATCTACATCCTCCTACACATCACTAGATCTACATCCTCACATCACTAGATCTACATCCTCACACTCATCACTAGATCTACATCCTCACATCACTAGATCTACATCCTCACACTCATCACTAGATCTACATCCTCACTCATCACTAGATCTGCATCCTCTCACATCACTAGATCTACATCCTCACACATCATTAGATCTACATCCTCTATTTACTCCTCTGGAGTACATATTAAAATTTCTACATTGTATGCTTGCTGTCTTGGATTGTCAAATCTGAATTATGCATGTATATTCCTTCTCTTAATATTTCTTTGTGTTTACACATTACACAATGGATATCCTAAAATTGAGCATTAGAGTCTCTTAACCTTTTCCACTGATATTATTCACTTACAAAACATTATATATTTTCATGATCTTTCCAACAAATCCCCCCTCTTGAAATGTTCAGGCTTGGGACCCCCCCTTCTCAATTCTCAAGATTATATTTATTAATCAACATAGGCTGTCATACTGCAAGTCATCAAAATTTTCTTCAAATTCATTTCTATAACTCACAATACAGTCTATAAACAAAAGTGTTTAACACTTTATTAATCAAAAACAACATCTTTGATTAAAGAACTACAATATTGCACAGATAGAGCACAGTAAACATTTGATATTATAATGTTACATGTATAATCTTATTATTCTAATCCTGTTCACAGTCCCAACTGTCTACCTGGTACATTAACAAAAAGAGATCAATGAAGAAATTAGTAATGCCACCTGAAATTTAAACAAGTGATGTGTCAATTGAAATCGCTGGTATTCTGCATTTTCTTGAAAGATTTCTGCATCTTAGCAAATTAATATTCATTTTGTATGGCAAGTAGATTTCATAAGTTTCTTCTATATACTGTTATCAACTCTAGTTAACCTCTTTTTTAAAACTACATCAACTGTAAAATTCACAAACTAACAACCATTTTTTTGTTAATGACCATTAAAAATGAAATACACTGTACAATGTTTTTGTACACCAATATATTAAGTATTTCCATAATTTTATTCGATAAACTTTAGGAATAGTGAAAAACATGTGTGCATACAAAAAAAAAGCTAATCAGGATTCCAATTCTGTACGTTATGCTACACAGAGGTTAGATTTTCAAAATCTGAATTAAGATTCTGTAGGTCTTGAATCTGCCCCAAGATGACCCAAGTTAAATTGAACAATTTTGGTCCAAAAAAGTAAAAACATTTTCTAGATTAGAAATAACAAACCCATATTTACTGTTTGTGTGTGTGACATTAATTTTTATATCCTGCTTAGTTTTCACATTTCATACAGTGCAAATTTGAAAATTGATACCTTCAATCCAAATCTGTTTTAGTTGCAATAAAATATGACATTAAGTATTAAAGTTACAGTACATTGTTTTTAGCAAAGCATGAAATCTAAAACAATGATCAGTCAAGACAAGTCAGCAGACAAAAATAACAGAGAGAGAGAGAGAAAGAGGGGGAGAGAGAGAGAGATAGCATGGACAAATGGCAGTCACAAAAATAATATCACACACAATAAATTATCAACAAAAATTAAAACAAAACAACCTTTCTTTGTTTTATCTTGGGATTCACATGGACCTCATGTAGAAAAAAAACAACAAAAAAACAGCTTTTACTGTTATAGCCTTAAACAAGCTTATATATATTAAAGATATAAAAATATCATGAATGGATAACTTATACAGTATAATGCAAGGTTTACATGTTTTATTCTATTTCCAGTAAAGGAGTATTTTTATATTTCAGTGATAAATAAAGTAAACTACATGTATCTGTTCTTCATAACAACCCCCTTCCAAGTTTATTTAAGTTTTTAACACATACAGTTCAAAGTTACCCTGCTTTCAAGAAACAGAAAATGCTACCATGCTCACAGAAAAAAACCCAGACATGATTTCTCCATCCTCAGTTAAATCCTCCCGAAAAGAAGAAAATATGAATACATGTGTACCGTATTAAATAAATGAGTATTGTTTTGAAAATCAAAATTTTCAATGGAGGGTGAGCTACATTACCGGCATTATCTTAAACAATTTGTCATTGTTTTCCTCCTTCAAAGTGAAACACTAACTAAAAATATCACAAAAAATGGATAAATTATAAATGTAGATTGATTCACCTTTATTATACAAGCAGTAAGATGAACTTAGGGTATATGGAATGTTTGTAACAAGGTGAAACCCTTTTTTCTCATAAAATGTAAAAACAGAAATGCTCCAAAACAAAATATCAGTAACGAATTACACAGGGTTCAAAAAGACACATGAATAAATGCAATACTGATAAAGGGAGCTAACTTAAGATCAATCTGGGTCCCTCTTCTACCATATATAGTCGTAGTTATAAAACATGTATATACATAACATCACAGTTTAGATTTTAGAGACTAAGTTGCTTATAGATTAAAAAATTTGATATACAACATGTGCTCAACAAATATCATTCAAATACATGTACATGTGTCATTTAAAATTGTTATATGCATATTTTCTCTACATCTGACAAAACATGAGATACTGCTACAAGATGTAAATTACACGATTCCTACCAGAAAACAATTCCAGGAGAGTACGTTTTTATTCAGGTATGATCATTTTTCTCACATAATAATCATAAAAATCAAGAAAATATGACTAGATCATAAAAATCTGTCTTGACCTGACTCGACTATTTTCAGCATTAAGACATGAGTGAGAACAGTTTGTAAAGGTTGGTTCCTCCCGTTATACAGAGGGTTCACTGTTAGTTCCCCCCTCGTGAGGCTCGCTGGTGGTGCTGGATTCCTCCATTGTGTCCCCGCGATCCTCTGATGATGTGTTATTGGGTGATGTTTCTGTCACCTGTGATTCTGGAACATCTTGTAAAACGTCCTTGGCTTGAATGGCTCTTACTGCATCCTCCCAAGCCTTCAGACACTAAAACAATAAAAATATATGCTATTTATGAAGAAAAATGAAAAATTTATATGAAAACATGTATGGCAATGTAGTGGTTATATGGACCAATATCAGCCAGGGTAGCTCAGTGGTTAGAGCACCTAACTAGTAATGCTTGGGTCCTGGGTTCGATTCCGATCCAGCTGTTACTTTTTACCTTTTCTTTTTAGTAAAAGCTGATTAAAACACAATATAACACATTCAGGTGAACTTCATTTCCTCCTAAGTCATACCTTTTCGTAGTATAGAATCTGTCTATCTGCAGACTCTATGAAGAGCTCTTTGAGATCTTTTTGTTTATTTTTGTGCCATCGCTCCATGTCCACCCTCAGGTCAGTGTCCGCACAAACCGTCCGGTCGTTCAGCACCTCCATCTTCTTGGTAAGCTGCACAAACAAGACAAACATTTTTTACCACCATGTCAAAGAATGATCAAGGGGAACAATGTTATGAAATAGTTTCTCAAAAACTCTTTAATATAAACATGATTATTAACTGTGCCAAAACAGCAGCTGTTACCTCCTCTATCTGCTGTTCCAGTTTATCTTGTTTCTGTTGCTTGACATCCTCTGGATCTTTGCCAAGGAAGGCCCCAATAGAGTAGGTCTGATCAGAAATCTTCACCTACAGTTGTTAGAATATCAAATTTACAATCCCCAAAAAATTACCATTAGAAGGTACCGGTATTACAAAAAAAGGTTTTAATCTGTTGACATTGATACATCTGTACATACATTGTAAACTGAATCATTACCTGTTCTCGTTCATCTTTTTTTCTGTTCAGCTCATCTACTGTTGTCTCATATTCCATTTGTATTGCATCCCTTCTTCTTAAAACTGCCTATTAAAACACAATAGTATCTCTGATATACAAATAATACACAGGGGGAAAATAACTCGCAGTGTTAATATTTGCTATATTCACGGTGTTAATAAATCTGTGAATTCAAGAAACAGTGAGGCCAAAATAAAAAATAGTCTTGTTTCCTGCTACCCGACCTACCCTATTTTTTTGCACCCGACCCTAAAGTTTTTTTTTAGCTTTTGGGGAACAAATTCAAAATTTTACAAATTTCATGTTTCAAAAGTGAAAAAATATATATATTCTCAAGTTGTATTTCATGAAATATATGTTTAAAATATGGACTTTTGTAAAATTCCACTGCTATGACATGTTCAATTTGGTTTTGTAGTAGTTCATATCCAAAAAAAATACCTTTGGAAAAAATAAAATAAAATTAAAAAATAAAATAATTTTCCTACCTACCTACCCTATTTTTTTTCTGGCTGGTAGCAGGAAACAAGACAATTATTTTTTTTGGCCTGAATAAATTTTCAATAATTTCCATGTTTTATTTGGAAATTTGAGAATAAACTATGATAGGATTATATACATGTACATGCGGTACATGGTCATATCAGTAATTATGAGTGGTTCTTGCCATTCAATTATTTAAGTTAATTATCACACTTTACTTTAATTCAAATCAGCAGATAATTACCTGTATTTGTTAAAAAGCTGTTTTAATAGCCAACGCTACATGTTCCATCAATCAAAACACGTGGGCCATGGGTTTTGATTGAACGTGGGTAACTATTTGTTACCACGTGTATTTGTTACCTGCATTTTCATGCATATTGGTTTTTATCGACATTTTGGTTTTTAAAAATCATTCAATTAACAATCCAACTTACAGAAGATGTGGAAGGATATTATTTCCTTGACCTACATATATACCATCCAGTGGTTTTTCGCCGTGTTTAATTGAAGATTTTGGGGATGTACCTGCACTCATCGTAATAGCATATAGGAAAGTAATTTGACGTTTATAGCCAAGGACATTGATAACTGCACTTGTTTTAATTAATCGTCAATTGCATTTATCAAATCATTATTACATGTACCTATGGCATGGATTAAATGGATATAGACAAGGGAGGTAACTTTTATCATATACCAATTCTGCAAATTCAAGAAACCGCGATCGTGTCAGATGAGAGAAAAACGTGAAAATTACAACCCGTGAAATTAATCCCCTATCCATATCTATTTTTATTCTCCTATGTTACAGTCAAAAACTGCATATATTGTCTACCTGTTTTCTTTATGATATAACGGACAGACACTTACTAACTATACACAAATAATCTTGGACTATGGAACTTACTTTTATAGCATCTGTGTAGAGTATATACTCCTTCAAAGGCTGTGAGAAATTGTCCTCTGTTGATTCAATCTAGACATAGATTACAAAGCCTTGATTTTGTTTTATGTAACATTACATTTTTTTTTTCAAATCATTTCAAATTGATATCATGAGAAAAGCAATATATTACATCTGTAAATCAGTCAACTTACAGTTTCTTTCAGAGCCTGGGCACACACATCAACAGCTCTAGACATGGCTAAAAGGGGGGAGGTCAACTGGTCCTCAGAGTTTGACCACAGTGTATAGATAGGACCCCACTCACACATCTCTAGTACATAATCTAAATTAAGGACACCGGCTGGTTACATACTCATGTCATGTTTTTTTTTTAGGATCTTGCATTCTTGTGACTGAATTTACATTAACAATGCAAGCATTCATATAATCAGATATCTTGCATTCTTGTGACTGAATTTACATTAACAATGCAAGCATTCATATAATCAGATATTTCAATACTAACATAAAAAAATATTGTGAAAAATATATAACATGTCTTATAGTTTAGACTATGAGCTATCCTATACAGATTGATTTCACGTCAATCCTCTGTGATGTGGGATTTACCTGTTTGTTCTTTAACAATCCTCTGTGAATGGGATTTACCTGTTTGTTCTTTAACAATCCTCTGTGAATGGGATTTACCTGTTTGTTCTTTAACAATCCTCTGTGAATGGGATTTACCTGTTTGTTCTTTAAAAATCCTCTGTGAATGGGGTTTACCTGTTTGTTCTTTAACAATCCTCTGTGAAGGGATTTACCTGTTTGTTCTTTAACAATCCTCTGTGAATGGGATTTACCTGTTTGTTCTTTAACAATCCTCTGTGAATGGGGTTTACCTGTTTGTTCTTTAACAATCCTCTGTGATATGCGATCAATAACACCGAGCTTCTCAGCAAAGGTCTGTACATATTCATAAATCAGGGTGAATTCTGGACTTCGGTTCTTCATCATGTAAGATGCACTAATGTTGTGAATGGAGTCCGACATCCTGCTCAGAATTCCAGTCCCATGCTTCTTATGAGCTTGAAACTCCTGGAACAAACATTAAACAAAAATAGTTATGCATATATTTTATAATTAAAATATGTATTAAGTATTCAAAGGAAAATCTCCAAATGCATCATTATACAGAATAGATATTTTTAAAATAATTGCATTTAAAGTAACATTAGGAGTGTGACATATTTTTGTTATGATACACGTTTTCTACACATGCATGCAATGAAGAGGAAGAAGTGAAGCAATACTTTTGTCTTGGTGGCAGACAAAAATTATATAGCATTTTTCTTTATCAGAGTTTTTTAGGTTCCAAATGTTGTATTTTTCTGAAACTTAACAAAATTTGCCTATGTTCTGCAATATTTACCCAGGCTTTTGCTGTCAGAAAAACTTGAAAATTTTTATCAAAGGAAAGAACCGGGTGATCTGCCAAACGTGTCAGGAACTTTTGTAACGCTTGTTGTCTGACTTTCAGGAACTCGGGACTAAATCGGTCAAGTCTGCGTAAACTGTGCTTCTCTGGCAAGGGCTGGAATTGTAACGAATTTAATGCCATATTAGCACAAGCATGCTTTTTATTTATCAATTTAAAATATTTTATCATGTACCATCTTGAAATATAAAGCATAATTATAATATTTAAAAAATATATTATTTATATGATACAAGTCAAGCATCATCTTACAGGTACTAGATGTGTGGGATAGCTTTCTTCTAGTTTTTGTCTAAGCCAGAGGAAGTCATTATATCTTCTGCGAACTTGGTACTGGCTGTCATCAAACTCACTTCTTGTTGTCTAAACAGTAATTTGCATTGATGTTTATAAGTATTTTGCACTGTTCTTACACTACAGTACAAATGATATTTTTTAACCCCTAACCCTTTCACCCTGTGTTATTTTTTCTCTCTTTCACATTTTCAAATAATACAATCCCCGTGAATCTTAAAATGAATGTCTAATATCTCATTTAAACTGACAACTTAATGTTTCATATCTCATTTTGTCTTGAGGGTTGCATCTGTTCACTTGTTATGCAACACTCTTTTAGATGAACTTACTGTAGGAATAATCAGTTTTGAGAGTACATTAAATGCATAACATACTTTTGAGGTTATTCTGAATGTTACATATGCCTCCAGAGTGCTTGTATGTTTTTCTGGGTCATCCACAACCACAAATAGATCTCTTGTTTCATCATCCAAACAATCATCATAGCGACTAAGATTTGCCATCAGACTAGAACTTCTAGAGACACTGGGTTCTGACCTTGCTGATGCATCAAGACTCAAGCTTTCCATCTGCAATGATCATATAAAGAATGCACAAACATTTGTGATATCCTTAAAAAATAGAGGAAATATAAAATACCATTTCATTATGTAAACAAATTTTGATGCAGAATTTTATTCAAAACTTAGAAATGGAGGTTGTGATCCTAGCTATGCATAGGAACAGCACAATACACTGTTTACAGGAAAAAACTCATTCATCAAATAGGAATAGTTATCATCTCCATGACAAGCTGTCTTCTTTGCCATGTGTGGTACTTCTGCAATTTCTAAATAGCAGCCTCACATGCAACACACCCCCTACTACATTTAGGTTGTTATTCTTAATTCTTTGGAATGCTGTAAATTTCAATTTCTTTTAAATACAAACTTCGCCATCACTGGCATCCAGTCCACTTATGAGAGGGTCTCTAAACTTTAACTGGTCGTCTGAAGTGTCAGGAGAATGGATTTCATCCTTGGTATCTGCCATTGCCATAATATAAACAGGCACCCTTATGACAATGACAAAAAAATTAGTGCGCTTTTGCAATACGGCTTTTCATTGGCTGAGGCTGATATATCTACCAATGAAAATCCTGGATACAAATAATTAACTATTTTTGTTATTGATATAGGGGTCGATGTCAGAGATGGCTTTCCAAACTCCAGGAGGTGCTGGACAAGGTATAAAATCTGGGTTTACCGTAGCTTATTTTGTGAATTGAGATAAGGAAATGCAGGACCATTGACTGATTGGGAAAGGTTTACAAGCAAAAAATTCTTTCAATAGACATAAAGTTAGGTTTGAACCAGACATGTTTGTAAAATTATTTTTTATGCAGACATATCCGTTTCTCACTTTCCATACATGTTAATCTACTGTGATGAAAGAAAGGGAGATTCAGACCTCGAAAGAGGTAGCATTGCGCGGGTTGTCTAACGCATGGGTTTACAAAGATATATTTTATGTAAATATGGCCATGATTATGATTAGATGACAACTGCAATATCAACTGCAATGAAGTAGAGAGAAACACTTCAAGTTTGACACAAATTATACAAATTTAAATATTTTTCATGCTCATCATTTACTTTGATTGGCTGCTTAACTTAACCTTTTGAAGAGTGATCTTTGCTGACATAGTATTAGCCTATTTAATTCTGTCAGACTCAGAATGTTCATTCAATTGTCAACACAGCAAATGATGACATTGTTTAATCTAGATATAAAACTAATTCCCATCTTTTTAAAAATAAATTGGATTTCCAGCGATGATTGAAAACGAAAGTAGAGATGCAACGTGCCTCATGGCTTGGTCAATGAGTGATTTCTAATGACTTTATTGATAAAATTGCAAGCTCCTGTGCTTTTAAAGACAACGTCAAACATTTTCATCCAATTCCAAAATGCCGTATCTCCATTTTCCTAGCAGTGATGTTGACAGAATTTATTGTAACCAATGTAATCACAGAGATTTGTGCTGTTGTTGTTGTCAAATATGTGCTTGAAATCGAGGTACACATCAGTACAAAAAAGCATTTTTATGCTCACGGGTCAAATCATGTGATGTCTTATGAGATTTTATGAAAGTGGCTTCAATATGGCTTTCCAAGTGAACCAAAAAATTGTTTTTGACAAAACTTTTGTAGAAAAAAGCGGTAGATTTACCAATAGAATTGGTAGGTGTGAGATTGAGTGAAAAAACAGTAGACTCCCGTCTAAAGCAATAGAGTTAACATGTATGCACTTTCTGAAATATTATGTGGTGGGTAGACTTCAGCTGCAGATCTGTAGCTCTCTTGTCTGAAAAAATTGGGATAAATGACCAGAGAGCTACAGTGCCACCCATAGAAAAAAAAAACTGCACCTCTTGTTTGAAGTCTTACCAAACTTATGTGATGGGTCGGAGACCCTTTACAAGTATAATCTTTTAACCTTTGCACAAGAAAATTGCGCTCTATTTTGGATTAATTATTCTAAGTAAATCTTACCTCTACTATACAAAAGCTTGATTTTATAACACTTCTTTGACATCCATCGACTAAACTATTTTCAAATTTGATAATTGCACAAAGAGTATTGGACGAATTATCTTGCTGCCAAAAATGACACTGTAAATAAGCAAAGTTTTAGATGGTCTCAATTTCAGGCCCATGTCGAGGTCTACCATCTACCGTCTATTAACAACAGTTTTATGGAATGTTTCGTTGTGGAAATAGTAAAAAAAAAGTTAGGAACACATGGTTAGTAATATTTTGAGATGGCAGTTTGAGAAAACACAGAGAAATAAATTGAGAAACAGCTAGCACACATTTTTGTGCACAATAAGTACACACTTTTTCCAATGGGTGACACTGTCGCGCTTCAGTCCATCAGTATATATATATATATTTTTAGAGTTACAGTTCTGCAGCTAGGTAGACTTAACATTACCGGTCTTAAGATCTGCCCGCTCATTGCACAGTGTGATGAAAGATTTACGCCACTTATCAAATGATAAGGGTAAGTCTTGTACATTTTTTGACTAATTAGGGCTTGCACCTACCTGAAAGACTAAGGGTTAGTCCTTGCACAAATTTTTGACTGATAGTAATACACAGTGTTCATTCATGATAAGAATATCGAAGTCAAGTTCTGTTTTGGGTATGATTGAGCCATTTTGAATAGAGTAATGCCCCTTGGACTTAGAAAAATTCCAATCATTTGGGGGAGGGGGCATAAGTGTTTTACAAACATCTTGTTTAGTGGGTTTTTCTTGGGCTCGGTAAAGTAAAGTTACTCCTGTATTGCTTCATCAAAGATACCAATTCTGTGATTTCTACAACGCTTCTTAAAACAAAGCTACAGATTTTGATTAAAATGAAATACTTCTTTGAGCAGAAAATAGGAACAGAAGGATACTGGAACAGCTAGAAGAACAGAAGAGACGACTTCGAGGGGGACATGGTGGGTCAGTGAGTAGCCCCATTACAAACAGGTAAGATAATATGTCAGGTCTCAGAGCTGTAGATCATAGGTGTGTACATCTTTTACTTGCATTTATTTAAATCTTGGCTTTTAACATCTGATCACATTATTTAACAGTGAAAGTGTATTCCTTTGCCCATGAAGCTGTATGCCCTAATTTTATACAGGATGTGCTGAAAATCACAAATGTCAGAATACATTGATATTTTTTTAAAGTTTGACTTCATCGGAAAACAATTCATGAAAAATCCCCCTTAAAGATGTGTCATTTTCTGCACAATCAAAGTTTTAAAAGCTTTGGGGCTATATTCTACAGTTAATTTGTCAACAAACAATTACTGAATGAAATAACAAAGAAGACCAGTTCAGGTTAATATGATAATTGATTGTTAATTATTCAGCACAATAGGAAGTAATCATACTTATCCACGCCTCATCTCACACAAGGTGGTTAGTTACACAAACAACTGAAATACGTCTTCTGCTTTAAAGTTTTCAAACGCAGCAGTTTTATATCTCTGCTTTTTAAACAAAACACAAAAGGAGATGGGGGGATAAGGCGGGCAGAATGCCTATAGCGTCAGCTATCAAGAAATCATATTTGATATGTAAGTTGAGTATTTAAATTTACTTCTCATTATTGAAATTTATGAAATTATGAGAAAAAAAAAATTTTCTGAGAGAAAATAAATCTCTTTAAAAAATTTCATTTATAAAAATATTCGATAGTATACCTTGGATTTGAACCTGAGCAATAAAATACCGATGTATCAGACTGCTTTGAGACTAACGCGCTAACCATTTTGCTACATGGCTCATGATGTGTAGGGGCAGTTAAATCATGTTTGTGATATGACCCTTAACTTAATGGACTTGAAGTATTTCTCGGAAAGATGCAAATGTTTTGTCATAAAAGTGTACTTTTAAGGTATAGTGGGTCTTCGTTCCATTTTTTTGTAAACCAAAAAATATTTATTTTATTGCAAACGTTTAGGATTATCTTTCAAAAAAAATGGAGTGAAGACCCACTCATATTGAAAAATGTTGTTAAAGTATGAAAAAATGATCGTTTTTGTTCTTTTAAGTCTGTGTATGCTTTTTCATAGGCAAATATTTTAAGTCTTTGTGAGATTTTTATAAATTGTTGAGATTTTACATTAAGTATACTTTAATATTAGATGAAATATGACATAAAATTTGGATATAATTGAGATTAAATTTTTCACTTCTTATCTGTCGCGCTTTAGGCATTCTGCCCACCTTATCCCCCATCTTCTTTGTGAAAAGTGTAATTAAAATAGCTAAATAAAGCCACCATAACTAGCTAAATAAAGTTATGGCAGGAAATTCTAGCAACATAGCTTAATGTACTGATTGTATTGGACCTGTCAAGATACTATAAATATGGAATGGGCACTTCACAATTATACAGTCATTAGACTTTTTACGGATCACCGTAAAGTTTATGACTTGCATAATACACTACTGTAATGTACTTCACACCATGCATCCACACATTTGACAATTTATCAATCACTAGCAGCGTAAAATGCATTGCAGCCACACTTGTCTTCTGTGATATGTCTTCTATCACCATTCACCAAGCTGTAACACTGAGTTACATTAACTCATCTATTAACTTTTCATAATTTAGACTTCTTCTCAAGAACCACTGGACCAATTTCAACCAAACTAACCTTAAAGTGGATTCAGTTTTATTCAAATGAAGAACCACACCTTATTCAAAGTAGAGAAAATTACAAATTAGTGAAAAATTGATGGCATCTTTTAAAAAAAACCACTGGACCAAAAATGCAAAACTTGTATGAAAGCACTTCAGTAATGTAGATTGAACTTTGTTGAAATCATGACCCTGGAGTAGGGTGGGGCCACAATGTTCAATCAAAGTTTTGCATAGGAATTCATAGGAAAAATCTTTAAAGCTCTTCTTCTCAAGAACAGCATAACAGATATAATACTGGTAGTGTGCTGGTTTTTAGCTCACCTGAGCCGAAGGCTCAAGTGAGCTTTTCTGATCACATTTTGTCTGGTTTCCGTCTGTCCGTCTAATGTCTGTCTGTAAACTTTTCACATTTTCGACTTCTTCTCAAGAACCGCTGGGCCAATTTCAACCAAACTTGCCACAAAGTATCCTTCGGTGAAGGGGATTCAATTTTGTTCAAATGAAGGGCCACGCCCTTATTCAAGGGGAGATAATTGGGAATTAATGAAAATTTAGTGGTATATTTTAAAAATCTTCTTCTCAAGAACCACTGTGCCAGGAAAGATGAAACTTATGGGGAAACATCCTCAGGTAGTGTAGATTCAAGTTTGTTCAAATCATGACCCCCGGGGGTAGGGCGGGGCCAAAATGGCCGACCAAAGTTTTACATAGAAATATATAGGAAAATTCTTTAAAAATCTTCTTCTCAAGAATGACAAAGCCATAATTCATCATATATATATGAAAGCATCCTCAGGTAGTGTAGATTCAAGTTTGTTCAAATCATGACCCCCGGGGGTAGGGCGGGGCCAAAATGGCCGACCAAGGTTTTACATAGAGATATATAGGAAAATTCTTTAAAAATCTTCTTCTCAAGAATGACAAAGCCATTATTCATCATATTTATATGGAAGCATGTTCAGGTAGTGTAGATTCAATTTTATTCAAATTATGACCCCCGGGGGTAGGGCGGGGCCAAAATGGCCAACCAAAGTTTTACATAGAAATATATAGGAAAATTCTTTAAAAATCTTCTTCTCAATCATTTTCTAAAAAATAGCAAATCCATGATTGGTCATGGGACTACTTTTGGATTTAAACTTTACAATAAAAAGCCATTTTATACTAGTCCTACCCTTGGTGCTCAGGTTTTGGGCCTTAAAAAAAATTATTTTTCAGTATTTTTCAGACTACCATGTCAAAATATTACCCGCTGTGAGTTCTTTATACTCTTATGATCCCATGTTACTCCTTTATCCCATGGATATTTTTTTCATATCCCACTGAGTTAAGTGCAGTTATGATGTCACAATGGATTCTGCGTTAGCATGATGAAGTAAAATAAAGTGATGTCAGATATAAAAACAGTGTGAAGTATTTAACATGGGATAAAAAGAATCTCCCATAATTTGTAGTTGGATATGATTATTATCCAGCTCATTGTGTGCCTTTATCCCCTCACCAAGGCTGGGGATTAAAAAAAACACAACTTGTTGCATAAAAATCATATCCAACTACATATGGGAGATCCTATATCTATACTATTCAACAAAACATGGCTTATTTTTAATATCCTCCCTGCATGGCTCATAAAGTGAGCCTGTTGAAAAATTGGCCTATTTTTTACTGTTATATCAATATGATAATATGGTTTAGCTTGCTTTCTGCAGTCATAAACTATGAGTGTAGTTCATATAGGTCCAAAAAATTTTTTTGGAAATAAAGGTTTTATGAATTTGAGGTAAGAATTCAGAGAAATAAATCCAGAACTGAGTACAACTTTTGGTGCACAATAAATATACTGTTTTTCTATGGGTGGCACTGTAGCTCTTTGGTCTGCCAACATTTTTCTTTGAAAAGCTACAGTTCTATAGCTAAAATGGGATACACAGTAAAGGCAGTTACTTTTTGTCATAAATAATTACAAACACAGAGATACTGAAAGTGGGTGACCACAATTTTTTTAATTTGCTTGTTAGCTTTGTACTCTTCTTAAACCAACAGAGTTTATGATTTTGGGTGTCTAGTAGGTCTTGGTATCAGCTGGGATGGCATTATACTGTGATATTTGCAATTTACTCAATAACAGTTCAGATGATCCTTTTTATTATTTTATTAACCTCCATTTGTAAGCAGAAAGTTTTCATCAGTGAACCATAATACACAGAAGTACATGTATCATTATTATTCCGCGGCCCGAGTGTCTGTCATTTGTGTGTTTTCTTCTCCTCCCACAGGTTTGGCGTGATGTCAATAAAGCTTAATTCACAATTAAACTACACTGAGGCACTTAAATCTATCAGTCATTTCTTATTTAGTTTATTTTGATGAATAGTGATGCCACAATTAGAATTTTATGTGAAATTTTTAAAGACGTGTTCTGATTCCAATAAAACTTGAAGAAGATAAATTACTACGTGTTACAATAAAAATAGAATAAGTGTGAAAATCCTTCTCCTGTATTTTTTTTTTTATTTAATTGCAATAAAACAGGTTAACAACTAAGTTAAGAAAACACCAGGATACATACCTAGTAATTATATAAATGTTGAGTCTCAGCCTCATCAAGAATGTTGTCATATTTGGCTGATTTCTATGGAACCAGTGGCATTAAATTTAAGACAATTGGGCAACTTTTACTGACTTACTTCACAACTGCAAATTAAAAACTTGATATCAAGCCTAAGTAAACTCATTTATCGTATTAAACTGTAATCATACAATTTGATGGCCACACTGAGGGGTTTATTTATATATGGTTACATAGAAAAGAAAGATGACTTGGGTAAGTATTGTGGCCTCTGGATCTCTCAAAGTACTATGACAGTATACCTTATATCTCAATTCTGCCTTACTGAATGTGTACGGGTAATTGATATCTTTGTGGTAATCTTGTCAGTATAGCCTATGGGGCCAGAGAGGGGTGTGGTCCAGCAAAATAAATAATAAAGATTGTCTGATAGAAACTTACTGTACAGGTACAGATGATCAAACAGATCAGAGAAGCCTTTCATTTGATCAAATGTTATTGATTATTACCCGGTAATAGTAGGAGTAATGTACAAGGTCTAGAATAATATAACAGACTATATATACCTTATCAAAAATAATTAAAGAGAGAAAGGGTATATATAGAAATGTGTTGATATTTGCTAATTAAAAATGACTATTTATAGAATTAGAGGGAGTTAGCCACACTTTGACAAAGCTATTTATCATGTTAACAGATATTTAATACAGATAAAAAAGACACATTGATTGATGTGCTCCTTGTTAATAAGACAAACAACATTGTTTGAACTTGTTTTTATTTGCTGCTGATTGTTTTTTTTCAGTGCCCCTGCCGTCCCGCCCCCTGTGTCTTTGCCAGGAAATGTAATGTATTCAATTTGTAATCACAAGTGTTTACATCCATTTGTTAAATTCTGTCAGCAAATAAAAGAACTGCTGTAAGGCAATATCTGTTACATGTACGCAGATCAATGCTGAATTCTGTCTAGTACAATCATATTAAATGTATATCATAAAATCAAAATCTTGCAATATTTTGACCAAGAATTTGTATAGTTAAATTGTATTTTGCAGCCAACTCCTCATTGTATTGACTCTTATTAGCCTTTGATGGTCGGACGGAAGGTTAGATCTGTACAGGTTGACAGGGGGGGTGTAAATAAGAATGGTGTTAATTGTCTTTCAGATCAGTTTGGTAATGGAAACCCAGCATATGACACCTGCCCAAAGGACAGCCTTACAGGTGAGGGCAGAGTTCAGGTGTGATCGTTAATGTCAGGCACATTACATGCATATTACATATAGCATGACAAACATATTACATACAGCATGACAAAGCTTCTCAGTTCTAGTCAGGGTAAATACACAGGAATTCAGGGGTCAAGCATCTCTTCTAACAGCTGTAAAATTTAAAGTCTGTTACATCATCAATGTGCAATGTCATTCATTTTTGGAACCAATTTCATAGTTATTGTAAAAATACAGTTTTGCTTCTACTTAAATTTGTTGATTAGCTAGTTTATCCTATCTTATTTGTAACATTTGTAATTTGTTGCACATCTAATTTCATGGTCTTGCTCAACTTTGAAAAATTGATATTTGGGGAAAAAATTTTATCTGATCAAAAGCATTTTATTTCTGGCTAATAAGCTAATATAACATCAGTCAAACAACTTTGAGCTAATTAAGATGACTTTTCTTTTTGCAGCATGCCAATGCTAACTCAGTGGGCTACTTTATCACCCAGGACTCTTCATTTGGCAACTTAATTTTACCCGTCTTACCCAGATTTAATGAGAAATAGCATTTATTTATTGCCTTTATCATTGTAAATATCATCTGAACATTTTGAATAAAATCATGTTACAAAACAAACTTTGTCATATTTTTGAGGACAGACATCATTAGTCTTTGTTAGTTGGTCCATATTGTGGCCTTAGGCTGTCCAAAGTTAATTCTACATTTAACATCAACTAAACATGTAGGTTTCGGAAAATTGGCATTTTGAAAAAAAACAAACAAATCAACTTTTTTAAAGTTTCTGTCCTACTTTTAGCGCAAAAAATATACATTCCATAGGAATAGGCAATATTTGAACCCTCTGGGAGTCTCATTTAAAGTGACAGGTTTACTGAAAAATGATTATTTAACAATAAGCCTACATTATTATAAATATTAACAGTATTTTAATTCATGTACATGAGTTTATTATATTCATTTGTTTGAAGATTTTGTTTGTTTTATTGGTGACGTTAAACTTAGAATTATTTTTTGCCAGCCTTAATGGTGATATTCTGGTTATGTTGATCTACTACTGGAAATTTGACTAAAATAAAACATATACGTATGTCTGGCACACTCAGATGTGTAATTATTATGAACTGGGAGAGGTGAAAAAATGTGACGGATCAGACCAGGATTACAACCCAGGCTCCCTCAATCTCCAGTCAGGTGCTCTATCAATTTAGAAATGTGGTTACTTGCAATCAAACCCATCTGACCACAACATTCCTCCCTCCTTAAGGATCTTTGACCTCCAGAGATGCCGACCCAGACTCTTCCCTTTCACCTTTCACTTCCAGGGCATGGTCACAGCACCAAACATAACAGGAGAGGAGAAATATGCAGTGGACCCCCCCCCCCAAATGAAGATGTGTTTGTGAAACACTGTTGCCCCATTATGGCAGCTTATTGCCGAGGTTTAAGACCAATGTTAAAGTTGTTTAGAGGTAGGTCAAAACTTCAAAACCGGCATGAGATAAAATAAGATACTTAAAAAAGTTTTTGTCACAAGGAAGGTATTTTTAAAATTCACAGCAATAGTTAAAAAATGAAATTTTTTTCAAATTATTTTTCAAATTAATTTCAAAATTATGTTGATTTCAAAGGTAAAATGGTCAAAATTATAATACCAAAGGAAAGGTATTGTCACAAAGAATATACTTGAAATAGGAAACCTAGTACCGACTATTAAAAAGTTATGACCAAGGTTAAAGTTTATAAAAGAAGGTCAGTCTACAATTTCAAGGTCAAAATTGGTTTTATCCACTGAATGTTTAGTCATTAAAGTATGTAACTAAAACATAAAAGCCCTAATACCAATTGTTTGAAGTTTATTGTGTTTCAAACTCAAATATCAAGGTCAAAATTGTTGGAAACAATGTGAAAGCCATAGAACCAATTGTTAAAAATCTATGGTCAAAGTTAAAAGTTTTACAACAGTAAGTTAAAGTCAAAGGTCAAGATAAAAAATTATTGATATATGTTTATGAAGAGATCCTGTTACAATACATATATCTATGACAACCCTAAAACCAATCAACCAAAAGTTATGACCAAGATTAAAGTTTTACAAAGTAGGCCAAACTAAAGGTTAAAGTCCAAGGGTCAAAGAAGATCAGATATACCCAGTGAAAGCACTTTTCTCAAGCATTGTACCAGTAGAATATGAAAATCCTAGCGACAACCAGTCAATTTCTTTGTCCCCATCCGCGCAATGCCAGCGGTTCTAAGTCAACACGTTAAATTTGGTCCCCCTTTAAACGTCATGTACGTTCCGCGGTGGGATTCGAACAAGCGACGTAAGGATCAAACACTCTAACCACTGCGCCACGCGGGCGACCATCAACCAAGCAAAGGTTTAATTTTTTAAAAAGTAGATCAAAGTGAAAAGTAACGATCAAAGACTCAAAATTATTGGTGCACGAAAAGCTCTTGTCACAAGCAACATATACATGAAATAAGAAAGTCTAAGCATAAACTGTTCAAAGGTTATTACCAGGGTTAAAGGCTGGTAAAATTTTGCAAAACTTGGTCGCCCAAAGGGAAGCGTAGTCACAAGAATCAATCACATATGAAACATAAAGTCATAGTTCAAACCAAGCAAATTTATATGGAAGGAAAAAACATAAACTACTAATAGTATATGCCTCTGAATCTTCGCTTACGGGGCATAAAAATATTTTGCAAAATAAACATCCGAAGAGAAAATAAGTTCAGTATATTAGAAATGGTCTTCTAGCTTGAGGTGTCTGACAAATTAATTAATTGTTGTTGTTTTTTTTTTCCATATTTCTGCGTTTGTAGTTCTTTATTCAAGAGAAAACACTTTCCTCGTCGAATAAAAATTTTCTTCAAATACGACTTTCCTGATCTTTTTAAGAAGAATCTTTGCTTTCTTGGGGGGGATGGGCTTCAAGGTTGTTGTTTTAGACGTTACTTTTACGCAGAAGTTTATCAGAAGAAAATCACAGAGAGAGAGAGAGGGTGGGTGTTTCCGACCCCCCCCCCCCAAGTCAAAATTTAAAGCTTGATATAAAATTGGTGTTTTAATTTAAAACTTAAAGATTTAATAAACTGCAAAAATGTCCGATCATGAAATTTGTCATACAAGGTTCAAACATACTGTACAGGGGGGAAAAAACTCGCCAGTGTCACCAACAGACTGAACGAATAGAAAATTGTATCTTTGTTGGACAAAAGAAATCTAAGCTAAAATTTCATAAATTCTGAAAATATGAAAAGTGCAATAAAAAAGCGCGCGGTTACGGGAATAGTGCTAATGAATTGAAAATTTGAAATGTAATTATACCCCACAGTCACAATAAGTACAGTAAGTATCGTTGCAATTTCTTTTAGCTTCGAAACCGTTATAACCTCTGATACTTGCCTTGGTTTACAATTTAATTCTTTGTTGAAATATAATATTTGGTACAGAGATATTTATTTTTCTGACCTAAATGCATATCATTCAAAATTCCATTATATTCTGTAAAATCTCCAACTTCCTTGTCTAACATTAATTCAGCAGCTATGGAATGCAAATCATCGATCATGCCATCCATTTATTTTATCACAATGTGAATATTTTAAGGACTAAATAATCATTTGTTCTGCGAGATTTACAATGCACGTGATTGATCATTTCTGTTTCCAGGACCGATTTTCCTGGGAGAATTCTGTAATATTTTGTAACATTAAGAAAAAAATGTGCAAACTTTTATAAAGAACTTCATGTGCATGTGTAGAAAACATCAGAGAGCACTAAAAAGACTTGTTCTTTGTTTTTATTTTTAGGAATTTATTATTTATACCCTTCCTTTTCGATAATAGTCACAAAAATACTGGTATACCAATCCATGCGTCAAAATTTTGTGACATATGAGTTCTTATTCAAATATATATTTCATCTAAATATTTTTTTTATTGAGAGAACACTTCCGGAAATGTTCTCCTCATTGTAAAATACATGCATATGAAAAATGGACGTTTTTCACGTTAGTAAAACTTGAGATCTGAATTTAGGGCCTCTAAATATGTATACGAAAAGAAAAGTTTCCACCAGTATTCATTTGTGCTTCTTCGCTAGCCAAGGACTCTGATCCATTCCACTTCTTTGAGATGAATCGAACGGGTCGATAGCTTCGAAACGTCTGAATATTTATTGGGAAAAAAAGCTTCAACTCAAAAGATACATATTTGACAATCTTAACTCACTATATATGCTTCATCCATATTACATTTCAAATAGTGTCGTACACTAGTTATAAGTGATTCTTAGCTCCTCTGAACCAAAGGCTTAAAGAGCATATGCTTAGGCCATTTGTGCGGTGCGCGTTAACTTTATAGAATATGGGTCATAACCCAAGAACCCTTTGGCCAATTATTTTCAAGTTTGTCACAGGGTATCCTTGGCGCATGGACGACATTTATAGGCAGATTACCCCCAAACTTACATACAAGGATGAGAATATATGGAAAATTAAAAAAAAAGTTCAATGCATCACCACGGGGCAAAGGGCGTAGTCTCGGGTTACTTCAAAGTTGAAAAAAAAAATACATTTTACTATATTTTGCTTACTATATTACGGACTAGGATCATAAAATCTTGTAAGTTGATGCATCTTTAGACTTCATATAATGTTGACTCAAATGTAAGTCATGGTGACCTACTTTAAAAAAAAATGCGGGTATTTGTTTTCAAGTTGATTGGAGACACATTCTAGACACTTTTAAGACTTATGATCATTAAACTTTGTCAGCTGCTGCTTCTTAGCTCCTCAGACAATGTCAACTTAATAATAGGTCACCCTGATAAACTATCTTTTTAATTTTATGGCCCTTTTTTCAAAGCATTTAAGACCATTATTTCAGATATTGAAAAGTTTAGAATCATCAAACCTTGAAAGTTAATGTATCTTGGGGTCTTAAAACATATTTATCAAAAAGAGGGTCACATTGATATCCTTCTCGAATTTTACAGGCATGCGTTTTCAATTTGTTTCAGAGGCATATTTTGGACACTTTCAAACCTATGATCATAAAACTTTGTCTTAGTTGATGCATCTTGGGTTCTCGAAGAACAATAATTTATGGCTATATTTAAATATTACAAATACTTATGGGCTTTGAATCACCAAACTTTTGAAATTTTATATAGGAGCTGTGGCAAAAAGTAAGTCACCGAATTTTTTTTGAAACTCTCTATTTTTAAAAGTCATTGATACCCTAAACTGAAATCAGGTCAAAAATTGGTTGCATATGTTTTGTAGTTACCATGGCCCCCAACACTTTTGAATTTTGAAAAATGGTTTTTTAATATCATGTTAAATATCTCCATAATTAACATTTGCGGCAAATGTCATACAATTGGCAATGACTGAAATTTAATGGCAAAAGTTGAAGGTCAGATGTCTCAAATGCAAAACTGATAAACATGTTTCGTAAATCAGCTATTACAAACGTTACTATGGTAACCAATTATTCAAAATATATCAAAAAAATATTCATTGAATTTTATTTTTGTCATACACGTAAAAATAAAAAGCAATTATAGGATGAAATGTGACCAAATAATAGACAAAAGAGCCTTGAAACATCTCTACCAAGAACAAAATATGATATTTCAAAATGTAAATCATGAAGAACTTCTGGATTTCCAAGGTTTTTATACCACAGAGAGCCTTCAAAGTAACACTATGTATGTTTAAATCTAATCCTATCTTTTCAAAAAGCACATTTCCTCATCTCTAATGATTTATATTTTATATGAAGCAAAAGATTGGTGTGTTCCTAGTTTTATAGTTTACTGACACAAGAGTACTGTGAAAAAAATCAAGAAGTGGTGTGATTCTTAAAAAAATAGAGAACTACTGCAATTAATTTGAAATCACAAGATTTTACCAAAATATATGCTTAAAAACCGGCAAAATATACAACCATTCTTTAAAATCCTTTTTGATATCATACAGCTGCTTTTTCAAAAAAATGTAATTCCCAATTTACATTTATGGTCATTTGAAAATTATTTATTAACACACAAACTCTGACTTTTAAAAGATTTTGACTATGACAATATCTATGTGGTTTTTGGAAGTGGATTCAACAATCTATTGGCACATGTCCAGGGTTTAATATTGATAAAAACTTCACATATGACGCAGAATTTGTGCAAAATTTTCCACTTGCTTGGTAACCATATATCGAGCAATTAATTAACAATTGTTTTCTTTATCAAATATTTATCAATATATGATATTCAACTTCACCTGTTTCATACTTGGATATTTTACAAAAAGACGTTAATGGTAATCTAACAACCTGATGACTTTAATTTGTTTCTTGATTATATGGCAATTTAATTCTTAATGCATATGGAAAAAATATATCTCACTTTTAAGCAAGAGCTGCTCTCTTTGTTTCTAAAACGGTAACACTGACAAAGTTTATGCAATTATATCCCAATTTTTCTTATGCTTTTGGTGTTGCAAGACCTTGTCAGCAAAACAATTTATCATTAAGTCAAATGCTGACTGACGTTTTTTCATTGAATTTTCATGTTTTTCCTAAATTGACGTAGCCCGTTATTTCCCAATGACAAGTTACTGGTTTTGCATGGTTACACTGTGTTACCATGGCAACCATAAAAGTTATTTATACAATTTTGTATTGTTTTATACTTATATACTTAAGGTCAAACATTTTCATTGTTTTTACTTAAGTAGTTGATTTTTCAATTGCTGCAAACATATCAATATCAATCATTATCTGCATATATTTTGAATATGGAGTGTTTTTCAAATGCATATTTCAGCATTTTAAAATGTATTCCAAATGTACCCTTGGTTATGACTTACTTATGCAGATATATTTGCTAAAAGTTTCTTTCAGTATAATAATTTTAAGGTGTCATGTTTTTGTGAGAATGGTTTGTTTGCTATATCTAGGTTTTATTAAGCCACAGCAAAAGTTAACACAGTGCTTTAGAAAATCTCGATTTTTCAAACTATTACGCTGTTGCCATAGCAACTGAGACACATAGCAACTTTACAATTTTGTTTGATATTTGTTTCTGGTTTATAGCGTAACGCATGGGGGTTTTGCTAGTGCAAAAGCGTTGTATTTGTGTGATGATGTGTTGTGTGTTAACTAGTGTGACGGCGTGTTGTGTAAAGTTGTATTAGTTTGAAGGCGTGTTGTGTAAAGTTGATGTGTTGTGTGCAACAATGCGTTAGAAAAAAGCTGCAATGCATTATTAGCAACGCTAGCGCGTTGTTCCTAACGCGCTGTATCAATATGTTGTGTAAATCAGTTTCCCGTTTCAAATCAGAACTTCTTGCAACACGGTATTATATTAGTTTGTAAAAACAAAGTCATTTTACCATGACTAAAACGGAGTCAAGACAACCTTGTTTTGATGACTGTTCGAAATAAAAATACGTGACTGTATGTATTTAACCTGTGTTAACATATAATATACATGTACTTGATAATTTTCTCCCCTTATATTCGTTTGTTTCCTCAGTTCGTTTGCAATGTACCGCAATTTAAAAAGTCCCAAGAATTAGCAAGAAAGGAGTGATATTTTTGTTGTAAAACTGCATGCATGTCTCGTCAAAACTGATAGCCATAAAGGCCGGAAATTTCCAGGAAAGAGATTTTACGAGGAAATGTCTTGCTGGTTTTCATAAAGGCGGGCTCAACAAGGTTTATTACAGCAAAATATAGTCAGTCCTTTTCAAAATGAACTCTGATGAATATGAATTAACCTACCTTAATTAACTGCATCATAAATAAACAAAATGACATTTCACAGTCGGAAAAAACTTTTGAATTTCCAGGAAAACAAATTAATTATCATCTTGTGTCATTTTACAGGATTTAACATTATAGTTAAATTTTACATTAGGTTTCTGACCACTTATTAATCAAACGCCCTATCTCCTAGTCCAGTGCATCTAATTAATTCATATATATATGGGATGGACTTTTTATAAAAATCAAGGATTTAAAAAAAAGAAAACATTAAGGGAGTTCTTCTTTTATATAAATTTGTTTGAACTGTTCCGTCATTGATGATGTAAGGACTCTATAACCAATGATTATCAAGAAATCTTGGCCCTCGGGCCCCAGTAGTTGATTGATGGCCCCACTCCAATACCGTGATACTCTCTCGACCATCTCTCTACTGTACAACTCTTTATTACTACCTGGACTTAGCATTTGTGTTTTCTATGTGATATTAATGTGTGTTTAAAACATTCATCCACCTTTCAGAGAAACAGAGAGGTATGTTTGTGTTTTTTAAATTCATTTTAAACATATGGAAAATTGAATTGCAAATTAAGTGCTCGTTAAGGACATAAGAGCAATGCTCGTTAGTGGTATCAGGAGAAATGTCTATTGTTTTAACTTGATTTGCACCTTACATTAAATTAATTTTGGTAACAGTGCATTTCGTGAGGTAAGTTTGATGTAATTTGGTTATTTCTATTAAATGTATATATCATATTCGTGATTATTTATATCGTGTGGACATTAATTTTATTTATACACTTTACATCAGATGTAGCTAACATCATTCAAAATATTAAATTTGTTAATACATCTTAAGAATTGAATGATCATTATATTTGACAATTTTTCATTATTTCTTAAGTCAAGGTATATGTGTTATGAATGTATGATTACCCAATACACTTAGTATTCTTGTACTATAATAAATAGCTATGGTGTTAACCGAATTAAGGCCAGGATAATGAGATACTCTCTGTTTAACGATCTTAGATCTCGGATTTTTTATGCCCTGGTCACTCGTATCGGTCAGCTATCTGCCCCCAGGTTCCAGATTTGATGGACAATCAGAAATTTAGACCAAATGCATGTATATATATAATTTTCCGTTCATCTTTTTTTGTACGCGAGTTCCACGCAAAATGACCCCTCAATGCATTAGGTACGACAAAAAGAAAGAGCAAAGTTCGCACAATATTAAACAATTAATAAAAACAGTTGCTTGCTTTCTTACAATCAAAATTGATAGGGGAAGATAGCTAATTAAATTTAGATGAATTAGACATGGGTTGCTAATTGATTACAACCAGGTCACGCCTTTCTCTACTTGTCGCCACGTAGAAATGAAATTGATGATTCGTTTTAATGTCTTTCTCTCGTTTTGTGCAGGAAGCTTTTTGTTTCGTGTCCCCTAAACACTCCACATTTGTCAAATAAATGATTTAAGCCTGGCTGAAGGTTTACGTGTGATTCATTTAGGCACGTGTACATTTTTGACCGCTGGTCATTCATATTACGATTTTCCGTAATATAACATTACTTATCCATATTGACATGCCATTTTTGGTACATTATTGATTATTAGAAAATTAAAAAACATGGATATGTTCGTTTAAAATAACAGGTGAAATAGCCCTTAGGGACTGAATTGTTTGATATAAGTATTGTCCTAATTTGTAGTGATACCTGTAACTTACGTCCGGTGAATTCACCTTAATGGTCATATTAAGGTGAAGAAAATTCCTTTCTATAAACATCCATTACATTATCATTCCAACTCTAGGTCCGGTAATAAATTACAAGGATGTATGTTTTTTCATTCATGCGGCTAATTCTAATTGCTATTTTTGAGACATAATCACTCTTCATCATTCAAGTACTACATAATTAAACTTTGGAACCTTAGCAGATTTTCAAAAAAGTTTATACCTGCAGGTACAAGTAGGGACATAGATTTGGGACATGAATTGGTACTTGTTTGTACGGACAGGTCGTAAAGAGTCCTCTGTACCATTTATTGGACAGGTAGAGATGATTTATAACAATCCGTAGGATGGGACACTCTAGCTACAGTCCTACTTCTTACTGACTGCGGTTACCTTTAGCACGTGTACTGAAACAAGTACAACTATTCACGCGTATGATTTTTAACGTGTTCGATTGAATAAATATTTTTAGTAACATCTTTAAAATCATTAACAGCAATTTTGGTTTCAGTTTTTAGTCATTAATGTAGTCCGATCCTAAGGTTCTGTAAATCAGGCATGGAAAAATAGAAAATACTAGTAAAAATTTCTCTCTAAATTCTCTAAGTAATGTTTTTTTTCCCACGGCATTTCTTCAAACTTTATCTTTCAATTTATCACATTATATAGGGAAAATTAGAATACGCCTCTCCCCCCCCCCCCAAAAAAAATATCAGGAAATGCGAAAAAAAACACGAACTTTGCATTTTTTTTATTGAAATTTAATTGACAAAATAATAAAATTTAGGCACAAAAATTATAGGTATCCTGGCTTTTGAGGAAGATTGCATGATTTTTATAATTAACGGTACTCAAGTTAATTATGTTTTTCTTCAATGTTTTTCTTCCATCCATTTATAATCTGTAGTGTGTAAAACATTTCCTATCATTGCAAAATATCAAAAATTACTTTTTTATTTTATAGTAATACACATGTCATCGATATCTAAGTGTGGATTAAGGGAAATTCAGTTTCTTTATAAGACAGTTTCTGATAACTTCAAAGGACATTGATTTACATTGAGATGCTTAAAATGAATATTGTTGCATAAAAACATTCAATTTCAAGCTTCATTTTGAGATTTTTTGAATTAAATTATAAAATAAAGAGTTATCCTTCCTGGCTGAGGATCAGATATCCTTAATCAAAAATTGAGAGTTATCATATCTTGACTTTTGCATTGTCAAATACGTTTATATAAGTTTAAAGTTCGTACATGTATAATATTCAAATAAAGAAAACCTTTTTTATTTCAAAAAGTTATCTAATTCAAAATTTTGACTTGTGAACTCTCGTAGATTTATCACACATTATAAATATATCAAAAATCAAGGTACGCAAAAAGAAAGATTTCTAGAAAAGCGGTATTTGGAAATCAATTTGTAAGACAGCGTTTTGTGACTGACTAGGGGTTTTCCTTGGTGATGAATTCATAAAAATCTACAACGGATATACATCGACTCTATAAACAGATGAATGAAACATTGAATAAAAACAATGTAGTCAATATGCATCACTAGCTTTTAGTTCAGTTGAATTGGGGCATAAACTGCAATGTAAGCAAATGGTAATAAAGGAAGGCGTTTAAGAGATTCTAAAAGGATGTACTATTCATTATTTCGTATTTTAAAGATACATTTTCTGACTTTCTATTAACTGTTTTATATTTCCGAATCATGTCAATAAAACAAACTATGGAGAATATACATCCATAACGGTGAATAGGAAAATACCTGAGGACGAACGTCAAGACCTTAAGATAGCCGCGAACTGGCACTGCGGCCAGGCAGGGGGCGCAAAAACAATCACTTATAAAACATATAGGAGACGGGCAGGCAGGGGCGCAAAACAATCACTTAACCAAGCTTGCTAATGAAACACCTTAGTAAAAGCTAGGTATAGATGCAGAACTGACGATGGAGACAAATTCTAATAAAACAGTGCAAACGGAATTATGAAACAACAAATGTAAACAGTATATATGCAATGATTATGATTTTCTAAAATGTGATAACACAATCAATTTTCTAAGCTTACAAAACAATACAGAATTAAAAATGGTATAAATCCGCAATTGGAATAAATCTGATGAAAGATGGAGTCAATGGTATGACAGTCCTATAAGTTAATTCCTTCGGAAGAGAGGGTCTCTTGGCAAGCTAGTACAAATCTTGTACTGGCCCTTCGACTGTGCAGAGGCCGAGGGAATAGTAAATACTTTGTACGATATGACTATGTTGTTTAATTAATTAAATAAAATTCATTTTAACAGACTCATGAGTCATTCGGCGCCTTTCCATTAACCCATGCCGTTGATCTGACAGCTGTATGTGGTTTATATTTTAATTACGCTATACCTATGTAGAATGTTTAGAGAATCCATGATGTTTGCGTACTTTGAGCCTGCATGTGTAATGAAAGCATACACACACACACACTCATAAAGTTAAAAAAAGAAAACTATGAAATCTCTGACCAGCATATGATCACCAGGATCTTCTGTGAAGTAGGTCATGTAGGTACTCTAAATAAATCTCTTTAACAAGACTACTTGTAACCGTTGAAAGAGGAGAGGGATGTACAGCGATTGAGGAAAATAACAAAAACAATCAACGGAATTTTTGCAATAAGATAAAGTTTATGTAAGCAAGCCAATCATGTTTTCTAGCTTCAGTGTGTAACATTATGCAACCCGTCAGCAGTACAGTGACTAATTTCTACTAGTAATCTGGAATGACTTTCTCACTACTGTTAATATGTATTGATTTTTAGTCTCGTCTCCAGTACTGTTTCAGGGTTCTTTTTTCAGAGCCAGAGATGGGAGTAATACAGTACGTGATTCTGATCCTCACTGCCTCTGTTTGCCACACCTATGGATACAGTAGTGGGGCCCCTTCATTTACCTGCTCTAACATGATGCCCTCCCATGGCTCGTTTAGGTCAAAGACTAACCCAGAAAGATACTATCAAATCACCAGCAATACTAATTCTTATACACCAGGAGATACAGTGTCAGGTAAGCCACTATCAGATCACCAGTAGTACTAACTCCTATACACCTGGAGAATTAGTGTCAGGTAAGGTACTATCAGATCACCACTAGTACTAACTCCTATACACCTGGAGAATTAGTGTCAGGTAAGGTACTATCAGATCACCAGTAGTACTAACTCCTATACACCTGAAGAATGAGTGTCAGGTAAGCCACTATCAGATCACCAGCATTACTAACTCCTATACACCTGAAGAATTAGTGTCAGGTAAGGTACTATCAGATCACTAGAAGAATAGGTAAGCCACTATCAGATACCAGCAGTACTCCTATACACCTGGAGAATAAGTGACAGGTAAGGTACTATCAGATCACCAGCAGTACTAACTCCTATACACCTGGAGAATAAGTGACAGGTAAGGTACTATCAGAGCACCAGCAGTACTAACTCCTATACACCTGGAGAATAAGTGACAGGTAAGGTATTATCAGAGCACCAGCAGTACAAACTCGGAGAATTAGTGTCAGGTAAGGTACTATCAGATCACTAGTAGTACTAACTCCTATACACCTGGAGAATTAGTGTCATTGTAGACATGTTGATAATGGATTATTTTAACCCGTAGAAAAATTACCCCATTTTTACTCACTTGTCACATACCAGTGTAAATTGTACCTGATCATCCTGAATTAAAGTAACATTGCCAGGCATTCCTCACATTAATATATTTAATGCCATCTCTTCAGACTTCTGTGGGACTCACTGTATATCAATATAACACAGGATCCTGGGTCCTATACCCAGTCTTAGTTTTTACATTATGATTTATAAGTATCTGCTATTGTATCTCAGCAATCCTGGGTGAATTCTGAATTTGACAGGGATAGGCATTCTCTCTAAAAACAAATAAGAATCATTAACCCCCCAAAATGTATTTATAAAGGCCAACAGAACATAAAGCATGTGATTTGTGATTTATTTAATGATTTGTTTGTTTTCTTACAAAAAGGTATATCCAATTATCTAATCACAAACCATAGGAGATTCATTATATTATAATTTTCCCTCCTCCTTCCTGTTAGGTGTTTCATGCATGACACTGCAACTTCCATCATTAAAAGTAGTGCCTTATAGAATATTAGATTTGATTGATTGAATTTTTGGGGACTTTCATGTTTCCTGATGCATTATGTCTCATCGCAAAGCATTAGCATACAAATTGTGGAATGTGACAAAATTATCAAATGAGTGAAATCCATTGGATACTCTGAGAAAAGCCTGATTAATTTATATGAGATTTTATTATCTTTGTTTTTTTATGCCCTCTTAACAAAGATTTGGGAGTATACTGAGTTTTGTCCTGTCCTTCTGTCTGTCTGGCTCTTTGTCCCAAAACTTTTAATTGATTAAAGCTATGTCTGTCATATTTATGCCCCCCCCTTTCAAAGAAATGAGGACATATTGCTTTGCTGCTGTCTCAATCGGTCTGTCTGTTGGTCCACCATCAGTTTCCATTCATTTTCTTCACAGATGTTGCACATATTGAAATGAAATTTGGTACCGGGTATAGAGATTTATCATAGAAATATCAATAGAAGTCAAGATCTGTTTTGGGTATATGATTAGGCCATTTTAGACAGAGTTATGCCCCTTGGACTTTGAAAAATTTCATTTTTTTACAGTTAATTTCCATTCATTTTCTTTGTAGAGGTTGCACATATTGAAATGAAATTTGGTATACAGATGTATCTTATGAAAATCTTAATCAAATTCTATTTTGAGTACGATCGAAATTCCAATTATTTGAAAGAGTGGGGCATAAGCGTTTTACAAAAATCTCTTGTTTACATGTATATTCTTTGTGACAAAACCTTTCTTGTGGTACCAACATATTTGTCCTCTTGACCTTGGAATTTGATGCACTTTTGCAAAAAAAATAACCAAGCTTGGGAGTAACCTTTGAACAGTTAGTTCTAAGGCTTTCATGCTTCACAAGTGTATTTTATTTTATTATACTTTCATGTTAAATACTAAAATCTGATTGGTTTAGACGCAGTTAACAATCCGTCCTATTACCGTTCTATTACCCTCAGCCTTAGCAACACACGTGACAACGGGTAACACAACGGTAATGTCACATGCGTGGAAATTATGCGCGTACGGTTCACCATAGAATTCTCAAAACGTCAGTTGTGCGTTTGAAAGAACCGGAATAAACTTGACGTCAATGAAAGGTTGCGTCCGATGTAGCTTACTTGAAAATAACTAACGACAGACGAAACATGCTTGCGAGTGCAGAAATAACGAAACTTTAGATGATATAAAAGGACTCTTTTTTTTTTTTTTTTTTTTTTCTCGAGTTTTATATACATTTATTTCCAATATCATACAACATATTTTGAGGTAAAACTTCCTCAGAAGCCCTCGGTTAATACCTCACCTGGGGTGCCAGGAGCTCCCTGGATCGGTATATTTTTTTCAATTTTCAATTTAAAAAAGTTTACAATAGATAAAATAATATTTCATTTTCACAAAAAGACATAAATATTTCAGTAAAAAAAAATTTCATATTTAATAGATATATAGATAAAATATCAATTTAATTACAACGTATATAGAAAAATAAAGATTATAATTCGTCTGCTAACTTTTTCAAAAGATAGTAGTTAGATTTAACACTTTGCTATTACATAATACTGATATAAAGACGCTTTCAAAAAAAATAACATTGCATTTTGATTTACTATTTCGTTTTGCAACCTACATTTCATTTTATATTTATATATTTTGTATCCCACAATTGATATGACATTATTAAAAATCATTGTTGTGTTATTGAACTCATTATAAAATCCTACAACAATATGTTTCCAGGATAGATTTAAATTCAATACTTGAGATATTTTTTCCCATACTCCTTTTGAGTCCGTACATTCAAAAATTAAGTGTTTAATATATTCTACTTGTCTGCAAGATGTTCAATTTTTTGCCACTTCTTTATTCCATTTACTAACATGATAATTACAATTCAGTTGGTTGTGTAAAAGTTTAAAATTGAATTCTGCTATCTGTTTATCAAAAATATTTAATATCTTAGCTGTATAGATATCTTTCCATTGACCATTCATTATATTGAATTCTTTTGACCATTTAGCTTCCATTATTGGTTTTTGTTTCTTTTTAGAAAGTAAAATTTTATAATAAAATCCCGATTTTTCAAATTTTGGGTTTATACTTTTCCCTTGAAAATAAAAATACGGGTTTTGTATATTAGTGTTCTTTACAATACAATAATCTATATGTAGTTTTTTAATCGCTTTTTTCATGATAAGATATTCACACAAGTAATTACTCTTTGATTCAATGATCTCTTTTACTTCCATAACATTTTTCATACCTTCTGTTGTAAACATATCTTTTACATATAAAATACCACTTTTTGCCCAATTTTTTAAGTATAATGGTTTGTTATTTTGTGTAATGAAACTATTAAACCATAGGTTTTCTGTTATTTTATTTCGTGGTGATGTTAACATTTTACACTCGTTAAAACTACAGAAGATTTCTTTATAAAAATCTGGGAATTTATTTAATATATTGAAATCAGTCGGATTTTTTATATTATGCGTAGCAGATATTCAAAATTTATTCCATAAGATTTTAAAGCGTAATTTAGGAAAATTCTAAGTGAGGAATTTTTATTATACATGTATAGTCTTTTGATCCATCCCGCTTTTACGCTTTAAAGTTTGCATTCTATATCAATTAGACCAAGACCGCCTTCATTTACTGGTCTTATGAGTGAATTCCGCTTAATTCGCTCTCTCTTATTCCATAAAAAATTGTAAATAATTTTATTTAAATTCTTAATGTAGTCAACATCTGGATTTTCAAGAACTGTGAATGCATATACTAATTTAGATACTATTAGTGAATTAATAACGGTACATTTTCCGAAAAAAGTTAAACTTCTAGTTCTCCATGAATCTAATATTTTTTCAAATTCCTTAAGCTTGTTTAGCCAATTTCTTTCATTATTAGATACTTTGTCGTGTCCTAAGAAAATTCCTAATGATTTGATAGGTTTATTTGTCATTTTAATTCCTTCTACCTCTTCCCTTGTGTTTTTAAGCGGTCCTAAAGAATACCCTCTGTTTTTTCTAAATTTAACTTTGTAACCAGACATTTCCCCAAAAGATTTTATTACTTTAATAGATTCTTTTAAGGATTCTTGATTTTTCATTGGCAATGTGCAGTCATCTGCATGTTGTAAACATTTTATTTCACTTGATTGTCCGATTTTGAAACCTTGTATATTTTCAGAAGCATTTATTTTTAACACCAGGATTTCAATAACAAAAAGAAAAAGCAATGCTGAGACGGGACACCCTTGTCGAATGCCTCTTGACATTGTACATTTTCTAGTTAACCAGTTATTATTTTTAACATGAAAATAAGGATTAGTGTATAAAATTTTGATCCATCGAAGGAAATTCTCTCCAAAGTTGAACTTTTTAAGAGTTTGAATAACAAGAAAGTCCATTCAACTGAATCAAATGCCTTTTGAAAATCAGCAAACAATAATATTCCTTCCTCATTATTTTCTTCGCAATAATTGTATATATCCTGTATTAATCTTGCATTTTCACAAAAATTTGTTAATATACCCCGTTTGATTATCATTAATGAGTTTGTCCATAATAGTTTGTAGTCTCTTTGCAAATACGAAAACTAAAATCTTATAATCGCAATTTGTTCAACTAATAGGACGATAGTTATGGAGATTTATCAAGCTTCCTTTTTTGTGTATGAGTGATAAAACAGAAGATCTTTGTGAAGAAGATAATTCGCCTTTTTCAAAAGATCTCACTAGGCTTTCATATAAATAAAATTTTACATATTTCCAAAACGTTTTGTAAAATTCCACAATTTAATGGATCCTTTGATTTGTTTAATTTCATATTAAAACAGCTTCTGCACATTCTTCAATTGTTATAACTTTATCGCAATTTTCTCTATCTACATCAGATAGGTAATTAATAAGTTCGGTTTCTTGTAAACACGATCTTTCTACATCGTTATTGATACATTGCTAGACGAGTATAGTTTTTCGTAGTATGAACTAAGTGTACTTAAAATTTCTTCTGTTTCATATACACATTTATCTCCTACCGATAATTTATTTATGACATTATGTGATTGGTGTTTATTTTCTAGTCTTAAAAAATAGGAGGTGTTTTTTTCACCGTCATCGATCCAACGCGCTTTGGATCTCACCTTTGCTCCTTTTGATTTATATGTATATAAATTGTCTAATTCTTTTTCCAATTGCTTTTTATGTAGCATATTTATATCATTTGAATTAGACATTTCAATTTCTTCAATTTCCTTTTAATTACTTTAATACGATTGTTTATACTTTTGTTTTTCTTTTTTGAATATTCAATGCATAACTCTTTTATTTCATATTTAATCATTAAAATTTGTGGATCTGGTTGGTTATTAATATTTTCAGGCATATTTTCGAAAAAGGTTTTGATAATGTTACAAAATTCAACATCTTGTAAAATTGACGTATTCAATTTCAAAAACATTACCTCTTTCATTTTTTGAGAGGGTGCAGTAAAAAATAAAAGACCTATGGTCACTCATTCTGGTATTTGAAACATCTGGAGGTTTTCTAAGTAATATTTTTTCGACAGGATAACATAAATTCTTTAAAGTGAATATGTAATCAATTCTACTTTTAGGCTTATTATTTGAATCACACCATGTATTCCCTTCTTTTTCAGGATTAATTTTGTCCCATATGTCAATCAATCGAAATTTAAATTTTAAATCATTAATTATTTTTGAACATTTATTCTTTGCACTGTGTACTGAATTAAAATCCCCATCTAATATAATGTTTTGTTCATTTAAACAATATTGAGAAACCCATGAAGCAAGTTTTTTGAAAAATTTACATCTTTCATTTTCTGAATTTGGCGCATATATATTTACTAAAGTTATAATGTTCTGTTCATACTCAATATTAATTAAAATTCTCCTTCCATCATCTGATTTGTGTATGTTATGAACAATAATTGGTAAACTTTTATGAAATAATACAGATACCCCTCTACTATGGGAAGAGTTGGAAAAACAATGATAGCTTGAACCTTGCCATCTAGCATTGTAAATATTTTCTCTTTCAGTTATATAAAGTTTCTTGTAGAAAAACAATTTTGCAATTAGTATCATTAAGCCAATCATATAAAGTGTGTCTTTTAGAATAATCGTTCAGCCCTCGGGCATTTAACGACAACAGCTTTAACGATGACATAAATATAAGAGTTCTTTGTGTTCATACATCTTAACTTAAAAACAGTTACCATTAACGTTTCCGCTGATCTTTTTTCCTGCTTTTTCGAAGATTTTCAGCGGCGCAACCAATTATCCCCCCCCATCATGTTTTTCCCTGGCCAGGCCGTTGGTGATGTTTTGATTGTTTCTTCATAAGACAGGCCAGTTCCCCAGTATAGATCATAAACTGGGTGTCCAAAGAACACAGACGGCTTAAAGGACTCTTAGAGTATCAAATAAACAATAAAGAGTCAGTAAATCTTTTTCGAAGTAGCGTGGAGTTTGAAAGCTTTCTAAACGTGAACGTAAAGACAATCGACGATTTTTTTTCCCTGACATCCTAAATCAAGAAGACATTCAGTATAATAAAATAAATAGTGCCTGTTTTGGAGGGTAACAGTTGAAATTGACAAAAAACCGTTGTCAACCTCCGCTGACGCGTCGGTTGACAATGGTTTTCCTTGGGGTGTCAGTTTCAACTGTTACCCTCCAAAACAGGCACCATTTATATAGTGGCGAGACCTTCCCTTTGATATTAATATTTCTGAGCTTTTATTCCTGACCTTATATTTTTATCCACTTATAAAAACTTAATCCTTGGCCATAATTTTTTAACAGTAAGTATTAGGGCTTTCATATTTCAAGGTGCATTAATTGTGATAAGATCTACAATGTATGTTAGAATACCAATAACTTTGACCTTTTGACCTTTAATTTGAAGTTTGACCTACTTTTAAAAAAACCCTCTAACCCTGGCCTTACCTTTTGAATCGTTAGTGCTATGGCTTTCATTTTTTTTTTTTAGCTATAAAGGTTTTTCCTGGGGTACCATTAATTTTGACCCTCTGACCTTGAGCTTAGAGTTTGATCATTTTTTGAAAATTAACATTGGTCATACTTTTGAAGAGCTGGTGATAGGACTTTTGAACGGTTGGTGCTTGGGCTTTCATATTTCACAATTACATTTATTGAAACGAGTCCTTTTCTTGTGCCACAACACATTTAGCTTATTGATCTTAGAGTTTGACTTGCATTTGAGAAACTTTAACTTTCACCTTAAGCTGCCATTTAGGGGGCATCTGTTTTTTACAAATATATCTTGTTTCATATACAGATAACGGACAATTTAATTGGAACATTTGACACAAACAATTACTTTTTTGGAATATATGTGTAGTGCTAATAGTTTTTAAAAAATTGTTTTAGAATTTGTACTTATTTTATCAACCAATAAGATTGGCATAATACCGGTAGTCAAAAGTTAAAGTAAGTGTTAATTTTTATAAGTTGTGTCAAGAGAATGGCCAAGCTGTTTCAGTTTTCTTAAAAGGACAATTACTATGTTAAAAGAAATGACACTGTGATTTAATGGCTAATTTCATACAATGTTTTGATTTATAGTTGAATGTTTCTTTCCAGTGACCATTACAGCCCTGAATGGAGAGCAGTTTAAGGGGTACCTGTTACGAGCTGAATAATATAACTATCAAATACCTATTATATAGTTTACTTTTGATAGCCCCCCCCAGGAGGGGACAGGAAATCCTGTGGGGACCTTCAGTATCACTAATGGGGGGAAAGTTACGTGTGGCCCAGCGGTAAGGCTGACTCTGTTAACCATCATTAACACAAAATACAGCTGGGACATAATAACTAAGGCACTCATTTTTTCAATCTGAAAAGTAAAATTTTCTGTTGATCAATAAATTTTTGTGACCCTGTGAGACTATATACAAGACTAAAACAAGAAGTCTGTGAGCCAATGCTCACTAGTAATACCCTTGCTCTGATGTGAATATACATGTCATATTTATATACACAAGTTCAGTGATGGGCAAATGCACAGAAATTCTAAGGAAGTTGACATCAGATTCATATAAAAATAAATCCCACCACATAGCAAGCCTCAACAAAGTATGTGCTAAAATTTCAAGCATCTGTAATGAGTAGTTATACTGAGAAAACTGCAACAAAAAGTATTGTTATGTATGGTACAGATGGATGCATGGATAAACTGGAAGAAGGCATCAAAAGTAAACAAAAATGACATCAGAAGTAAACAAAAATATATCCCACATGGCATGCCTTAACAAATAGTGTACTAAAATTTCAAGCATCTGTGATGAGTAGTTGCTGAGAAAACTAAGACGAAAATTGTTATGTATGAAACTGATAGACTCATGGATATTAAACAGGAAGTTGACATTGGATTTTAACAAAAATGAATCCCATCATATGGCATGCCTGGTTAGAGAAGATCATGTTAAAATTTTTAGCATCTGTGATGAGTAGTTGCTGAGAAAATTACGACAAAAATTTCTTATGTATGAAACAGACAGACTCATGGATCAACAGGAAGTTGACATTGAATTTGAACAAAAATGAATCCCACCATATTGCTGGCCTCAAAAAAGATTATCTCATAATTTAAAGCTTCTGTAATGAATAGTTGCTGAGAAAACTGCGACAAAAATTTGTTACGGAGAGACACGCAGACGGACAGACACATAAGGGTGAAACAGTATACCCCCTCTCCTTCGGAGCAGAGGTATACATATTCTGAGACTCGAAGTTTGGTTACCAAATAATCAAAGGCCTGAAGGGCCTGCGAGTTGACTCGCTCGAGTCAATTGTTTTTTCACATCAAATACCTTAATAATATTCAGTTTATTTTGCATCTTAAGAGATTGAATATTATATGTCTGATCCATGTTCGGTTCATAAATAAAGTGTATATTGCTTTTCCTTTATATATATACAGGTTGGCACTAATGGGCTTCCGTATTATTTTGACTGGATTCTATAATGAATTTCAGCACATTAGCTGAAGTGGTCAGTGTTATGGAATAATTGGGTTAAAGATTAAACAGCAAATCTGGATTCTAAAAATAGATTTTCAACAACAACTAGCTGCAGCTAATGAGAGCAGCAGGTGTTTGTGTTAATAAGTATTCTAGGACAATTATAAATAAACTATCAAAGATGGAAAGAATTTTTGATCCGCCTAACATGCTTGAACATATATTGCAGGTTTGTGACAAAAAATGGTTGTCTCATACGCAGTAATTGTACATCATACAGATATTTAATTTCTTTAAAAGCATGAAGGCATAAATAATGTTACAGTAGGAAGTTTATACAGTTTTTACCTTTTATAAATTTTATTATTTTATACAAGTTTATACAATATCACTCAAATCAAAGCATTTTTTGCTAGAACTATAATATTTGGCGTATGGATCACCTTGATGAATGCGTGATAAATTTTACAGCTCTGAAACGGCTATGTCGACAGGGAGTAGCTCGCTACGCGAGCCAACTCAAAAATGAGAATAATTTTTTTGCAAACAAACTGGCTCCCATAACTATGTGAATTTTCAAGGAAATTAAAATTTCTGCTCTTTAAGAAATATATGCTACATATGAAGAAATGATCTATGCCACAATCAAATGAAATGAAAATAAAAACATTTCTCCAGGTTTATAACTGTTAATAGATTAAGCTCTTTGATTTGACAGAATGAAGTTTTTTCTCATGAACTCTATCCATTCTTTGCCTGGCGTCGTGTATTCCCTGGTGTAGGTTGAGGACTGGGCTTGGCACACGTTCATGTGTGACATGTTTATTGTTGTTCTGTCAGCCTGTCAAAGTCCTGCCATTGGCAGGGATAAAGTAACATTACTTTACCATGCTGTTCTACCTCCAAACGCTGAGGAAATTGGTAAACAACCCTGACCGTGATTCTGTCTCCTGTCTCTCTCTGACAATTTAAAGACAGTTTCTGCATTTCACACGACAGGATTAAGGAAATTTCTCATTACCCTTAAATAGGTCAATGCTCTGTAGAACTTGTTAGGAAAAGTAACCCAAACTGGAGAAATATTCATTGACAAAGCAAAAGAGTCCACATAGCTTATTGAACCCTTATTTATTACATGTAGTTTCTTTTTTTAAAAAGAAACCTCTGATGTGTTTACACAAAAAAAATATTTTATATAGCATGTGTCTTATACTGTAAAAGTATTTCAATTGCAGCAATGCTGCAATTTAACTGTATTTGTAAATTTTATGCATTCAAAAAAATAACCTTGGGTTATCCACTCACTAATTTTGGCCTTAACTGAATTCAAAAAACATAAACTGTGCCGATGGTTTAGAAAAAAAAAACCGTACTGCTAAGAAGAAATCTTGATACCAACTTTGCTTTATAAAATATAAATACAAGAGAGCATTAAAGTAACAAGGAAATTACCTATTCCATATATTTTTGTATTGTAGTTCAATGAAGCAGTGACTCACACCACGGGAGCTCCCAAGACAACAGAAACATTTACATGGACGGCACCAGCTAACAACAGAGGAAACATTGTCTTTGTGTATGTCAGAATCCTTGTAAAAGATATCCTTTACTCTTAAGAATACATTAAAACGTAGAATGTAAAGTTTACCATAAAACTCCATTTAATGACAAAGGGAAGCCTAATTTACCTTGTTTAATTTTTTTTATATGTGTAAGTAATGAGAAAGACAGGCAAATGTGAGACAAATTTTAATATGTGTCAGTATACTAGTAGGTAATAATTCTATTCAGAAAATAATGCAAAATTACAACAAAAAAACTCAAACCATGAAACATTCATAAATCCTTCACTCAATAAATATCAGGACAACTTTAGAAGGAATTACAATATACAAAGATGAAAAATCAATTTTTGATAATGTCTAAAAATATTTCAATTCAAATTTTAGAAATTTATTCCTCTCATGAAAAATCCTGTTTCCTGCTTATAATGTATACCATGTCAATGATGACCAAAATTCTATGTAACCAATAGGGCCACCATTGTAAAGTCTTATACAGACTTTTGGACAGATCTTCGCTCCAGCCCTCTAAGTGTAGATGTCACTACTCAAGAGACCACCACCGCTCAGGAAACCACTAAAGTGTCTGCCACCACCAAGCTGTTTACCGCCACGACAGTTTCTGAGGTCACTGACAAGGTATGAATTGTACCATCTTATTCCTGTTCCAAACCAGTGACAAGATATTTTAACAAGATTGACTTCCTAACACTTTCTAGTCCACCTTAGTCATGTGTCCCACTGCTACCTATTTCACCCTGTTTTGTTTGACCTTAAGATTTTCGGTATTTTCACTGAGACCATTTAAAAAATTGGTGGCATTTCAATATGAATGAAAAATTCTCAGAATGAGATACCTAAACAATCATTCTAAAGACTGGAGTATGTTCTATGCAAACAGAAGTCTTTTTGTGTCAAGGTCTTTTGGACAATGTCAGGGCAATCACTATAATCAGAAGGAATTAATAAATAACATTTCTGCCTGGGGTTAAAGCATGAAATGGAGTATTTTTGGAACACAATATATGGCCAAAGACATTTTGTCAAAGTCATACTATAGTCAAAAGAGATTTTTTCAAGTCATACAATATATAACAAAAGACATTTTGTCAAGGTCATTGGAAGAGGCTGTCAATTTCAAATGGAAAAACATAAGAAAGCCACACTTGTGTTTGGAATATGTCAAGACAAAGTAATTGTATGATACTCCACTGACCCGTGCGTCTGTTTTTTCCCTGTTTTCCATGTGTTGATGTATGTGAAGAAAAACGTTTAGTTTTGTACCCTTATTAAAAGAGAGTTAATTCTCTAATATATGTTATTTCTAATCCTGTTTTATAAATAATTCCCCATAGCTAATTTGTATTGTTTAAAATCTTTAAATGTCTGTGTGTAAGTGTTGTTTAATGCCTCTGTCTTATATGAGTACTAACAAACCCACCTACCTGTAGAGTACAGAGGCTGTAGAACCTACAACAAACTCACCTGTAAGCTCTACAAGGTCATCTACCACAACAAAATCACCCACAACAACAGAAACAACACAGGTACAACATGCTATAACGTAGACCAGATGCTATAACATAGATAGCAGCTTTAATAGCTATAACATACTAGAGAACATGCTAATAACACAGTCAACCATTGCTATAACATAGCCACACATCAATGTGCATACTTACTTGTAGAGTAGTTTCACTTGAAAAATTCACCATTCTGAATTATATTACACATACTTTGATTTGGAAGAAATAAACAGATGTTTTTCTGATGTGTAATTAGAAAACCTGCATTATCATGTACATTCTTTAGTAAAATGAACATGAAGGTTATTGAATAGAAGGAGCTAGGTTTTCTTTATATGTGAATGACTCTATCTGTAGACCACTGAATTCATGGAATGTCACTGTCTACTTATAAACATTTAATTAATTAAAGTAGACACCAAACAGTTTAAGGCTGACTGAAATCTATTCTACATTTAATATCCCCTAAAAACTACAAAGAATGGAGAAAAATATAAAACAAACAATAATTTCAAACAAAGAGTTTCATTTACATGAAACAAAAAAATTACAAATATTTGTGCTTTATTTTCATCCCATTTTATTTTGTTTAATTAACATGTTCATTAGAACTTTCTTTTTAAGTTTCAAGATTTCCTCACGGACAAATAAGGCCCTTATCAAACCTTGCTCTTTCTTAAATTAGAGTAGTAGTGAGTACTGTAGTAAGTAGTGCTGGTAGTGGTAGTAGTGCATAATAGTGGTAGTACATGTAGTAGTAGAATTAGAATTACTTCCTGTAGATTTATTTACTTCAATGTAATGCGTTGGAATTGTTTTGAGTAACTGTACACACCTTGTGTTTGGTGAGGCGCGGATAAGTATGATTACTTCACACTGTGCTGAATAATTACCAATCAATTATCATGTTAACCAAACTGATCTTTTTTTGTTATTTCATTCAAGGAGTAACTGTTGGCCACAAATTAACTGTTGTATATAGGCCCAAAACTTTCAAAACAAAATTGATTGCAATTGCGCAGAAAAAAGACACATCTTTAAGTGTGATTTTTTCATGAATTGTTTTCGATGAGTTTTAAGTTGAAAATTATAGCGTACTACTGCATCCAAGAGTGATTTTCTGCACATCTCAAGAAATATTGTCAATTTGAGAAAGATGATTGATTTAGTAGTTAAATAAAGCTAGAAAAAAAATGGAAAAGGAAAAACACAGAAAGAATGATTTTACAAAACAGAAAGAAAGTTTCAGCACTGAACAGTTACCTCCACATCATACTACAGTTAGACAGTTAGAAGTAATGCTGGTCTCTCTTTATTTTCCAGGCTCCAGTGTCGGGGGCCCTGACGATGGATGCCAGATGTGGGGACACCCGCGGATGTTTCGTCAACTGTCAAGGAGGAGTTTGTCAGTACGTCGCCTCGTGGCACCATCACCCTGACTACGTCGACTTCACCATCGAACGAATGGTTCAGGGGGGAGGTCAAAAATGGGTGGCTATAGGATTCTCCCAGGACAAGAAAATGGTAAGTTACTTATTACCAAATTGCATTATTTTCTTTATATATACTTTATATTTTCTTTATACATATATATTCTTTATATATTAATTTGCAACTTCCTGCATCAAAAACATTAAGAGTTAGTGAAATCTTTTTTTGCATTTTTAATTATTTTTTAATGAGCTTTGTATATGTTTCATTATTTTTTCTGCAGGGTGAAGATGAAGTTTTACACTGTATAAGTGATAATGCTGGTCATGTGTCTGTGGGAAGGTCATTTAACCTGGAGACCAGCAATCAGCCAATCAGTAAAGTAAGTACTCCTATAGAGACCAGCAATCAGCCAATCAGTAAAGTAAGTACTCCTATAGAGACCAGCAATCAGCCAATCAGTAAAGTAAGTACTCCTATAGAGACCAGCAATCAGCCAATCAGTAAAGTAACTACTCCTATAGAGACCAGCAATCAGCCAATCAGTAAAGTAAGTACTCCTATAGAGACCAGCAATCAGCCAGTCAGTAAAGTAACTACTCCTATAGAGACCAGCAATCAGCCAATCAGTAAAGTAAGTACTCCTATAGAGACCAGCAATCAGCCAATCAGTAAAGTAAGTACTCCTATAGAGACCAGCAATCAGCCAGTCAGTAAAGTAAGTACTCCTATAGAGACCAGCAATCAGCCAATCAGTAAAGTAAGTACTCCTATAGAGATTAGCAATCAGCCAGTCAGTAAAGTAAGTACTCCTATAGAGACCAGCAATCAGCCAGTCAGTAAAGTAAGTACTCCTATAGAGACCAGCAATCAGCCAATCAGTAAAGTAAGTACTCATATAGAGACCAGCAATCAGCCAATCAGTAAAGTAAGTACTCCTATAGAGACCAGCAATCAGCCAATCAGTAAAGTAAGTACTCCTATAGAGACCAGCAATCAGCCAATCAGTAAAGTAAGTACTCCTATAGAGACCAGCAATCAGCCAATCAGTAAAGTAAGTACTCCTATAGAGACCAACAATCAGCCAATCAGTAAAGTAAGTACTCCTATAGAGACCAGCAATCAGCCAGTCAGTAAAGTAACTACTCCTATAGAGACCAGCAATCAGCCAATCAGTAAAGTAACTACTCCTATAGAGACCAGCAATCAGCCAATCAGTAAAGTAAGTACTCCTATAGAGACCAGCAATCAGCCAATCAGTAAAGTAAGTAATCCTATAGAGACCAGCAATCAGCCAATCAGTAAAGTAAGTACTCCTATAGAGACCAGCAATCAGCCAATCAGTAAAGTAAGTACTCCTATCCTTGATGTAAGTACTGCTGGTGTCTTACAGAACTTCAAAATAATCTGTCATTATTTGAAAAATGGGGTAGCTTTAAAATAACATACTGGTATAATTTGATTTGCATATATTACAAAGATGACAACCCTAGGATAATGTCGACTTAACCAACTCACCAGGAGTGTGATATTTACTTACAGCCACATGATGGTATATCTCTAGCCACAGGATCGTACAGCGATGGAGTGTTCAAGTGTTCCTTCAGGTATTCCCAGGTACCTCACCAGAACAGCAGGAAGAGGAGACAGGCCACGCGACCGATGATAGATCTACGTCATCATCGTCACATCATGCTGGGGGATGGACAGGCATTCGGAGGTTAATTCACTGGCCTTCTTAATTTTCTTTGCTTCTAGTTTGAAGTGCTGCAAAGTCAAACAAATGATTTTTAAAAGTCAGGTTTTACAAATTCATTTCTAATTTCAGATATGCTAGGGATGCACACAGTGAACCCTGTAGTTACGCCTCATATAGTGGACATCAGATCCACACATATCATAGGGGATGTAGCTAGATATCCACTCGTCAAAGTTCACGGTATGTAAAAAAAAAAAATAAATAAAACATCATGTAGTCCATATGTTAATATGATTTTCAGCTATGTCTAAATTAACTCAATATTTATAAGGAGATGTTCTCCATGTAACTATCCAAATTATTGTATGTACTTTAATACAAATTTTCTTCACAAGAAATCTGTTTAATTCTGTTTCTTTGTTAAGGTTGCCTGATGATTCTAGCCTGGATCTTTTGTACCGGGGTGGGTCTAATTTTTGCTCGTTTCTACAAACCTGTCTGGTCTGATCGCACCATTCTTGGACTCAAAGTCTGGTTTCAGGTTAGTAATGTATATAATTTCTATCCAGTATTTGACTCTGTAGGTGATGGCTTAGATGGCATTAGCTGAGGGTGAGTCTTTATCTGTCATGTCTCTGTTTCAGTTCCATCGCGGTCTGATGGTAACTACTCTGGTCTTGACTCTCGTAGGATTCATCATCATATTCGTGGAAGCCAATGGTTACAGCAAAGTAAGTTGAAAATCAGTCGAGTTGTCGTCATTCTGTTAACAAATATGCTCATTAAGAATTTACAAATTTAAAAAAATAAAAAAGAAAACATATTTATGACTTAATTCTTTTCGTTTAGATATCTGCTCCAATTGGCAAGGCGTATTTACAGAGTCACCCGATACTTGGTATTATTGTCACTATCTTAGTAGTGGCCAATGTAAGTCAGTGTTAGAGAGATTGGAATACAGATAATTGTAATTTAAATTTACCAATTTCGTTGTCTTTATATAAATGCTGGCTATTTACTTTCAGCCCATTATGGCCTTGTTTCGTCCAGGCCCAAAAGACAAAAACCGTCCTATTTTTAACTGGGCCCATTTGGCAGTGGGCATGGCTGCTCATATACTAGCAGGTAGGAACCGTGTTGTCTTACAATAGCTATAGTCTCTGTAAAAAAGGAATTCAAAATTAAAGTATCATAAACAGTCAATGAAAAATTTAAGTCTTGAAAACCTGTATGCATACACATGTATCATTGGAGCATTTTTTTTTTTTTGCTTTTTTAAATTTTGCTTTCTATATGTATTTTTCAGTTATCAGTATTTGTTTTGGTGTTGAACTACAAAAGGTTGGGGCGCCTAAATACACCGTTTACGTGGTGGTAGGATATATTGTCTACCACATCCTAATGGAGATAACACTCAAATTATATGACTTATTCGCTGAAAGGCAAAACACAGGTATGAAGCCATTATTTTTAAGTATTGTATAATTGCTAAGTCACACCTGGCACCATCACAACTTTTCATTCTTCCATAAAAATATTTCTACCCTTAACAGCTAGAATAGAACAGATGGAGATGAAAAACGGAAATGGAACAACATTAAATGGAAGTGCCTTCAGACCAGAAGAACCAAAACGAGACCAAAAGGTTAGAATTTCAATCCTAAAACCAACCAATCAAAAGATCTGATTTCAAATGATAAAACCAATCAATCACAAAAGATTAGAATTAGAATAATAAACCAACCAATCAAAAGATTTGAATTAAATGATAAACCAAGTAATCAAAAGGTTAGAATTTAAATCATAAAACCAACTAATCTAGAGATTGGAATTTCAATTCTAAAACCAACCAATCAAATCTGTTCTGACAAATTTATTCAAAAGTTACCCAACTTATGCCAGAAGCCTATTCAAAAATTAGGTGTCTAGTAATTAATGAAACTGCCAAAATAAATAGAAAAGTTTAATACTGAGGGCACATTTGGCATTTATTCTATAGAAATTATGTGTACAAATCAATAGTAGTTTAAATGATGAAGTAGGGCAGATGATCTTATCAGCTGACCAAGGCTGGACAGACTTTGCCAAAGTGATGCTCAAACATATAGGAAAATGCTACTCTCAGTTGAAGTACCATGTCAAAAATTGTCATATTTAGGCCATCTTTAAAATTATGTTTCTTTGATCTCTCCCAACTCGTGGTAAAACAATTGGAGCAGTAGGTAAGTGACAAAATTTTTTCAGAAAAATTCTACATATTACACAAAACTCAAGATTAATTCAATTCTTCTTCTTCTGCAGGACAGCACCATTAAGAAGATTCTCCTTGTTTTCCATGTTGCCATAGTGTTTGCTTTCACACTGACCTTGTTGCTATTAGTAACCCAGTACTGATGATGTGGTGAGAAAGCTGAAAAATTTCACATTTTGGATTTAGTCAGTTAACATATGGGGAACAAATTCTGACATCAGCTACATCCTGTGCTGAAGTCACTTAACCCAGGGCTACCCCATTGTGTAAATTTTTAAGATGTACTTTGTGCCAATTACCGATGATATATTGAAAATTTATGTATACCTATGTTCTGCTACTTTGGCATTTTACAAATGACAAATATGCATTGTTTTATGTATATCTCTTCAAAATGAAGCTTACAGTATTTGATATACATACCAAATCAGTGCTGATTGTTCAGCACGGAGGTTTTGTTTGACTGTTATGACCTCAGCATACGAGTGGGTGGCTCCTTGGACTTCTACATGTAACTTTTTCCTAGTCATCACCCTTGAGATGTTTAAAAGGACATCACCCTGAGATGTTTACAGGGCCATCACCTTTGAGATGTTTACAAGGACATCACCCTTGAGATGTTTACAAGGACATCACCCTTGAGATGTTTACAAGGCCATCACCCTTGAGATGTTTACAGGGTTATAACCCTTATGATGTTTTTAGTGATAACACCCTTGAGTTGTTTACAAGGACGTCACCCTTATGATGTTTACAGGGTTACCCCCTTAAATGGACATTGTCTTTAAGTATTGTTAATGATGTATCTGTCTACAGTGCTTGGTGAAACTCCTGCTAAATGCCTTACTGTATTAAGTTATGTATGTACCTTTATGATCATAAAAGTACTGGGAAATCATTTCAATTTGTGGGGGTCAATTTTCATGGTCAAGCAAATCTTTACCTGTTTGCAGGGACGAAATTTTATCGGTTACTTATTTTTACAGTAGATTCGATGAATCAATTTATGTTTTCAAAATAAATGTTTGTGGGTGACCCATGAACATTGGAACCCCATGACCAATGATGATTCCACAGTACTTGGTACAATTAAGTATCAGGGACAAGTCAGCACTATGATTCTCAACACGACACAAAGCTAGGGATTGTGGGCTTTATTGTGATAATATTAAAACAGTTGATGTGGTATGTAAGTTGCCCTGAACTGAGACCATTCTTTGTTTTTAATGTAAGATTTTCATGTCAGCAGTGACGAAGACGACTGCCATCTGTGTTCACTTGTATACTGAAAGGAAAAAGAAACGCAGGGTAAACTTTTGAGGTGAATTAAATTTGTTTTTCTTAAAATACTTTTTAGTTTTCCTATCCAACTTTTAAAATCATCTTTCAAAAAGATATAACCAAATTCTCATATGATTTTATCTAATAATTCATGAGTTATTGAAGCTCAAATGACGATACCCTCCAAAAGGGAAATCTCTCATTATCTTCAATGTCCATCTCGTGCATCTGTCAGAGTCTTATTTCTCCTTTGCATGGAATTTCATCAGAGTGTTTATCTTTCAAACCCTGGCTATATTTAGCATGGGTAACCACGCAAAAAAATAGGTCAAACGGCGCGCGCATGCGCCAGTGAGAGGAATACAACTGTAAGTTGACTGGCTCAAAAAACTAAATTGCGGAATTGTTTTCTTTCGAATTTCGTATGAATGTAATGATTATAATCGTGTACACTATTAATGGCTGTTTTTGTGGTTGTAAGGTGGCGATTTAAGAGTTGGCAGGACGAATAACCCTCTCGTAACATGGCTCTGATTCGCGTTAACGTCATCGTCACGGTTGATTGAAATCCACTCCAGACCCTCTCTGACAACGGCTAAAAAGTTTTATGGGAGAAAATTTACAAGAGACTGCTTAGTAAACCGTTGTTGCCTTTTTCATTAATTAGGCAATTCGAAAACAAGACCCCATTGAACTTCCGTAAACTGTGCCAAAATTGCAATAAATTCATAATGTCTCTTAATATTGAAAAACGATGTGCATACATCATATGCATCAAATAATGAAACAAGATTTGTGGACAAACACGTCGTTATCAAATTGCACGTGTTTTGGGCTTTATAGCGTTTTCTCTACGTGACGTCATAAATTTTACGGCTGAGTAATTCTGAATACTGATTTTGATGCACAGTAACTAAATTTCCCATCTGACCAATTTTCGTAATTTTCGGTCATGTGGTCAAATTTTTATCGACAATTATGCTACCCTGCGTTTCTTTTTCCTTTCAGTATATATTTATTTGTTCCACACTTACTTGCTTACATTTATTGCATCTTCATTTAAAACTTCTCCATTTTTAAGATCTTTTTGTTATTTTTCACTTGAATTTCATCAATATTTTATTAACTTTTATACTACTGTATAAATATCAACAGTTGTTTTCTATTTATTCTTTGTTGTTTATCATATGAACTTCATATTTAAATTTATAATAAATGCATGTACGTGTATATTATATTAAAAGAATTATTTATGTTTAAATTTAGTTTTAATTTAAATTTATTTTCACCAGAAAATTAAGTCTACTTAAACAGTCTCAGTGTTTGTTTAAAGCCAAAGTTAATGTGTTACACGTGTTCATCATCAGTGAGAACACTAAATCATTGTTATGTTTGTAAATAACTGAAATAAATGTGTCATTCACAAATACTGACTTCACTGAATTCTTGTTCACTACTTTTGAGCCACTCTGATTTTCAGATCCTTAAAATGAATTTATATAAAACAAGCACCAAAAAAAAAAAAAGAAATGTGGTGTTATATTCCTATACAGCATTCAAATTTCACAATAATTCTTAATGCAGATACATGTACGAGGGCAGTTCAAAAATTACGCGGACTTGTTGCACAGAAAAAATATTTAACGACATAATCGAGCAAAATGTCACACATATAAAAAAGAATCTTTACTTATATGGTCTTCAAAATTTCACATCAAAATGTTTTATATTAGCATCAATTTTAAGTGATTTTTCAGGACATATCATTAAGTCACGGAGCAGCAAAATCTTCGACGTCACGGGCATTATAAAAAAATATGTGATTGAGCTTTCATTTTCTCAACATTTTCCCAAGAGTACCTGTACAGTTTGAGTTGCCTTATCTACTCAACATCCAAACACCATTTCTTGTCAAGGTTAAAATCTATTAGACAAGTAAATAATATTCTTTTTTGTTTTAAAACCAAAAATTGCTGGTATTTATGAGATAAAGTGTGTATTGGTGACTCTCAATCACGTTCTTTACAGTCCGGATAAAGTTTTTCGTCGATAATCTTCTTCCCGTCCTCCCGTATAGCCTTTTTACAGAGGTCTAACGGTCTAAAATTTCAATTTGCTATTTGTGTACGAATTTCACGAATACCCTAGTTTACTACATGTTATGTTATGCATATTTTGGATCTATGTTGGTCATATCTCGAGCATTACACATAATTTTACAAAAGTGTGTTGCGCCGTCAATTCAGGAGACGTCATTTTCACAGTCGTTTTCACGGGATCGCATCAGAGAAAAATCACTACATTTCTGTTAATACTTCAAATATCACGTCGAAAATCTAAATGCATAATAATAGAACAATTCAAAGATACATCTGAGGAAATTGTCGAAAAATATCGCGATTTATAGAAATTATAGAAAATTAATGAGTTAAATTTTGGATTCCGCATGCTTTTGCTTCAATTTTTTTGTCGTGCTCCGTACCTCTCCATCAGCGATATCAATATACCGATAATTTTAGTAGAATTTCTTTAAAATACAGAAATTTGGGCCAAAATTTATTGGAATCTTTAAGATACATATTTCTGTGAAATTTCATAACTATATGACGTCTTTAAGAGTGAATAATAGCACAGTCCGCATAATTTTTGAACGGCCCTCGTATATACATAATCTGATACAAAACTTCACTACAATGAAATAAGATGTCTGATAGGACACCCCACGCTTCATTCCTATCACCATACACCCAGATTCTGAGTCAATGTCCCATTCTCTCTCATTTTTAGGAACAGCAAATCATCATGCAGAATTTATATACTGTAACTATACAAAACTGTAAATCAAAATAAAAATCTGATCAGAGACTTAATTTTATTTACTTGCACGAGTCTTGATGAAATTTAAAGTCATAATTCTATCAATTGTTCTCACAAACTACTAATGTAGTTAAATGAAAATTTGAAAATATTCTAGTCTTCAGTATATTCTAGAGCACAAGAATAAATTAAACTGTCAGATCTAAATTTTGTGGATTGTAGCACAAAATAACACAACCAATTTATCACAGATAGTCAACACAACAGCAGGGGACGGAGCCGAAATGTCATCTTATAAATATAGTCACTCATGCCATGTCACATCGATTTACCGGTAAGTATTAATATTGATCGTAGCCTCCCCCTCCTCCAAACTGAGTCGTGTCGTAATCCTGCTCCTACAAGATAATGATTCATATTGGTTTCCAAATCAGTCTATACTTGACATATACTATAAATGTATATAAATTTGTCCACTCAACATTTAGAACAATCCTCCCTTTCAACTGATTAGTGTTAACTTGTGCATTTAAACCTTGACAATGACACATAATATTTTAAACCTAACATTGGCTTGTACATAAATAGCGGACATGAATGTGCTTGAAAGGTGCGGAAATATTATTTCCACTTGAATAAGACCATTTAAAGTTGACATCAAATAGGACTTCACATTGCACAGTCTTTAACATACTATTTACGAAAATAACTAGAAATTACCTGATTTAATTTCTTGAATTCCACAACCTGAGTGAAAATGTATTCTAACACATGTTTAGCATCTCTCGAGTCCTGTGGTAAATTAGAGGTAACCCCAAGGATGTCACCACATTCTCTGACGTAGTACTCCAAATCATCATCTGTACCTGAACACAAAATGTCAGAATCCATTTAGAAAAATCTATGCTTCAATCTACATGTAAATGTGCTTAGAAGAGACAAGCATTAAACTTGTTCAAGTCAGTTTTTAACTGCCTTGTGTCTTTACTACCAATGCAATATATCTGATAAATGCAATTTTATAACTCTGTGTTTAACGTTTTATTTTGGTTACTCTTACTTACACTTGTTTGTTTGCTGAGCGATCCTAACTTTTTCTGAAGAGAACTGCTCGTCAAGATCAAACAGGTCTAGTTTGGGAGGCTCCAATTCCCTAAACTGAGGGGGGAACACTGCTGGCTGTAGTGGGGGTAGGGGGGTTTCAAACTGAGGGGTTATTAGGGTGAGGGGTTCATGCTTCACATTCAGCTGTTCAAAGGCCCTAAGAGACAACAGAGCACAACGACTTCATTGATAACAAAAGATTTACAAAATACATTATCAGTAAATAAATTTTTAGCAATTTTTGCAATAGCTTTGGATCTATAAAAACATTTTTCTTAAAAATAAATCAAAAGATTTGTTTGTGTGGATTTTTTAATAATAGAGTAGAATGCTACTTGTTTGAATTTATTTATGAGCAATTTATATAGCATCCTGACCTTTAATTCACAAAATAAATGAATCTAAGATTTTCTAAATTTACAGTATTTCATCGCAAAGCCAGAACTTACTTGATGGCTTTAGGAACTAGACTTGTGTCCAGTTTAAATAAGGAGTTGTCAAACAGCATTGTGATGTCCCTCGGTACGTCGTCACTCTCCTGTAGACATGTCTTTAACTGTCCGGCTAACTTAGCAACATCCGGCAGCATGTTGTAGTCTGAGATCTGTAAAACAGGTCAACATACTCCTGAATATCCTACACAGTATAGTGTTTGGTGTTTGAATAAAATGTCACAGGTAAAAATATTTTCATATAATCATTTAAACAAACATGCTATAATAATAGAAGTAATCATTACAACTAACCTCGGGGTCCTCAGCATCAATAGGATTCAGTTTTATTTCATCTGAAGTCAAAGCTCGAATCAGAACATCCTGAAAACAACAAGGTGGTGATATAAACTCCCCTAAAAATCAAGCGATGTTTGGGATGTAATCAAATAAACTGTCATAGAACTCCTAGTCTCACCAGAACTTTGCTGTTCTCTTCTTTGTCTATGTATTGGTCACTAAACATATGGACAGACCCCAGCACTACCAATTTTCCACGGTTCTGAATTTAAGAGAAAAGAAAACTGTAATCATTTTGTATGAAAAGAGAAAAATGAAAAAAAAATCTTTAAAATGGTCACATATTGAGAAAATATAAAAGCAGATCCAAGAAATCAAGGTAGATACATCAACCTTGTGAATTTGGTCCAGATAGGCTTTCTAATAATTTGATATGGACATGCTTCATATCTTAACCCAGCTACTCATCCAGAAATTAAACCCAAAGCAAGAAGTATTCTTATACACATCAACCCCCCATGTTAGAACTGGGTAAGTTTTCCACATACTTAGAAATCTGGCGTCCGGATATCTGAAGGTCCACTGTACTTAGAAATAAGCTTGGGAGTTGAAAACATTGCTAAGTCTAAGGAACCAATACATCAGAACATACCCTGTTTTCATAGAGAGCACAGACTGGTCTGTTGAGAGGGAAGGATACAGAGCCAGTAGACAGGAGAGCTGTAGCAGGCTTCATCACATTCAGGGTGGCTCCGTAGGGGTACAGGAAAGACAGGGCCCTGTAAATACACACATAACAGTACCAGGAGAAGATCTCATCACAGGTTACAATATCAGTAGATGATGTCATCTAGTAACAAAAGTAACAATATCTGTAGATGATCTCATCTCATAAAAATATCTCAAATTGAGGTTCTTCTATCAGTAACTTACTGAGCATTGTTCCCATCTTCATCCATAGAGAAGGTCTTCCCTGCAGCCTGGCTAACTGCCCTGTGTATCAGTAATCAGTACAGTATCAGTTATCAGTACAGTATCAGTTATCATACAAATATATATAAAAATGATAAATGATTATCTATTTTATAAGTTTCAAAAAGAAAATATTGACAAAATATTACTGTTGTTTTTAAATTATTTCATGCTTGATTCTGACCTGTTTAAAACACCATTAGCAATTAGTGCCTCTTTAGGGTGAAAATACTTGTAATATGAAGTCCTCACTACTGCATCTGTAAACAAAGAAATGATTTTAAAATAATACAAACTGAATCCCTGATATATGTAGGCACTGCAGAATACGTAATCATCTATTATGATGACAAGGTGATAAAACTTCCATACCATTGTTTACCATGATTCCATATTCCTCCAAAAGAAAATTAATGTTGGTTTCAAACCGTGTTTCTCCTCCTTCACCCAGGAGAACTAAGACACTCCCTCCCCCATCAATGTACCGCTTTATAGACTCCAACTGTAAGAAAGACAGAAGATGTAGTCAATGTATATGGTCTGAATTCAAATGCACCTATACGTATCATTAACAGTTCCACAATATATAAAGTTGTAAATGGTTACTTAATGTTTATTTGTAAACAAAATATTTTCAAATGTGCAAAATAATGGAACTCTATACTTGTACAATATATCTATTATTGCTTACGAAAATATTTAAGCATGTTGTTTACATAGAAAGACAAGGATTTTTGTTTTCTATAACAATGTATGAGTTTATATAAACATTCCTACCTCCGAGCCTGTGAATTTTTCTCTGCTACCACTTAAAACAAATATACTAGCTGATGATAATGTCTCTGAAGTTATCTCGGATTTGTTGCTGAAAAAAAGAATAAAATTGTTTTTATATGATGTAATAATCATGTGAATATAAAATTCTGCAACACCTAATCAAAGAATTAGTGCATGAGATGAAAGGAAAACAAACCTCTGAATCTTCCATGTTGAACGTAGCTTTCTGTTTAATGATTTCAATCCATTATTAGGAGAGAACACCTCACTTCTAGATTGATTGAATATAATGACATTTCTTTGAGCTTTTTCATCCATGCCCTAAATATAAATATACAAAATAATAATTACAGACTATTTGACAGCTACGTAAAAAACTAAATAATTATTCATGAATTTTAAGGACATTCAAAATTAAGAACCTTATCAAATTAAAGTTTAATCTTAAATTAAATTAAAGTTGAATATGTCAATCTGTTGGAAATGTTTACAAGAATCCATAAATGAATATATATATATATATATAAAATCAAATAAAGCAATATATCATATTTTTAACATGCAGTGTAAACATAAAAGAAAAGAATACAATTCATTAATCATTGTTCATTGAACTCCACTCACATATAAATAAGGTGAATTTAATCTAATTAAAGGTTAAATTTTAAAAAATAACATAGTTTATGTACTACTGAATGAAAAGCCTTTGTAATCTTTCTTAGCAATTGCTCGGATTAAAATCATTAAAATTTTATGACATACATGCATCGTGTATATGAATGTGCAATATATGTAGTTTTTCTCAATGTGTAAATTTTTAAAAACTCGGCTAAACTTATTTGTAGGTTATTACTCTCTACAACAATTCATTATCTGTATTGAGAAGAAATACACCTTGCATGACAACAGATTTACATATCAAATTATTCGTATTTAAAAAGAATCTTTGAAACCATTTCATTCTAGAGGAATTAATCGAATAATGTTAAAGAGGAATTAGGACATTATTTCACAAAATAAAATGAATCTAGTGGGAAAATCTAATCATAAATCATGAAAAAAGCCCCAGTACCTCTGTTGTCGGCGCCATATCAAAACTATTTGCGCTAGGGATCATGGGTAATGGTGTCGTCATTTTCTTATCAAGCTAATTTTGACCCGAATACCAATATAGACTGGTATTGCCTGTCTTTACCATACGCAGGAAAAGACAGGTGATCACCGCCATTAAAGCCAGGGATTCCTGGCTTGAGTGACGCGCCATCTATCGCCGCTGTTCTACGATACAGCATGGGAAATAATCACACAATAAAGCGATCTGCCGACTCAGTGGGTGAGCTTTAAACCGATTTATGTTTCCTGCGGTAATTAAATATGTCAATTCTAATAAACAAAACTAGTTTGCAGAGTTGTTGCAGTTCTATTTTATCCAATTAATGTATGTCATGTAATGTGATAGGGGCTTGCTGATCTGTTTTACATGTATCACGCCTGAAAATTTAGAATAATTCAGCGAAGTGAAATGTCTTGTACATAGGTCTAGTATGAAATGTTTAACACTCCTGTGAAACAAAAATCTGAAAAAAAGGAATATTTGTATTGTATGTGGAAATATTAGTGATCGTGTTAGATTAATTGAATCCAAAGCAAATACAGATATTTGTCTAAAAGAACTGTATGGCGGTATAAGTGTTGAAAGCGGAATACTTTGTAGAAATTGTTTTAAAAAATAAATTAAATTGGACAAAAAATGTCGAGAGTTCTTTGATTTGTGTCAGAAAAACTATGTGGCTGTGTATACTAGAGGAAAGAGGGTATAGCCTCTTCTCCTGCAAATGAAACAAGAAAAAGGAGCGATAGAAAAGACACTCCTAATTTTGCGGATTGTTCCTCTATGATGGAATTCAGTGGTGAAACAATTATAATCTTTGTATCAAATATTTTGGGCAGCACCTCGTAAATCAAACTTTTTCCGTAGCCCGTCGGTAAAACAACCACGGTATCGTTATTCAAAGCACTTTAATACTTCTTCCTTGCAAAGGCTTAAGAAAATTTAATGTTGAATATCTTTCACAATTTATTTCTGCCGATGCAATTTTCGTACGCAAAGAAAACTCGAAGTAACGATAATCATCCATGAATATAGCACTCCATGATCTGTTTTGGTTTCCCCGAGGTATTTAAATTCTACGTCAGCCAGAGTTTTTATCAGCCAATGAGCGCGACCGGTAGAGGGCTCTTTACACTACTGATCACCTGTCTGTATATCGGATATCAGACAGGCAGGCCAGTCTAATACCAATACCAACTAACGCTTCAATATTTAATTTAAAACATTTGTTTAAATTTTCTAACTCAAAAATTAACTATTGAAATAGCTTTTGAATATATATAATCATATATAATTAAAAGACATTCCTTTAAATCTCACTGTACAAAAAATTCTTATAGTGCGAAAAAGTGAAGGCACGATTCACCATTACACCGTCTGTGTTTCACGAGCCCGATTGATATTTACACACACATGAGCTACTTCATGATCAGAAGACAAGAAGTTGCAGTTAAAGGTATCACACCGGTAATTGTTTTCACTATATAATTCTATATAGAATAAAAAATCGTTAAAAATCAGGTATTTGTTTACATGAAAAAATATTTAGCAGGAGGTGTTAAACATTACCTGTCACATTAGCTGACACCAAAAAACAGGGTACCCACACGGCATTTTCGGACTTTTTCCATCTGTAAACAGGGCTACCCTCAAATCCACGTGTTTTTACTTTGTTTATAAACACCTCGAGTGCATCACAGGAAGTAGCCTCCTATGCCCTGAAAAAAATAGTTCCTGTCATAAACCTTTATTTATTCACAAAGTACATAAAATTTACTAGGCACAGGTACCAAAGTTGTAAAAATGGCTTGGAAGAAAATAGAAAAACGTCTCAAAGGAAAAGAAAATTAATTTTATATATATGGACCTACATTTGACTAAGTTCATTTTGATTGGTCAATTACCGGTGTGATACCTTGAAGGACCTTTGAAGGTGTTCGATTTCTTTCATTTTTGCACCTGAGATTCATTAAATAATTGTCCCCAACATCCTCAAGTCTGGTGATCTAAATCCCCTTATTTCTGAAGATATGAAGCATTTATCTCCCTTACTCCAGAGAAGTAAAGAATAACACACAAAGCACTCTGGAAGCAGTTTTTGTGCATCTTTTGAAGCAGAATTTCATCATTAAAAGAATAAGCTTGGCAACCAATTTTTTATCTGTGGAGAGGATATGCTTTGTTCTTCACAAAAAAACAAAAAAGAGGTTACAAGTCTAAGACCATTATGTAATTATTACATAACAAAGATGCATTTTCCTCTTCAAAGAATGAACAAAAATACAGAAATTGTTAAATTTTGGGTTGATAATGAAAACTGTATCTGGTCAATTTATGTTCCAAATAAAGCCTAGGTATTTGTCTACAAGCTGCTGTGCAGAAGTTTATCTAAATGCTGTGTTGTAACTCAGGGCAGTCTAAATGATATCAGCATCTAGGGAGGTTCTTGACAGCTCCAACACTCCAATAAACTGGCTTTGATGATAAGAAAATGGAGACAACAATTCAGATGTAATTTATTGTTGTGATTTATGTAACTGGCTTTCTCTTAAGACACAAATTAGCCATGAAATTTCAATTTCACATGCATAATTATTCTCTTTTCATGGATTGACTCAGGAATTCCAAAGGTGTTTAATGAATTTCTATGATTTATGCAAGGTTACATCTTTTTGCTTCACCAAATTTACATAAAAAATAAAAATTTAAATTTTAAAATATAAATATTCAACATTTCTATGGGTTTGAACACTTTTATATGCATCAAAATGCATCACAGAGACCAGTTTCAGGACATCCTCCATGATTCTCTGAGGTGGGTGGGTGTACAAAAACTGCTGATAAAATTTACAGGAGGTAATCAGAGAAGAAAGGTGCACCTTATTAGCTGAATTATAGTTATTCTGATATTTTAATTATGTAAATATGCCAAATTTCTTCTTCAGTTAAATTTGCAATTTATTAATATTTCAGTACAATGATATCCTTAATAGATCATGCTCATATAAGCATCACTGACTGAGACTTCAATCAAAAGTGACAGTCAACACCTACATATAAATGAAAAAATAACAAAAAACAGTCTCCGACAAACTGAAAAAACATCAATGTCAGCTGCGAAAGCATGAATAAAGTCCTGAGAACCACAAGAGGCATGCCATGGTACTAAGTGACGTTCTGCACTACATGCATGATGCATGGTTAGAACTCAGAAGAAGTATTATCATGCAGACTCGGACAGTATTTAAGGATTTTTTGGTCATAACCTTCCTTCCTGTGAAAAATTTTTAATGAATTTTACTTATGTAGCTTATGTATGAAGTTTATTAGACAGATCTGACTCATTTCATAATTTCTTTTCTCCCAATGCAGTAATATATGTATCAATGGAGGTGTGAATAAATTAAAATAAATCATGTTTCTGTAGAAATTATAATTCTGTGAGAACATATTTACTTGTTTACATTTTATCGCACTTGTCGCTTGTGATGAAAATTCATTCGCAAACATAGAATTAGTCTATTCTTGAAAAATCAGCTTTAACACCCTTTACCGCAAAGTCTGTAGATACTACAATTGACTGCGGTCAGCTGGTGCAAATAATGTTAAGTCATATAAAATGAAAAAACAACATTCTCTGACTTCTTTCTACATTTTAGATGCATAATGCTACCTTTTCACTCATATTTTAAAGTATTGAGTGTAAAAAATAACCTATTGTTAATTTTTACACAGAAATCTGTGAAAAATAATGTAAATTCTAATTCTAATTTTAAAATTGTGTGTTTTCTAACAAAAAGTTAATAAAATCACATATTCTGTTGAAATATGCCTTTTAAAAATGAAAAATGTCTTTAATAAGGGTTTAAATGATTTTTCATAATCACCTTCAAGGTATCACACCGGTAATTGTTTTCACTATATAATTCTATATAGAATAAAAAATCGTTAAAAATCAGGTATTTGTTTACATGAAAAAATATTTAGCAGGAGGTGTTAAACATTACCTGTCACATTAGCTGACACCAAAAAACAGGGTACCCACACGGCATTTTCGGACTTTTTCCATCTGTAAACAGGGCTACCCTCAAATCCACGTGTTTTTACTTTGTTTATAAACACCTCGAGTGCATCACAGGAAGTAGCCTCCTATGCCCTGAAAAAAATAGTTCCTGTCATAAACCTTTATTTATTCACAAAGTACATAAAATTTACTAGGCACAGGTACCAAAGTTGTAAAAATGGCTTGGAAGAAAATAGAAAAACGCCTCAAAAGAAAAGAAAATTAATTTTATATATATGGACCTACATTTGACTAAGTTCATTTTGATTGGTCAATTACCGGTGTGATACCTTGAAATGTGTATGGAAAGGCATGACATGTGTAATGGTTATCCATTTCTCAAGGGGAGCCAGTCAAAGTGCCCCCTAATAAAAATGTCCCGGACAAAGCGTCCCCTAATTTTAGTCAAAGCGCCCCCTGATTTTGGTCAAAGCGCCCCCTAACATATTTTTTATAGAAAAAATACCGCCCCAAATATTGGTCAAAGCGTCCCCTGATTTTAGTCAAAGCGCCCCCTAACATATTTTTATAGAAAAAATACCGCCCCCAAATATTGGTCAAAGCGTCCCCTGATTTTAGTAAAGCGCCCCCTAACATATTTTTATAGAAAAAATACCGTCCCCAAATATTGGTCAAAGCATCCCTTGATTTTAGTCAAAGCGTCCCCTGGTTTTAGTCAAAGAGTCCCCTGGTTTTGGTCAATGTGCCCCCATTACATTTTTACAGGAAAAAAACGTTTCGAATCGATTCCCAAGCAATGGTCTAAACGTCCCCTGATTTTGGTCAAAGCACCCCCTTATAGAAATTTTTCAAGTAACTGCCAAACAATGATAATATTATAAATACAAAACAGTTTTATTCCGTAATATGTTTGTATAAATATATTACGGGGCGCCTTGACCAAAATCAGGGGACGCTTTGACCAAAATCAG